GTTTGTGTTTCAAAAAAAACAAATTGTGAATTGCTTTCGTTTTCCTTTCTTATTCTATTATCGTTTATAAAACACCATTTTCCCATGACTCGTTATTATTGCCACGTAAAAGATTCCTTGGAAGTTGGAATTCGATATAAGAGAAGGCCATAGTGCTGTATGGCGTATGCTCGTCTTCATTATCCCAGTAGGAGCAAAACCCCATTTCATTTCATTGTTCATTTCATTTCATTTCCACGACTGGTTAGAACATGCCTACTATATAGGACTACAAACAATACAGTTTAGATCTACAAATAGTGGTTAGTCCTCAACAGTCTTAACATATAAGGTAATGACTGCGACATGTGTGAACATATAAATAGCCGATCGTTTATTAAATATCCTTTTATGGACATGCGAGGGTTTCATATCCTGCCAAGTAAGCTACATGACTTGTATTTGTATTCTCCTGAAAATCTATCAAATTGACTTATCATGCCTAAATAAAGCTTTAAAGAGACATATCAGAGAGAGAATGGAAACCGAGATGTTCCTAAGCGCAACGCGTTAGACCATTAATTGGCTTACCCTCACCCACTAAACCACACGCGGGGTGGGGGGGGGGGCAAATATTAGCGTATGCGCGCTGTATTATTAGGTCTGTCATTGAGTCAACTGGTGTGGTGGATGTTACCCCCCCCCCCCCTCTCCCACTAATCTTTAACGCTTATCATTGCAGGTTATCCCTCTGATAATCTTGGGTAATAGTCGGGTCCACGGACGCTTGTCGTTATTGTAGGCAGTTACGTAAAGGGTGTGGGGAAGTAAATGAAAAGAAATGAAATGGGGTTTAACGTCCTACTGGGCTAATGAAGACGGGCATACGCCATACAGCGTGCTAAGGGGGGGGGGGGGATTTTGCCCGGACAGCGGCGCTCTATGGTCTAATTTTATATCGAAATTCCAACTGCCAGGGGTTCTTTTACGTGCACGCCAATGTGTTCACGGGACCTCCGAACGACTATAAGTTGTCGATTGCCAGGCAAAATTCGTGCTGCAGATTGTCCCTTTAAGCCGATATATTGGAGATAACCACTTGTAGATATATTGTTCAGAAATAGCCCCCGGTCATTCAGGGTGCGACATTGTAAGTTGAATAAACCAGATTTTGTTGTGACACATGCCATTCAATGGCTTTATATTTAGTCTCCCATGCAAAGACCAGTGAAATATTATAATTATAAGCATAGACTGTCTATATTTAGTCTACCATGAGAGACCAGTAGAGAATTCAGTAGAGCACTTTTATTTCTCCACCATTGTAATTTATCAGGTTTTCCCCGGTTTCTTATCACCACTTCCCGCATACTGATCAGTAGTGAAAAATTCACTAGGCCGCTACAATCACTGATAGGAATGACATCGGTGCGGGTTAATGAGCTCGCAATATGAACTTATTTGCTCGTGCAAATTAAATACTAAAACATATTTTTGAAGTATTAGAAATGAAGATGTTTGAAATATATCTATATTTCCTATTTAGTGTAAATGAAGGTGTTTGAGGTATATCTAGATAAAGAATATTTCCTATTTAATGTAAATGGGTATATGAAATGAGTAAAAGGCGCCATTCTATCCGGACCAGTTAACGCAACAACGCATGCGCCATAGAGCCAATGATCTACGCCTCGTGATGAGACGTCACCTGTAGAAGGCATACTTGAACTTATAAAGGTCTGGGTCCTATTTCACGAAATTTTAACTAAGATAAAATCCAAATTTTAGTAATTTGATTGGATAATATTAGATTGATTTTAGTGCCTAGCCAATCAAAATTGAAGTATCTACTAAAATTTGGATTTTATCTTTAGTTAAAATTTCGTGAAACGGTGCCCAATCATCTAATACAGGTGTATAAAAAGGTTTTCACAATACCTCTGTGAACCAGACCCCCCCCCCCCCTCCCACACACCTGTTCTCTTATTTTCTTGATTTGGTTTCCTCGTTTCAGGCAATCTAATTAAAATATAGATCTATATTTCGTTTCGTTCTTTTTTTATACTTTCGATAGCCTAGTGCGTGCAGTTTGCATGTAGTGTAGTAAAGACAAGTAAAATCGAAATTTTGAACTATAAAAAAGAAACGAAATTGGATCTTTGTTTTAATCAGATTACCGTTTCAGGGTGCAGAACATAGGGCCTGGTAAGGAACCGAGGCCTCGTACAAGAAATATTGACAGTTGGAATTTGAAATAAAGATTAGGCCTTAATAGTAGGCCTACAACTGTCCGTGCAAAATTCTCCTCATTCCCACATTCCACTACAAGTCAGCCCTGTATATCCTGCCACTATGGTTAGTGCTAAATGGTAAGGACAGCTCAATTTTTCGTCATAGGTCACGAGATGTAAACAGGGCTGGAACCAAGATAAGCCACAGTCAGTGCTTTTGTGAAGACTTAACCTCTCCCCAATATTCTTATACCTACAATCTCACCAACAATCACGTGCCCTAACCTTATTTACATCTCAGCGACCTTGACGAAAATTGAGCTGACCTTAACTAATAGATTTAGTATAATATCACATTTATAAATTGCCCATCAAAATAACGTTTGTTTACCTGCGCAGTATTTTATGAATCACCTTGACCATGTCTAACAAAAAATGTGCTTACAGGAAATCATACAAACCAAACAAGAAGTAACCATTTCCTTAATATTCAAAATATATTATTGATAATTGCCCATTTCCGTTACAAGCTGGTGTGTGATTTAAAGGGATAAATAGCCTAAAATACTGTACACGAAAATGAAATGAAATGGGGTTTAAAGTCCTACTGTTCTGCTCCTAAACTGGGCTAATGAACACCCGACCTCAAGGCTAGCGAGCCAGCGTCTTACCCACTTAGCCACCGTGATCCCCATGTACACGATCAGTGTCGAATTAGCCGTGTTGCAAAAAATAAAATGGGGTTTAACGTCCTACAGTTCTACATCGACTGGGCTAACGAAAACATGTAAATAAAAGTAGCGTACTTGCTCTGTTACCATGGTACTAGACTGAATTCTAGCAAACTATCCTCCATTTGACAAATCTATTCATCAATCTATTTACTCCAAGGTGTATATCACGGGAAATCTGCCGTTTTGTGTGTTCTGCTCATAATTTAAAAAAAAGAGATTTGATCTGACAGGACTTTTCCTGATGTATATATGTATTTATATATATTTGAATGTTCTAATGTATTCTAGATATATTCGTATATATTCTAGTCATCTTTATTTTCGTTGGCAGCGGACTTTCTAAATTACATTATAAGATTGAATTAGGTATTATGTTCGATTTAGGCATCTTTACATATCGCCTTCGAATCAGTAGTGAACTAGGCAGCGTTTATCTATGTTTATGTTTGTTTGTTTGTTCTAATGTGATTTTTCTTTCATTTTGTAATGGTGCTGCTCCCCGTGGGCGTTTTTATGCAATAAACTTACTCTATTAGTGAGCGTGTGCAGGGGCATGTCAAGGAATTGTAGCAGCGGGTTGGTCCAAGGTGGCTACAACGTCAAGTTTGGCGTTATATAGATCGGTGGGAACTACCCGCGAATTTGATAAAATCAGAAGCTTTATAAGGCCATATTCCTGAAGCAATGGCCCGAGAAAATTAGCTCTAATCAAACGGAACACTGCGAGGAGTATGTATAAGGCATACATACGAAAGTATTTAAATTTGTAGTCATTATACCGCTGCATAAAAATGAAAATGGAACAGTGAAACGACGCCTACAGCACTTGACCATATTCATGTGTACGTGTTTTTATTTTTTTATTATTATTTTTTTTAAATTTATTCCCCATTTGCACGTATGGTACAGGTCTGGCGGTAACTTAATCCGGTCTGGCCTTACACAAAGTTACCGGTTGAACCAGCTATCCCGCGAAGCAGATTATTAGCTGGGCTAAGAGAAATAACTCCATTCACGTTTCCATTTAGTGTCGCGGTAGAATTCTTTTCTGAGCGGATTTCTGCTCCAATTAGGAAATTATTTTTCTGTGAACCCTGTAAACTTTTAAGTGACTAATTTCGAATGCTTCATTATCACTAAAAAGGTATTGCAGAAGAGCTACAAAACTACACAATAAATACATATGCTAAGGGAAATAACTCCAATTGTGTCTGTACAATTCTCTCATAAAAGGATTTCGGCTCCAAACAGTAAAAAAAAGTTTTTCTGGGAATACAATAATCTTTTAACATAAAGCAGCCATTTTTGAATGGTCCGTCGGTATCTAATAGTTAGTGCACGGGGATCGCAAAACTACAGAACAAATACATAGGCTAGGTGTACCCACTCTTTACGCTGAGACAAAATCTGCACAACTTAAAGGAGAAAGACAGCACTTGCAGATACTTTATATTTTATTACTGACGTCATGAGGGTAACTACATTCACTGTTTGTAAACAAGACCATGTTCATGGTTTGTAATACCCAAGACATATGTTTATCGAAGATTGTTATTTAGCACCGGCATGAAAACGCCGTGCAGCTTTTTTTTTTATAGTAATGAAAGTTCAATGGCAATACTCGATTGAACGTTCCGGAATTGAATTCTGTCAAACCCAAAAATAGTGACAATCGAGTGAAAATGAGAATTTGGGGCTAGAACGCATGCGGCGACTGTATGAGAAAATATCTCAACCAATCATGACAGCTGAAACATATTCGTTGTGTTTAATTACGTCACGGTTCTACCCACACCGCCTTCGTTGTCGGGACTGACAGAACTCTGACAGGACGGAATACGGCGTCACACGATTGCAATTCGGTCAATTCGGAACGTTCCGAACTGACCATCGAGCACCCCCAATGTCAACTTCGCTGAAGTAAGTAGCGTTAAGATCATGCATCTGAAACGAACTCTTTCGCAAGGGACTTTCTTTATTTATTTATATCTCATATGCATTTAAAATTATAATTACTAGGCCCACTCCTGTAATTGTATGTTCTCGACACATCAGATACTTCAAACATGAATTTATTTGTTAAAATTAAATGTGTTCGCTTGTTCCAAGACATTAATGTACTGTTATTATGGATTGTACATGATGGGTGTATGGTTCTTGACTTCACTTCGACCACAGCATGTATCAAGAATTACGTCAGTATTTTATCCAACATCAATACCATCACCTTGTTCTCCCATGGTAAACAGTTTGCACGATGTCATCTGTGCTACTCTTTCGAATCAAAACCACAACGAGGCTGAAAACAACCACCAATAAAAGGAAGAATACACCACACGTGACCGGATGTATGTAAATCCACGCTTCGTGTTCGCCATGAACTGTGTTCTCGGCAACTACAATAAAGCATAATTTAGTTTAGTATTCCCTAATAACAGGCTGGTCATCATGAACTGGTGTTCTCGGCAACTACATGTACAATAAAGCATAATTTAGTTCAGTATTCCCTATTTACAGGGTGGGCACCCTTTTCCTTGGTGCCTGCTTTTGGTATCACATTTCTACAACAGTCGGTTCCATGGGGAATGGTGCGCACAGAAAGAGATCCCATCAAGGGCGTGTCCGGGAATTTGAGCTGCGGGGGATCCAGGGTGGAGACAGCGTCAAGTTTGGCGATAGGTCGAGGGGAACTATCCGCGAGTTCGATAACATCAGAAACTTTGAGACAATATTTCTGCTCATTTAGGTGTATACATGTATAGGATTACAGTCGAATGGGCGTTATTTCCATGAACGTAGAAACGAAAAAATATTGTCGGAGGACAACCGCCCACGCCCCCACCTGCTCCCCCTAGACACGCACCTGCTCACGCGGAACACCAAACCCAACCCAATATCTATATCGATAGGGACAGGAGATATATTTTGGTTGGAAAATACTAGTCGCTATCATCCAGAAAAATATTCTACGAATGTTGAAGACTAGGAGGTTGTGGGTGACCGAGACTAGGAAAATACTGGAGTTGATTTGTAACATATTTGCGCCACGGCATATGTTAGACATCCGTCGAAAACCGGATTGAAACCAAGGAATTGGTTTTCTTTTTCATAGGTGCACAAACACTTTAATTCCTTGCATCATGTCCCCTTCACCTCCTGTGGGTTGGTACAAAAGAATTTGTAATAAACTAAACTAAATATGCCACTGACCCGAGTTAATAATATTTACCTGTGGGCTTGCTTTGTTTACATGGATGTACAGTAATAGACGCTGACGTTGACTTATTACTAGACGTTCCATTAGCTTCACGTCGACGTCTATGATCTTCACTTAAATACGCACACCTCTGTAAATATGATGGATATAAATACGCACACCTCTGTAAATATGATGGATATAAATACGCACACCTCTGTAAATATGATGGATATAAATACGCACACCTCTGTAAATATGATGGATATAAATACGCACACCTCTGTAAATATGATGGATATTTGTTACACTATACATTTTTGACGATGTAGATCAGACTTTGGAAAACGGTCTAAAATGTGTATAATAACAAGGTCGGATTAAGCTTGCATGGGGCCCCTGGCAGAAAATGTCACTGGGTCTCTTGCATCAATAATGAAAAGGGGCATACGCAATTTGTACGTCAGTATGGTAGACGAATAGACCTATTTCGCACAACATAGTAAATGACATTATTTATATATGGTACAAAAATTTACTTAGAATTAATATGGGCAGTCCAGTAACCCCCAACGCCCTTAATACGACACTGAAGTGTAATACAAATAGGAACATGTCTAAAAAAAACATGTACTATCTCAACGCACCGCCATTTTCTCAGGTAGGTAATCCAATCTTTTATTTTTAAAATTATATTTGAAAGATTGAAACGAGAAGAAAAGTTTCCTTTTTTCAAAGTTTGCAACGTTTTGTTTTTAAGTCTGGATGGTAGCGAAGTATTTTTTGTAACTACTCCGCACAATCTCGGCAATAGTAGTTACATCATTGGGGCAAGGAAATTGCCTTTATTAGAGTTACGTATGTGTATAGTGTAGTGAAGACAGCACACCGTCTTTAGATTGATTGTAGTGAGGACAGCCCACCGTCTCGAAATTGTGACGTCTAAATTACGTAGGTGGTAAGAGTTTCCGGTCAGATGATATTTATTAAAACAATAAACTGTTCATTAACTTGCGTTTATCTTTAGGGACGGTCGCAAAGCGTAAAACCCGCGGAACTGGATGGGTGTGGGTCGAAAATGATAAATTAAACATATGCTAGAGCTAAATCTGCCAATTGCAGGCCTTTCTTTAGGCCTGAAATGTTATATTATTAACTTATCCAGACCATAATCAACTCTTGATGTCAACACTAGCCTGCGATTTTTACGGGAATAGGATAATATTTGCTGCTCCACTTTCATTCTTGATTTAATCATGAAACGGATAATCGAGACTATGTTTTTTATCGTACCGACTTTAGTATGATCGAGGCTAGGCCGAAAATTCAATCGCTAAAATCTTGGTTTAAAGTGGATCAATTTGACTGAAATTTACTTCAGCAAATTCCCTTTAAATTATCTAGTTTTTAACCATTATAGTGAGAACTGCCAGCTCTTTATCTAATCTCCCATAATGTATCTTTAATATGTCAACATGTTCTTACTACATCGGCGCGGATGGGTGCGTGGGTAAAGATCTATGCGGGAATATCGTTTTGGTGCAAGCGTTTAAATGTTGCGACGCTCCCTTATTAAAATATTAAACTTACCGCCATACACCTGAGATCGCCTTCATTAAAACAATATTCATAATTACAGGTAAAGATGACAACTTGGGATCCGGGGAAGGTAAAAATAGGAAATGGGGCTGATGTAACTGTCAAGCCATAACCTTCCAGTAGAAACACTGTGGAAGACGGAAGTTGACATCTATAATATTAAACGATTCGTATTAAAAACATAAAAATCTCAATACAGCGAAATCTGAACTACCATAATGGTCACGTGTGTACGGATAAGGGATTAGTCAGGACTGCGGCATTTAATCTTCACCGAATTCATACTTTAATGGATCTTTTACGTGTACGCCAATGTGTGTGCCTACATAGATCTCAATTTCTTGCTTCCGCTTAACGACGATAACGCTTACTTCTTAGTCACACAGGCTCTAACCCTAACAAGGATTAGCGGGCGTGGACAATCTCAATCATTGCCCGTAGTATCATAAGGTCTGTCATTGAGTCAACTGGCGTGGTTTCGATTCCCCAGTTGTACGAGAGAAGGCGTAGGGTTGCCTGTCCAACCTCGTGGGTTTTATCCGGGTACTCCGGTTTCCTCCCACTGCTAAAGACCATTTCGCGCAAGAGAATTACTGAATTGACCTAGTTTGTGTCGAATGGCCGTTTACCCAACTTGCCTGCGCGTTAGATATAAATCAGTTCTGGAAATTACAGAGCTAAATATGACTGATTCTAGTTGGATTAATGTCGAGATTAAACATTTTGAAAGTGTAAAACTTACCCCTTGGAATCAATGAGGTTTTTCACCAAGCTTCCATTAGAATTTCGTGCTGTACACCCGAACACAGATATACCTTTAGCCGAGATACCTAAGATAGAGGCATGTAGAAAAAAAAAACTACAAGAAGAGATAACGAACAAGATGTCTGCTACATCTCTTTGATTTTGGGTCAAAATAATATTTTGATCTGGTGTCTAATTTTGATTAGTGATGAACAGGACGGGCTTAAGAATATTAGCGGCCACCCGCCAAAGCAATGTAAGGGGATCCCTGATCTCCCAACACATTAGGGGTGGGGGATGGTCTAGTCGTTCGGATGGAACGGAAAACCGAGGTCTCGTGTACACATTGGCGTGCACTTAAAAAATCCATTGAACGTTAAACACCATTTCATTTCATTTCATTTCATTCTTTAATGACTCCATTGCTTTCAACCATATTTGAAAAACAGAAAGTACTAAAACCTATAGTCTCTAACGCATTCACAATGATTTCGGAAAGGGGGGATAGCTCCGGTATGGAAATTTCTAGAACGCTGGTTATCGACAGGGTTTCGTTCTACTATGGCCAAAATGCTCCATACCAAATTTTGAAAAGAATCCGTCCAAAACCGAAGTCTATATCGCGTTCAGAAGTCTGCCAATGTTGACCGACGGACGTGGACACATAATAAGGGGGATAACTCCAGTTTAAAAATAAATATATTTTTTTATGGTATAATCAAATCACTTAGAAATTAAAAACTTTATCAATCATCAAAATAATGTACAAATTAAAATCAAATAGAAAATATAATAATTGAAAGCAACCAGTTAACAATTAATTTATAAAAGTTGACACAATTTGTTAAAATGCAAATGATGTTGGCCATTCCAGTGCCATTTTGATTTTATAACTAGTCCAATGACAACTCTCCGCATAATTAAACTAACCAAATATAATTCACCTTGTCTATTCCCATCTGGGCACTAATTAAGTGTTTGGATCCAGAATCAAGGTTAAACTAAACCTGGATTATAATGGCAACAGTACTAGCTCTACATGCTTACTACTGACGCCCAAATCCAGGGACATGCGCTTTCTGTTAAATGCATCAATAAATACGAAAACCCTACTGCACCCAGCAATCCATCTACGTCATACTTCGAGACGGAGCTAGCTGTAGACAGGCAGCCCAAGTTTGGGATGACTCTAAGCGTGCCTACACCACAGATATGTCTTGGTAGCAGCTTTTTCTCGACTGCAGCTTACCCGAAATGAAAATTTGGATGTTGAGCAATCTGCATATCGATAGGGTTCATCTTCTCATGTCCCCGATACTTACCACACAATTTTACAAAAATCTGTTAAAAACTATATAGCCCATATGAGAGAGAGAAAAAATGGGGTTTAACCTCCACTCGACACAAACTAGGTCATTTCGGGACTAACATATGGTTTAATTTAATTTACATAATTCGCTTGCGCGTAGGGGTCTTTTGCTGTGGGAGGAAACCGGAGGCCTCGGAGAACACCCATGAGGTTGGACAGGCGACTCTACTCCTTGCCAGGTACAACCGGGGATTCGAAACCACGCCAGTCGACTCAATGACAGACTTTATGATATAGCCCATATGGCCCCAATGCTTAACACAAAATTTGAAAAGAAATCAGTTAAGAACTATATAGCCTCTATTGCGGTCACAAGGTTTTTGGCAAATGGGGAATAAATCCGGAACGAAAATTCGCAGAACACTGAATATGATAGGATTCATCCTCTCATGACCCCAATGTTTCCCAATAAAATTGAAAGAAAAACGTTAAAAAATAAAGCATCTAATGCGTTCACAAGATTTTTGGAAAAGGTAGGGGGGAGGGGCAACATGAGGATTACACGACAAAAGGGGGCGGGGTATATCCGACATGGAAAATCGCGGGGGGGGGGGTGTAACATGGGTATTACACGACAAACATTCAGCTTCGAAATATGAAACACAGATTAGTTTGTTTACTCTTTTTGTTTCAGTTTTAGTATATTGTGTCCTCATTCGTGTTTCAGTGTTAGTTTATTGTGTTCACAATTGTGTTTCAGGGTTAGGTTACTGTGTTCAAATCCGTGTTTCAGTTTTTGTTTACTGTGTCCACAATGGAACATACTATCAGTTATAACCCAACATTGTCTTTACCGATAGGTGGTGGGGAGGGGTCAAGTGGTTTAATCTCACCAGAAGAATATATAAACGAAGCATACCTGTCTGTTTCTTCAGTATAACTTGAAGAACAACGTTGGTTCCTATGACAACTTCTGATAAACTTTTTTTGGAAAACGGATCAATAATATTTAAGCTTATTTCTTCTTTTGTTGCTTCTACATGCCTCGTCCCAGCCTGTAAAAGACTAATCAAAAAATGAATTATCTAACATGGCTTTAGATAAACGGAGAGCCGCGGTGGTTCAATGAGTAAGAGAGAACTGAGGTTAAACGTCCACTCGACACAAACTAGGTCATTTCGGGACTAAACATATGGTTCAATTTTATTTCATTAATTCGCTTGTGCGTTGGGGTCTTTATCAGTGGGAGGAAACTGGAGGGCCCGACAAAAACCCAAGAGGTTGGACAGGCCACGTATAAGGGAGGAATCGAAACCACACCACTTGACTCAATGACAGACCTAATGGTACAACGCACACGCGCTAACCATTCAGCCACCCAACCCCATCAATGAACAAGGAACTGGCTCACTAACCAGGAGATCTAGGAATCGATACCGATGCGGGGGATCACGTGGCTAAGTGGGTAAGACGCTGGCTCGCTAGCCTGGACGTCGGGTGTTCGATCCTTGTATTGGCCGAGAAAGTTCATTCAGATTTTCCTTGTCAGTGATGCAGGACGGAGGGCCTGACAAGGACAGCTGTCTAGTCGTTCAGATGAGACGAAAAACAGAGGCCCGTGTACATATTGGCGTGCACGTAAAAGATCCCTTGGCATTTGGAATTCGATATAAGAGTAGGCCGTAGCGCCACTGCTCGGGCAAAATTTCCCTCATAGCACACTGTGTAGCGTATGCCCGTCTTCAATAGCACAGTTTAGGAGCAGGACGTTAAAACCCATGTCATTTCATTTTCATTTCATTTCGATGCCGGCCGCGAAAGAACCAAGGGAGGTCTAAGATATATCTATATTGACAAAAACTATTCTTGTGTGAATAAAATACCAGACTGACGTTGAAACAGTTTCTGTGTCAGTAGCCTGATAAAGTATGCAAACTGCGGCAAATAAATGGATTCTTAAATAATCGTTGTAGCAAAAGCTAACTGTGGAGTTTTGTATTTTTGCAAGGGTAGTTAGTGATGAAGTGGCTGTACTAAAACACATATTCTAATAATAACTAATGGCCATTTGACGTTTACATTAGTTTCTATTGATTTCACACCGTTAAAAATACTTTCCATTCTGATTAAAACACAGCTCCTGTTTCGTTTCGTTTTTTATAGTCCAAAATTTCGTTTTACTTGTCTTTAGTGTAGGCCATCGTAAGTATAAAAAAACGAAACGAAATATAGATCTGTATTTTAATCTAAATTTTTTACACCAGCTAGCTATGTCTGTACATGTATACCGGTCTTTTGGGCTGGGGTTATTGGCTAGTCAGTAATCGCATTGTGGCGTAATTAAAGATACATTATGCAAGAGCTAAATCTGTCTATTGCAGGTCTTTCTTTAGGCCTGAAATGTTATCTAATTTATTAATTAGACATTAATTAACCTATCCAGACCATAATCAACTCTAGATGGCATCGCTAGCCTGCGATCTTTAGTGGATTGTGAGTCGATTTACTGCATAACTTTCCTTCCCGATTTAACGATTAGATGGATAATCGAGACTATGCTGTTTATCGTACTGACTTTAGTAATGATAATAGTGGATTAATTTGACTGAAATTTTCAGCAAATTACCTGTACATTATCTATTATAGTGAGAACTGCAAACTCGTTATCGAATGTCCCATAATGTATCTTTAAGATAACAATCTGTAATAGGTAGTAACCAGCTAAACAGTTAATAACTTACCCCTAACAGTCCCCTGGTGTTGTATATAAAGGGTATCAGCGTGATTAAAATAAGGTTATTGGCTAGTTAGTAAATACCCTGGGAAGTAATTCAGACACTAAACTATAGTAGTTATTAAGCAACCCGTGGGATAATTAAGATAACAAGCTATAGTAGTTAGTAAACACCCTGTGACGTAATTAAGATAACAAGCTATAGTAGTTAGTACAAGCTATAGTACTTAGTAAACACCCTGTGAGGTAATTAAGATAACAAACTGTAATAGTTAGTAAACACCGTGTGACATAATTAAGATAACAAACTGTAATAGTTAGTAAACACCCTGTGAGGTAATTAAGATAACAAACTGTAATAGTTAGTAAACACCCTGTGAGGTAATTAAGATAACAAACTGTAATAGTTAGTAAACACCGTGTGACGTAATTAAGATAACAAACGGTAATAGTTAGTAAACACCCTGTGATGTAATTAAGATAACAAACTGTAATAGTTAGTAATGTACCCGCCCACTGCCCCCTGTTGTTGTACAGAGAGAGTATCAGCTTGACTAAAATCACAAGTTAGAGTTAAAACTTCATCAAATTCAGATAATACACCTTCCATTTCTTGTAGGTAAAATCGCCATTCAAAAACATTAGAAGATATCTGAAAATACAAACAAATGCCATAGTTCTGTCTATGTGGGGATTGTAGCTGATTCCAACATTTATAACGACAATAAATAGCTTCACCGATATAGCAGGTGATCTACTCTGTTCATGTAAAAAATAATTCAGATAATGTAATAATTTTATTCTAATCCCTTCAAGTACCCGTGGATAACTCAGGGCCCTTATTCACGAAAACTTAAACTAAGATACAATCGAATTTTTAAGAAATACTGCGATTCGATTGGCTGACCAGTAAAATCAATTTGCATATATCCATGCAATGAAGTTGAAGTATTTCTTAAAATTTCGATTGTAACTTAGTTTAAGTTTTCGTGAATAAGGGCCCGGATGCATTATCGAAACTCTTCTTTTTATAAACCAGTGTCCAAACGTGACAATCAGATTAAAATACAGATCTATATTTCGTTTCTTTTTTTTTATACTTTCGATGGCCTCTACTACACGAAGACCGGTTGTAGTGGAAGGTCGCGTCAGGGTTCATACGAGCGGCTTTTGATATTGATTAATCAATCAGCTTTGACGTTTCTAGTGGCTTACCCACAGTTCCGTGCGCAGCACGCCAAGAACTCGCCGTAACAGACCGTTTCATTGGTTAGAGTTGGGATTAGCGCTAGCCCTGCTTACATCTCATGACCATTGACGAAAAATTGAGCTGGCCTTATCATTTAGCACCAACCCTATAGAGTTGTATCGCACTGGGAACGGAACTATAAGAGTTGTAACCAGGGCTGAGAGCAGTTGACTTATTAACTGGTTAACGTATAAATGAGATTAACGCATTAACAGAAATGGATTAACGCATTAAAACTCTGTGACGTCATATAGGCATATTCGACAGGCAAATAGTTTAAAGGACTAGACCAGTGAAAGGAGCTAATTCATGAGATATTTCATTTAGAGACCACGTTGCCACTGTCCAAATAACTGGGCCTCCAGTCTCCCGCTCGGAATCAAGGGCCACGGTCGAAGGCACCAAATTCGATTTTTTTAAAAACGTTTTCCGTCACAGTGCCACTTAAATCCTAGATTTGGAGTCCAGAATATAAATAATGATCAAGAATAAGGGTTTTTTTTACTCTCTGAAATGGGTTGAATACGAAAATGGCCATGATTTAGGAGCTTTAATAATTAACTCATATTAAAGGAGCTAAATCGCTAATATTCTGGACCTAGAAATTGGCACAAATGGGTCGCAACGCAAATAATAATGTAATATGAATGTATGCAAACTGATTTACATTCAATCGTTTTTGTTTTTACTGTAATTTCTAATCTGTTAAGTTCGGCGAAATACGTCAGAAGTCTCAATTGAATATCAATCTCAAGCGTCTGGTTATTCCAGTCTACACCGATAGTATTTATTGCACATGCTCTCCAGATAAGAATATGCCGTCACCGTTTGACATGACTTGTGGAACATGGCTGGCCTCTTTCTTCGAGTCTCTTGTTACAAATGGCGCTGACACGCATTATGGTACACGATTCGTGTACCAATGGCAAAATGTTTATTTTGTCTTAAATATTGGATATCAGAAGCCCATCTTTTTCCGGTAAGATCACAACATTAATGTTGATTTAAATTGACAAATATTTTGTGTTTTTAATGTCGAAGATTTTGGATGATATTGAGTTAGAGACTTGGCTACTTTAACTTATTTAATTCGAACACCTTAACCAGTTAAAGGGAATTTTAACTTTCTCTCAGCCCTTATTGTAACGCGCTGAGAAAGGAACCCCAAGAGTTGTATTGCGCCTCTTTACATCCACATTCAATACTTGAAAAATGGAGAGATTTTCTCAAATCCATACCGTACCTTAGTAACACCACACGTGTTCTTGCCATATGCATCAACTCGTCGACTCCTCTCGCCACTTAACGGATTCGTAGTGAAGGTACTACCTCGACATCGTTTGACAGGTTCACCGTCGTTATTAAGTGCGATGATATCCCCATAATGTGTTCCTCTTGGGACTATCCTTAACAACATGTATTTTCCATCTGTTTTAGAATTCATACAATAGTATATAGCTGAAATATCGCCAAATAAAATATTCTCAATCAACTACAAAACTGCTACCACTTAATTCCTTAATAACATACAATAAAATGGGTGGAAGAACAAATGGGACTGTGCAATCATGAATGGATCTGACGGATAGCGGTTGGATGGGAAGGAAGCAATCCTCGGAAAGTAATCCATAGGTAGTAGTCCACATGTAGTAATTCATAGGTAGTAATCCATATGTAATAACCCATAGTTAGTAATCCATAGGTAATAATCCATAGTTAGTAGGCCGTAGGTAGTAATCCATGGGTAATAATCCATATGTAATGATCCATATGTAATAATCCATAGTTAGTAGGCCGTAGGTAGTAATCCATGGGTAATAATCCATAGGTAGTAATCCATATGTAATGATCCATAGGTAATGATCCATAGGTAGTAATCAATAGGTAATAATCCATAGGTAATAATAGGTAGTAGGCCATAGGTAGTAATCCACAAGTAAAATATAAACCAGTTAGTAAGCGGTTGCCGCCCGAAAAACGCCCTGCCTTAAAACGTTTTACTTTAAAGCCAGTTTTCCATGTATACGGATTTTCGCGTCGTTTCCGCGAACGTTTTCGCCGGTTAAAGCGAAACGGTGTCATTACATTTGCATTCTACCGACTTCTTCGCCGGTGAAATCGCGCGCAAAAACGCCGCGACAACGCGTACATAGAACAGGTACCTGATGCAGTCTTTTCAAGCTTGTTGCTAAGAAATCGTACCACTTACATGAAAGTAAAGTATGCGTATGGGAATATAAGACAATTTAAGCCGATCAATTTGTCAAGCAAATGGCAAAAACTAGAGAATATTTTATAAATGACATCTAGAAAAAGAATTTAAACACAACAAAGTAGGTATAGATATAAATACGTAGACTATATAGATATAAATACGTAGACTATATAGATATAAATACGTAGACTATATAGATATAAATACGTAGACTATATAGATATAAATACGTAGACTATATAGATATAAATACGTAGACTATCTGTATGTATTACGAAACGGGTGGAGTGGAGTGGGGTGGGGCGAATACTTTAACGAGATGACCTAGTTTGTATCGAGTGACCGTTCTACATCCTCCCCCCACCCCCCCTATTACGTAAACCTCTATATTAAATAAGAGACAAATAGAATTCTAATCGAATTATTAGAATCTCACCATTCATTTGACTGAAGTAGGTTACAACTTACCATCAGCTCTGTTCTTGGCTACAAATAAACAAACCACATATTAAAATATTTTGTATGAAGAGAGAGAGAGAGAGAGAGAGAGAGAGGGGGGGGGATAACGTCCACTCGACACAAACTATAGGTCATTTCGAGACTAACACATGATTCAATTTTATTTCAAGAGATTTTTAACGTCCATATGGTTCAATTTTATTTTAATAATTAGCTTGCTCGTAGGGGTCTTTGGCAGTGGGAGGAAACCAGAGGACCCGGAAAAAAACTTGAGGTTACACAGGCTACCCTACTCCTTGTCACATACAACCGGGAAACGGAACCACGCCACTTGGCTCAATGACAGACCTTATGCTTTCACGCACATGCGTTAAACTATTAGACCACCCAACCCCACTATTGTGTAAAGAAGAAAATGCTCACGGCATCACATACTGATTTCGATGGGGAACTGGCCCCGAAGCGCTTACTCATTATATTGTTCTTGGGGGCGACTCTCTTTGCAAACTTGTTCCTTGGACAATTGCGCACCAAGGTGGCTGCTATGACGCCATGTGCATGAAATAGCTTTATTTAACGTCGGCTTCCACAGAAGTGATATCGCAGACAATGTGACACCATGTTCGTCTCTTGGTCCATATCTCGCCTACATTCGAACTTGTTTGGGGTTTTTTTTAATTTGTAGTGCCATATTACAATACTCTGGACAATGATTGTTTTATACAAGATTAAAGGTTACCCCCGCCCGACAAAGTGACATTTTTTTTTCTGGACCATTTTCCATGTCCGTGTGTTACATCATCGTCATATAATTATTTTGGAGGTGTCAAGGTCAAATGAAGTGTAGGCCTACATACCTTGACTACAGGTTGTACCAGTCCAGCCTCGTTCACAGCCATACAGACATATGCCACTGATATCACAAGTTTTACCGTGACAATGACATGATTCATCACAGTTTTTACCATATTTTCCTTCAAAGCAAACTTTAATAAACAAAATAAATAAAAAATAAATAAATAAAATGAACTGTTGATTGTTTTCATATTTACAAAATAACGAATATACTATTCGATCATTTGCTTCAGAAGCAATCTGATTAAAACACAGATCCTATTTCGTTTTGAGGTCGGGTGTTCGATCCCTGCATTGGCCGAGAAAGTTCATTCAGATTTTCCGGCGTGGTTTCCCCTTGTCAGTGATGCAAGATGGAGGGCCTGACAAGGACAGCTGTCTAGTCGTTCGGATGGGACGAAAAACCGAGGTCCTGTGTACACATTGGCGTGCACGGAAAAGATCCCTTGGCAGTTGGAATTCGATATAAGAGTAGGACGTACCGCCGGTTAGGAGCAGAACAGTAGGACGATAAACCCCATTTCATTTCATTTCCTATTTCGTTTGGTGGAGGTTAAACCCTCTCTCTCTCTCATACAAAATATTAATGTGGTTTGTTTATTTGTAGCCAAGAACAGAGCTGATTAGTTAATCAAATGTCTGACGTCATAGGGTCAAAAGTCGCTCGTATGACCTCTGACGCAACGGTCAGATCTTTGAGCAGTGTAGGCCATCGAAAGTATAAAAAAACGACACGAAATACAGATCTGTATTGTAATCAGACTGAATGGTCATAATATTGTTTTTTTTCATAACAGCTTTTCCGCCATGTTTTAAGAAACGAAACTGAACAAACCTGCATCTTTTTGACAAACAAATTCTCTTTGTCGTTCCACGTTACACTGGCGATCAAACGACCATTTTCCTGATTTCTTAAGATATGCACAGAAGCTTGCACCTGAATAGGGATGGTAATAAGTGTCCCAGTTTGACCACTCTATCTAAAATACAAATGGTACATGTAAATATGGAATTGTGTTTAACGTCCTACTTTTCTGCACCAAGCGGGTTAATGAACACGGACATACTTGTGCTCACACTGATCCGCAGTGAATATTCGCTAGGCCGCGACAATCACTGATAAGGATGACATCGATACGACTTAATGAGCCACAAATATCAACTTTTTTCCTCCGACAAATTAAATTCTTAAACATTTTTCTTTATGTATTAGAAAAATAAATAAAGACGTTTGAGTATATGTAGGTAAAATTATTTCCTATTTTAGTGTAAATGGGTATTAAAATGAGTAAAAGGCGCCATTCTGCTCGAATCAGTAACGTCTTATGTAAACAATGCACGCACCATTGAGCCAATGATTGACGCCGCGTGATATGACGTCATGTGTTGAAGGCAGTCATCTATTACAGAGATATTAGAAGACTTTCGTAATACTCTAATCTGTGAAACAGATTCACATGTGCTATGAGGGAAATCTTGACGTACAGTGGCGTTTCCGCTAACCCTTCATCGACTTTTTAAGCGCACGCCAACGTGTACACGGGACGTCGGTTTTTTCATACCATCCTTACGACTAGATGCTGTTCCTTTCTAAGCCCTCCCTCCATCTTGCACTAATGACCATCCAGGGGAACATTTTCAGCCAATATAGAGACCTCCTAGTTAGTGAACCAGCGCCTTTATACATTGGGCCACCATGGATTCCGAACATTGTCAACAAATATAAACTATATAAGATACTATCTTAAAGTTAATGAAATTGGCTAAACTAGGCTACAACGTTACAAAATTATCGAAAACAAATAATAAGCATTTGACAACTGTGCGCATTGACTATACCATTGGAAAAATAAATTCCCGGTTTGTGTATCAACAAAAATAGATGGAACTCACCGGTTGGTTATTCAGAAACTTCAACACACGTCTGCCTAGTCTCTCTATCCCAATCCAGAATAACCCACTCCCAGAAAATCGATCTACAAAACGCAAAGGACAGCTCAATCATACCGAAGACACAACCGCACGCACTCTGGTCAACAAATTAGACATCTTTAATTTCATGTCGTGCAAATCAAAAAGGGACACAAAGTCTGATCAACGCTAGCCTGATCTATCATCAGCGTGTGAAAAAAAAACAACAACAAAAAAACAAAAACAAAAAAACAAACCCAAGCAAACCCCGTAAAAATCATCTCCACTTTTCCAAACGTCCCCAAACCTTGCCATGTCTAGTAAATTATATATTAAAAGATGTACATTAGCGGTGAAAGACAAATGAAGCAGTTGAAGCTATAAGAATATAATTTTTAGTCTTCGTCCTAATAATTGAAATAGGACGAAACATAATTAAAATTCATACCGAACAAATAAAGAAGTTGGATTATACATTGTCTTAATTTAGAAATTACGTGAATGGAAGTTAGAAATTACATGAATAGAAGTTAAAAAAATTAGACGATAGCATGTTATAATTTTGAATCTAACATACCGCCATACTTCCAGGACCCCAGAGCCGAAATACATCTTCTCTACCTGCCTAAATCCGTATATACGCGTCCTGACGGGTGCCTCACCCCTCCGTCAATGAAGGTTTTAAAGGGGCATTTTGGGAGATAAGATAAAGAGCTAGTAGTTCTCACTATAATAGTTAAAAACTAGATAATGTAAAGGGAATATGCTGAAAACTCTGAACGGAGATATTAGTGTTTGAATTTTAGGCCTAGCCTCGATCATCATTACTAAAGTCGGTACGATAAAAAAGCAGTCTCGATTATCCATTTTTATTTAAATCATCAATGAGCGTTGAGCAGCAAATCGGATTCAAATCCAGTGAAAATCCGACACAAAAGATGGCATCGATAGTTGATTAAGGTCCTTTCATGATAATAAATGTCTAATTAATATTTAAAATAACATTTCAGGCCCAAAGAAAGACCTGCAATAGGCAGATTTAGCTCTTGCATAATGCATGTTTAAATTATCACACAAACTTACCAACTAACCACATGTTAAATTCTTTGGTATTAGGAGTAACAAGTGTCCCGCCTTGCCGTGAACAGGCATCCTTTGCTTCTGAAAAGTACTCCGGCTCCTTTCGGAATTGAACGCACACGGATACATTGTACTGTACCCAACCATCGTCACAATACGAGTTACTAACATTGTTTACAATCTCTGGAACAAGAAAAAAGATACCCCAATAAAATGTATAATTTAAATAAATATGTTGGCAGGAAATGGGACATACACTCACCAGCACCCAAGTCGCCCGATACGTCCATAAACGCTACAATGATTTAACTCCATGGGCGAATTAAGATCGTACAAAATAATATTGGAGCAGTCCCACGAGGTTAGTCTTTTTAAAGCCCCAGCAGTTTAGTGTTCCTGGATCAAAGATATTTGTCATAAATAGTGATTGAAAGTTGAGTAAATTCTGAGAATACTTTGTGGACTCGGGGCCATGTTGATTTTTAAAGCCCCAATAGTTAGAGTGTTTTAGGGTTTTGATTACAGTACAGTTACTGTACGGGCACCCCCCCCCCCCCTCCCCAAATAAACACCACATGGGGTGTTCCCATCTACATTAGGTTGCTTGAAAAGAGTAAGCCCTTAGACCCCCGCGATAGCCAACGAGTCAAAACATCATTCAAGCTAAGTTCAAATATTTAAAGAACTTTTGAAATCCTTTCTTCGTCCCCCGGACCCGTTTAGCATGACGTTTGCTATGACATTGCAATTCGGGAAAAACTACGATATAGGATAATGAATGATAATGAAATGCCTCCTGGAAACGATAGAATAAAGCAAGAAGTCACCATATTTCAAACAAATGAAATGAAATGGGGTTTAACGTCCTACTTTTCTGCATCGACTGGTGAATGAAGAAGGATATTTCAAACAACTATTCCGATGTCTTTGATAAATATACACAACCCTAAAATTCTCTCAGAGCAGGGCGGGTTACAATATATATTAGATTTGGCACTTACCTGTTGAAGAGACGGTTTGACAATAAGAAACACCGACAAGAAATAACGTATATAAAAAAATAATTAATAAAGTTGAACATTTTAAAAGCACCATCTTGTTATAATTATAGCCTTTTGTAACGAAAGATGGGTGACCTCCCTTTGTCGCGTGATTACTCCCATTAATTAATTAACTAATTTGATAAGATAATTAAATAAAGAGTTCGGGTTATAATTTACTTCATCAAGATCTCATTTAATATGGTCATTGATCATAAATATAACGGTTAGATCATTTTAAGAAGTATGGAAACTACGTTGGCTCAGCCTTCGGATGAGACGAAAAACCGAGGTCCCGTGTATACATTGGAATGCACGTAAAAGATCCCTTGGCAGTTGGAATTCGATATAAGAGTAGGCGATAGTGCCGCTGCCCTGGCAAGATTTCCCCCTCATAGCACACTGTATGGCGTATGCCCGTCTTCATTAGCCCAGCATAGGAGCAGGAGCACCCGGTGTTGAGAAAGTTCCTCGGGATTTTTTTAGCGATGCTTTCCCTTGTCAGTGGTGCAGGGCGAGGGGCTGACAAGGACCATGCTCTAGTTGTTCAGATCGGATGAAAATATTGACAGTTGGAATTCCTTATGTCCGGGCAAAAGTTTCCTCATTCGATGCCGTATGTCTGTCTTCATTAGCCCGTTTGGTGCAGAAAAGTAGGGCGTTAAATCTAATTTCATTTTACTAAGAATGAAAAGATTGAAAGTATTACGAAACCCCAATCCAATTAAATAGGAACTTATTCCTCACTCCCTAGGACACCAATTGGGGGAGCCATGCTGGCTAAGTGGGTAAGACGCTGGCTCGCAAGCCTGGAGGTCGCGTGTTCGATGCCTGCATTGTCCGAGAAAGTTCTCTTAATCAATCGTGCAGGACGGAGGGCCCGACAAGGACAGCTGTCTAGTCCTTCGGATGGGACAAAAAATCGAGGTCCCGTGTACACATTGGCGTGCACGTAAAAGATCCCTTGACAGTTGGAATTCGATATAAGAGTAGGCCATAGTGCCGCTGCTCGGGCAAAATTTCCCTCATAGCACACTGTATGGTGTATGCCCGTCTCCATTAGCCCAGACGGAGCAGAAAAGTAGGACGTTGTATATACATCTCCATTTGTTGTCTTAGATATGTATCAAAACACTAGATTGTACCTCAAAATGTACATCAGTGTTAGCAGAAAGATCGCTTTAAAACTGCAGCAGCTATTTTGTGGAACGGCATATCAAGACAGACAAAACCCGAACAAGTTTTAATCTTTTTGTAAGAACTTTTTACAGTCCGGCAATATCTATGGAGATAGAGAGAATGTTTCAGGTTTCACTTTTTAATAGGGGCAAAGACAGTACTTTGTAAGAATGATCAATCTGAATAAAATACAGATCTATATTTCGTTTCGTTTTTTATACTTTCAATGGCCTACAGTACATGAAGATCTGAACGATTGTAGTGGAAGGTCGCGTAAGGGATCGTACGAGCGGCTTTTGACCTTATGACGTCAGACATTGATCAGCGCTGGGGTTCCTAGTGGTTTACCCACAGTTCCGTGCATCGCACGCCAAGAACTCGCCGTAACAGACCGTTTCATTGGATAATCCCTCACATCATTCAGAACACGTCAATGATAACAACTCTTCCAGATCCTAGTGTAGTAAAGACAAGTAAAACGAAATTTTGAACTATAAAAAACGAAACGGAATAGGATTTGTGTTTTAATCAGATTGTAAGAATGACTAGAGTAAAATAAAATCAATCCACCAATTAATGATGGATAAGAGGTTGGGTTTTCTATATTCATTGGGTTTCAAGGACAGATGATGGTACTGCTTCAATTCATGACTGGCAATAAATGAAATGAAGTGTAACGTCCTACTATTGTGCTGCAAATTGCCCAATGACGACAGTACACCCCATAGAGGGTTCTATAAGAAGCGGTGCTATGGTCTACTCTAATTTCGAATTCCAACTGTCAAGGGTTCATTTAGCTGCATGCCAACGTGTACGCGGGACTTTGGTCCTTGGGCTCATGTTGTGTCTTTGTCTAAATGTTGGTTGACGCTTTCTATTAGTAAATGCCGGGGGACTACACATCCCACGTACTAATGAAAGTAAAATGACATGATTTTATATAAAAAAAACCAGTGATATTTTGGTAAATCATTTATTTATGACATATATCTGGTAGACCAAATATGGTAATGTTCTCCCCCCTGGTCTTGGGAAATGGGGATGTTTATTCCATATTTGGGATAGAAATTAACGTCAACGTCAGTCTAGGACGTGCAGAAATTAGGGTGTTATATTAGGGTGTTGAGCGAGACTAATCAGAGCTCACCCAGATATTCTGAGCAGCCATCATCTATGCTTTATTGAGAACGAGGGACCTGTAGTTTTATTACGATCACAAGGAACACAACAAGGAAGTCCGATATTACTACAACTTTGGTACCCTCCTAACCATGTTGTTCCTTGTCAGGTCCTGTGTACTTCACCATTAACAAGGCGTTTGTTTGTTACCACTTTGGAAAACCCTGAGGTATTTTCTGGACCATTATCACCTGTAACTACTTGGATGGCTATCCAAAACTTTACTCACTAAGACACCCTTATTCCGAATGGCAATAAATTTCAAGGCCTTTTTAATGTAGAACAGTTATATTATTAAACTTATAAACATTAAATGTCAAAACATGTTGTTATGTAGTTTAGCAGGGGCGGATCCAGAATTTTCAGAAAGGGGGGGGGCTTGCTGCCCCCACTTGGGAGTGCGAAGCCTGGCCCTCGGTGGGCGGACTCACGGGCAATCAACCAAGTCACCAACCGATTCGTTTCGGAGTAAATTACGATTTCCAACCTAAACTGACTGTTAATTCCTTTCCCGCGAGAATATATGATGTAACAAATTGTTCGCCACGGCAAAAAATAGTGGGGGCCCCTAGCTGGATCCGCACCTGGTTTAGGGTCCCTCTTTAATCTTGATGAATTTCTTGATACATGTATATTTGTTTGAGGTCTTTGGAAAGCACCATTGAAGTTCACATTTTAAAAAGTTGTTCTTGGCAAAGTCTTTGGGACCTCTGGCTTCCAATAGTCTTCCCTAGCACTGAAAATGCATGGGGGGGTGGATGGCCGAATGGCTAGCCCGTGCGCGCTGTATCATAAGGCCTGTCATTGAGTCAACTGGTGTGGTTTTGAATCCCTGGTTGTATGTGACAAGGAATAGGAGAGCCTGTCCAACCACGTGGGTTTTCTCCGGTTTTCTCCCACTGCTAAAGACCCCCCGCATGGAAGCGAATTATTGAAATAAAATTAAACCATATGTTAGTCCCGAAATGACCTAGTTTGTGTCAAGTGGACGTTAAACCCCATTTCTCTCTCTCACTGAAGATGCATAACCATTCAGCTATCCTTCATATTAATTAGAAATATTGTCTGTACAGAAAGTTTATATCTGTCACTTCTGCTCAAAACCCAACACGATTGGTAGGCTGGACCAGGCCATTTTTTAAGGTCTTGAAACTGCCGGGGCCCCCGTACATTGGCCTTAAAAAATGGCCTGGGATTGACTCCCACCCATAAAAGAAATTACCAACAGATTTTATATTTAAAAATTTATACACGATTTTGTTAAAACATAAAAGATTTCACATAAAAATATATTTTTTTTTACAAATATGATTATCATATTATCAATTAAATTAAATATAAAGTTATTCTAACGGACAGTCTACACATAGATTGCTTGATAATGGTGAGAATATCCTCATTGTAATGCTGCAGTTAATAAACCTAGTGAATATTATCCATAAAGCTGTCTGTTGATATATATATGGCTTTCACTAAATAATATCCTTTAAAGATACCTACAATGGCTTACTAGAAAAGAAATGAATCCCAAAAGTTATACATAAACAGGTCTCTTTTAAATATTTCACATTGCACTTAAAAAATACACAAACATTATGAACACAACAAGGATTTACGCATTTGCTTCACTTAAAAAACATGTAATTTAAGCAGCACTTGTCAACCACAGAAACACTCTGTAAGATTATTTAAAACCTTACTTATTATATATACAATATGTTTCATAAAAATATAAATATAGCTTGCCAGTTAATGAAACCTACTTTTGGTGAAAAATGTCCTGTATGTGAAGTTGATGATGCACTTGAAGAGACAGTTGATCAAACTGTTCTCATTACTACTGGTGAAAAATGCCCTGTACTGGAAGCTATGCTGATTCTCTAGAATGTCTTGTATTGGAAGCTATGATGGTGCTCTATAAAGCCCTGTACTAGAAGCTATGATACTCTAGAATGTCCTGTACTAGAAGCTATGATGCTCTAAAAAGTCCTGTACTTAAAGCTATGATGATGCTCTAAAATGGCCGGTACTGGAAGCTATGATGATGTTCTTGTTTTGGAAAATCTAACATTTTTATATACAAAAATTATTCTTACACATTTAAGTGTAAGATTGATGCTTTGTTAGATTATACAGTGTACACATAGCTTGATTAGATAATTGGTTCACGTCTATCGTTATTTACACTATTATATCTCACTGTCATCAGATCCTCTGTAAATAATGCTGAACAACAAGATATTCCTAAAATAGAGAAAACAAAGTCAAACTAGTGATTGCTCAAATTCCATTGTACTGGGGTGGGTGGGTGGGTTGGTCGAATGGTTACTGAGTCAACTGGCGCACGGGAATTATTGAAATAAAATAGAACCATCTTCTAGTCCTGAAATGACCTAGTTTATGTGTGTGTGTGTCTCTCTCTCTCCTATCTTACTCACTTACTCACTCATTGTAGTGAAAAACGTTATTACCGGTTTGATTGCAGGTAAGCTCCCTCCCCTTAAAACTGAAAATCGCTCTCCTTTACAAGTCATGTGAGGGGTTTATCATCATTTATGGAACCAGGAATGACCCCCAAAGATGCAGTTATTGATCTTCAGAACCATTTCCCATACACACAATCACTCTCCTTAATATCAGATCACTTTTCTTTTCTAAACTAGCAGAGCTTTTTTAGGGGAGCGATTTTTTCAATTTGTCAATTAAGGGGAGTTTTTCTCAGCTCCCCTCTAAAATACAAATAGCAACGACTGCATTTAACATTCAAAATTTTGAATCAAAGATTATCATCAAATTAACAATTTAAGCCAACAGCAGAATGGAAACTATTCAACAGTTCATTTAATTTACAGAGAAAGATTCTAAAGCAAAATGTCATTCTGCACATAGTGAACTTTCCACTTTGAGAATAGATCTCTGCCCTAAATGGTCGCCATATCCAAAAATAAGTATATTGTTTTGTAATGTGGTTCTACTCTGTTTAACATCTGCCATACACACATAAAGACTTAATAAACTTTTTCAATTCCATTAAATGGAAGCAGAATAAATACATCTTAAAATTCTCGAAGTATACTTAGTGTTTTCGACTAAAATCGTCGATTTAGGACTTAAAATGTTGATCAAGTAGCTTAGTGTCTGTTCTCAAGCAGAGCTAACTGTAGACAGACATCCTAAGTTTAGTATGTTGTAGAATGTGAAGAGCCTGACAAACCTGAAGATTTGTGAAGAGTAATGATCTTGATATGTAGAGTTGTCTCCCCTGTTTATCATACCTCCATAAATGTAAAACTTTTCCTGCAAGACAGAGATAATCAAATTACTCAATAATAATAAAAATAACATTGTTCAAACCAGGGTTCTTAATCCATTTTGAAACGAACTGGCCAGAATTGGGTCAAATGAGGTCCCGGTAGGAAATCGGTTAATTATAAGTTTCCATTCCCTTTAATATAACGACAATTCCACAAAAATAATTCTTGGTACTTTGTTATTGAGAATGTCGTATTATGATGTATGTGATTACCACAAAAATAACGACAAATAGGTACACCATTTGAAAATTTTCCATATTTAATTCACGTACCAGCTTTCAAGTTCACATCAGTAATTCTGTTGAATAAATTATTCGATGAAACGTTCGTATTTCATCAGTCGATGAACTTCAAACTTTAATTGTGTCCCAGTTAATGCTAATGTGTAAGCCTTAAAACAATTGCGTTAAATCATATGGTCTGGACGCAATTAATCTGTCCAACAAATTATGACAGACTGGCAACTAAAGTGGTTGATCTGTTAAATTTCTTTAACTATTGTTTTAAATGTAAAACAAAAATAAAAATGGTTCGAGTGCCCAAGTTTAGATGTGTCGTTGATTCCATAAAGTAGTTAGGTTTTAGAACGTTAAATACTGTGTAATTCAACATGGCGACCGAGGGGTTTAATATGATATAGGTACGAAATATTACCAAATGGTTTATTTATATGAGAGTCAAGGTTTGGACTATAATGCCTTGGAAATCGGGAGTAGGAGGCGACTAGTATGTGTCTCTCTTTTGTGGACCGATGTGAGATTGTCCGTTGTATTAACTGGACAGGTAGGCCTATTCACCTTCGGTTATGTGTCAATGTCAAATGAGCGGCTTCTTATCAACAAGATCGGCTCTAGACCAGTTTGATTCTAGGTATCTCTCGTAGCTGAGAGAATAAAGATTTTTTAGCCGAGAGAATATCTTCCGTCAAAGTAGTGGTTGATTCAGAGGCAAAAGAAGGAATCACGACTGACCGATTTGATCAACAAAATTTGCCTCAATGAGATCGTAAGCAAAGAGTGAGATAATATAAGAGATGAGGTGGGTATGAAGACCTGTTATCCTGAATGTCAGTACTGACATTCAGGATAACCAGGTCTTCATAGCCACCTTATCTCTTATATTATTGGTTTAAATGTCTCAAGATTTAATCTTTCAATAATTATATTTTTATGTCAACACTTTCATAGTAACTAATTTATATAAAAAGACAAATGTATGTAAGATGACTCATTAGTTGGTGAGGCCAGCTTAGGGAACATATATACTAGTTGGAGGTCCGGTAAATTGTTGCTGTTAATTATTTGTTCCTGAAATAAAGTGTTGAAGATCCATTCCAAGAATCTGTATTTATTTTCTATACTTAGAGAACACACGTCGTCGAACTACATTCCCTGAAAGTCGTAAGGTGTTACCCGTCTTCATTGGTCCAGTCAGTGTAGAAAAATAGAACGTTAAAAACTGTTTCATTTCGTTATAAAATCATAAAAGGGCCAATCCCGATAATACTTTGGAGAATAAAACTGCTTAATTTTGTGTTAAAACCCCTTAAAATCCTCTACCTAAGGGCCGAACAACTTACACCCGTCAGTCTTCATCTGGAAATGGAGACCGGTGTCCCAAGCGATATTATGCGGTGTCTGGATAAAACCAGACTTTTATTTTATAAAAACTATGTGTAGGTCAAATTTACCTTTTTGTTATCCAGTACGGCACATGGGTCATTCACTGTATGGCCACCCAACGAAAAAATTGACCAGAAATCTCAAAAGGGTTACGTGTCCGGATAAGCATTTTTGACCTTCACTTGCAACGTGCAAACAACTCTATATTTTGAGCTGAAATTTTGAGACAAGGTAAATACACCATTCCTCTATATTTTGGAGATTAGATTTCATACGAACTCAGTCTTTTATTTTTGAGACTCTGTTCAAATCGTGATAGTCCCTTTAAGAAATAATTAAATATTAAACCTACCTAAAACGGTTTCAGAGTAATTACCACTTTCATCAGCTACGAAATAATTTCCTTCAACACAACTAATCTGATCCAGCTTATTGACATTAATTAATAAATCTTCTTCTAGAGGTTTAAATAAAGCTGTACCACTCGTCTTCCATTCCTCTGTATGGAACACATGAGTGCTATTTCTAACTGGTAGAAAATGTCGACCTTAAATATCAATAGAATAAATAAATGATTATTTGGTTTTAAAGAAAGAGAGAGAGAGATGGGGTTTAACGTCCACTCGACACAAACTAGGTTATTTTGAAACTAACATATGGATGAATATTATTACTTAGGTGTAGGGGTCTTTAGCAGTGGGAGGAAACCGGAGGACCCAGAGAAAACATTTGAGGTTGGACAGGTGACTCTACTCCTTATCACGTACAACCGAGGAATTAAAACCACGCCAGTTGACTCAATGATACAACGCGCTAACCATTTGGCCATCCAACCCTCCGGTTTTTAAGAAAAAGCAACCTTACAAAAATGCATCCACACGCTCATCAACTAAGTCTACTGTAAAATATCACGGTAAAAATTCCATGACATAATCAAGAGCAACAACTCAAGAAGTAATTAATCAGAATTATTCTTATTTAAAGGGACTTTAGGTAAGATTGGATAATGGGCTGACAGTTCTCGCTATAATAGTTAAAAAATTAGATAACTAAAACAGAAAATTTCAGTCAAATTAGCGAATCATTTTTAGGCTATCCTTGATCGTCATTATTAATGTTGGTACGATAATAAACAAAGTCTTGATTATCCATTTTTATTTTAAACTATCCATAACAAAATGTATTCAAATCCAGTAAATATTGCACGCTAACGATGGCATCAAGAGTTGATTATGGTCTTGGCATGTTAGTAAATGTCTAATTAATAATTTAGATAACATTTCAGGCCTAAAGAAAGACCTGTAATAGGTAGATTTAACTTTTGTATAATGTATGTTTAACAAGACTTTTTTGTTGCAATTATCAAAACAAGCTAAACTCGATCAAACAATACTTTTGCTGTTTGACAAGATTCCATAAAGCACTAGCAAGATTCCATAAAGTGCGCAAGGACAATAACTCTAAAATTTAGAGTCTAAAGTAAGGTAAACAAAAGAATTTGTTGAAATTTGATAGATTTCTTTAATCTGAACAATCTGTAATAGTATTAGACCGACTGCTAACCTTCGTCGCTTGAGCATTGGGGGATTGGGCGGCCAAATGGTCAACGTGTACGCGTTGTATCATAAGGTCTGTCATTGAGTCAACTGGCATTGTTTTGATTCACTGGTTGTACGTGACAAGAAGTAAGGTTGCCTGTCTAATTTCATGGGTTTTTCTCCAGGTCCTCTGGTTTCCTCCCACCACTAAACACTCCTACGCGCAAGTGAATTATTGAAATAAAATTGAACCATTCATTAGTCCCTTGTTTGTGTCGAGTGGATGTTAAACCCCATTTCTCTCTCTCTCTTTTTAATTCATGTAAGAGAAACATCAAGCAGATAATCTACCAATTTTGTTTATCAGTTAAATACCTATTAATAACATTATCTAGGAATGGTTAATCAGTTATTAATAATTAATTCATTTAATATTTTGTTATCTGATGTAGAAAACTTCGTTTTATGTGTCTTTGTCAATTAACCTTAGTAAGCTTAATATGCCCACATTAGAGAGAGCGAGAGAGAGAGAGAGAGAGAGAGAGAGAGAGATGGGGTTTAATAATAATAATAATAATAATATCTTTATTTTCAATAACCTCCACTCGACACAATTTAGGTCATTTCGGGACTAACATATGGTTTAATTTTATTTCAATAATTCGTTTGGGGAGTCTTTAGCAGTGGGGGGAATCCTCCCACCTCCATCCCATTGTGATAAGCATCAAGAGTATTGTTGTAATAACAAAGTTCAGTTCATAATGTAATTAGCCGACCACAATATACATTCCCTAATTAAGATAAAAACAGTGAAAAACAAGAGAATAATATTATTTTCTATGTGAACTCTATTTGACTGTGTATTTAACACAATATGCTTATATAAACATGTGTATATAACTTACTAATGAGTCTCACAGGACAGTAACAATAATTACTTGGAAGGGTTGTAATAATCAGGACAATAAATCTCTCTAGATCTAATTCTGTTATAGAGAGAGAGAGAGAGAGAGAGTTTAATGTCCACAGGACATAAATTACATCGATTCGGGACTAACATATTGGTCAATTTTATTTCAATAATTCGCTTGCGCGTAGGGGTCTTTAGCAGTGGGAGGAAACAAGAGGCCCTGAAACCCATGAGGTTGGACAGGTGACCCTTTTCCCTGTGACGTACAACTGGGGAATCGAATGCCAGTTGACTCAATGACAGACCTTATGATACAGCACGCATGTACTAACCACCCCCCCCCCAAAATGGAATAAGACCCCTGTTCTAAAGTTTGTTTCGATTCATTTTAAACAATATATTTATTAAGGATAACTGAATGAGATTGGGGAACAGGTTTAGACTATGTAAAACTACTGGTAGTTATAGTTTCTATTGAATTGAATTTTACTTTTCGCTTCAGTGGAGATTTGAAGTACCGGTATATTTGTTTTGTTTGCACTGACATCAAAGTCTAGATACAATGTATTATCTTATCTAGATTTTTTTAGAAATTTTCAAGGTTACTATGACATATCATGATACCTTTCAGCACTTATTTAACAATCAATGATTTCAAGGATTAAAATTATCAATTGACCTTTTATTTTATGGAAGAAATGGGGTTTAATGTCCACTCGACACAAACTAAGTCATTTCGGGACTAACATATGGTTTAATTTTATTTCAATAATTTGCTGGCGCATAGGGGTCTTTAGCAGTGGGAGGAAACCGGAAGACCCGGAGAAGTAACCCTACTCCTTGTCATGTACAACCAGGGATCCAAAACCACGCCAGTTGACTCAATGACAGACCTTATGATACAGCGCGCACGTGCAAACCATTCGGCCATCCAACACCCCATGAACAACTAAAATGTCCATATATCATCACTGTAACGTATAAATACCTCTAGTCTAGATCCTACTACAAATGTTTATTGTTTTCTTTTGTATATGAGAAGTAAGTAACACATGCTGTATATTCAATTGATCTGTTTGACCTCTTGAACTCTATGTTATATTATTCTCTTTGATGTTTATTTAAATGGTCATTAAGATTACAATATGATTCACCAACATAACGTATTACATGCTGTGCTCAGCAGTTTTTTCTAGGCTAAAATGGGTGGGTAGATGGATTTTTTCAACATGCATATTCACCACCATAACTTATTACATGCTGTGTTCGGCAGTTTTTTCTAGGCTAAAATGGGTGGGTTGATGGATTTTTTTAACATACATATTCACCATCATAACTTATTACATGCTGTGTTCAGCAGTTTTTTCTAGGCTAAAATGGGATGGTTGATAGATTTTTTTTAACATACATATTAACCACCACAACTTATTACATGCTGTGTTCAGCAGTTTTTCCTCATACTCCTTGCAGTGTTTCGTTTGATTAGACCTAATCCCACTCAATCAACAACCAGTACATAACCACGTAACAAAATCAATGGGGATTAACCAGAGCTCTAAATATATTACCGTAAATTGTCTGGTGACAAACACGGCTACATTACGCCAGAACGCACGAAATGTATTACGCTCAATTAACCGGTGCATAAACAGAATATTGCAGAGAAACTACTTGTTTGATAAATGAGGCTATCTGAAATAGCTACAATGTAAACATTTGGTAATCGCTGCGCACATGGAATCTTTTTATCATCTCTTGGGCCACACAGCAGATCAAAGAGAAGGGCTGTTGAATTGAAATTTCATTGATCTGTGCAGCTTGCTATGTAATAAGTTAACGCCATCTTTACATCTTCGCAAAAGCTGATTGATGGGCCTGTTTTGAACCTGATTGAATCCAAGCTGAGACATTATCTATTTTATCTGATGTGGATCAAATTGTGGGAAATTAACATCTACTTGACACAAACTAGGTCATTTTGGGACTAATATATGGTTCAATTTTATTTCAATAATTCGCTTGAGCGTAGGGGTCTTTAGCAGTGGGAGGAAATCGGAGGACCCAGAGAAAACCCACGAGGTTGGACAGGCAACCCTACTCCTTGTCACGTACAACCAGGGAGAGAGAGAGAGAGAGAAATGGGGTTTAACGTCCACTCGAAACAAACTAGGTCATTTCGGGACTAACACATGGTTCATTTTTATTTCATTAATTCGCTTGCGCGTGGGGGTCTTTAGCAGTGGGAGGAAACCGGAGGACCCGGAGAAAACCCATGAGGTTGGACAGGCGACCCCACTCCTTGCCACGTACAACCGTGGAATCGAAACCCCGCCAGTTGACTCAATGACAGACCGTATGATATAGCGCGCGTGCTAACCATTCGGCCATCCAACCCCCCCGTACAACCAGGGAATTGAAACCACGCCAGTTGACTCAATGACAGACCTTAGGATACAATGCACCCCACTAGCCTCCCTGGGATACAGTATAATAAGATTCAAGCCCAGAAATATTATATGTACCAGTACACTGAAATAAGAGATGAGAGCTCTCTATACTTTTTATATAGTATTGTTCTATTGTTTGTAAGTACATCAGATATTTGTACTGTGAACTGTAGATATCATATTCCATTAACGATCAGATTACAAAATCTTACATACAGATACCATCTACTGTTTAACTCGAAATAATTTTTTTTTCTTTTTTTTTAGCATATCTTTACGTATATCTACAAATGTTAACCATACATTATGTAAGAGCTAAATCTGTCTGTTGCAAGTTTTTATTTAGGCTTCAGATGTTATAGAAATTATTAATTAGACCTTTATTTTACACGAGAAGGGTGTTCGATCCCTGCATTGGCCGAGAAAGTTCATCCAGATTTTCCGGCGTGGTTCTCCCTTGTCAGTGATGCAGGACGGAGGGGCTGGCAAGGAAAGCTGTCTAGTCGTTCGGATGGTACGAAAAACCGAGGTCCCGTGTACACATTGGCGTGCACGTAAAAGATCCCTTGGCAGTTGGAATTCGATATAAGAGTAGGCCGTAGTGCCGCTGTCCGGGCAAAATTTCCCTCATAGCACACTGTATGGCGTATGCCCGTCTTCATTAGCCCAGGTTAGGAGCAGAACAGTAGGACGTTAAACCCCATTTCATTTCATTTCATTACACGAGAAGCTCAAAATCAACTCTGTAGACCCACGGATGGCTTGGATACAGTGTGGATTTAAACAGTCGTCCATTTAAAATTAAATTAATAAATGACTGACCAAGCTAACGTTTACAGTTAAGTCCCTGATGTCCATGCCGGAAACTGGTGATGAAAGGCCTGTCAAGCGAGGCTACCACCATAGCCATTGAGCATGTTACTTGATAATCGAGAAAATGTTTGTGGAGTTATTGTCTGTCAATCAAACGATCGCCAATTCTTATAGACGGTGCAGACACAATTGATGCCTATTTCTAGTCTAAACTTCCAACAGTGACAATTCCGTTCAGAAAAAATTAATTTGACTGAAATTTTCAACATTTTCTTTTTCTATTATCTATTTTTGAATTATTATGTGCAAGAATGGCCAACTCTTTATAAAACTCTTAACTAATGTATCTTTAACTATCAAGCACACTTATATTCAACAAATGTTTTTGATTTGTCAATTGGTTAAATAGGCGGCCTATACCTTTTTATTTTTGGGACTTTGAATTTTGTCTAATGGTTTGGAGTGTTCGTACTTGGGTTTATTTTATTATTACCCCAAACAAATTGCAAAAGAAACCAATGCAGTTTGGTTCAATAATACATATATGTCAGACAGCATCATAAAAGCGAAATGACATAATTAACATAATTCAATATGGCAGTCGTCAGATAGTTTCTCGTAACCAGTGTGTTTTAGCAGTAGAAGAATAACACTTCTAAAAAATTCTTCAAACACAAAGTGGTTATAGAGACGAAATGTGCCGAAAAACGAATATGACCAAAATAAAACCTCAAAAAATGTATATTTCACATGGTGTCGGTTATTTCTTTCAAAATGGCTGCCAAATACAGTAATAAAATATCATTTTCTCCATATACATGTAACCAGCGAGAATCTCGTAGAGATATGACTTTATGCTATGTCTTTTATATGGTTTTCGATGTCCCTGAGTTAAAAGATAAATTTTAAACATCCAACATGGCAGCAATTCAAAATGACAGCCAAACTGAAATCCAAAATTACGGATTTTAAGTTAATCATCATTTTGTCCCCTTAGGATATGATTTGTAATATGTCTTTTACATGGTTTATGATGTCGGTGGGTTCAATTCTGTAATGTAAATGGTGTTTTCTAGAGTATATCCTGATATCTCTTGCTTATGCACATATTTAGGGTGCGGCAATCTTAGCAATTCATCAAAACAATTAGGGACCCCTGAAACATTAAAACGTGTTGCAAATTTCTGCATTACTTGATTACTTTAATTATCAGTAAAACATACGCCATATAAAATGTTAAGTCATATATTATTTTACATCTACAAATGTTTTCAATTTATCCAAAAAACAATTTATTGTTATTTCATGAAGAAAGATATGGTGTCAAAGCCTGTTACAAATTTCCGTATTACATGGTCGACTTTAAATTCTCATATAAATTAACAATTGGTATATTGGTCGGGTATTTTACTGCTATAATTAGGACAGTTTCCGGTTAATCGAAAATTCCAATAAACAATTTATGTTTAATTCGAGGGGTAAGTGCAACAGGTGGTAGACAATATTTAAATGTTGTTTAAATATGTATTTTCATAAACTTATTATGTGGATAGATTATTATATGGAAGGTCCGCCTGTTTTAAAATAGCCACGAGAGAATAACTCCTTACTCTGACTCAGAAAAATCCTATGCAAAACAAAAATTTGCATTTTATCAAAAATTCCAATTAACAATTCATATTTGTGGTAGGCCATATTTAAACTGATAATGTGGAAACTATCTGTCGACATGAGGGGGGAGGGGGGTTGAAGGTCTCTGCACTCTTATGACTGTAAATCATGCTTTCTAGAGCCTATCCTGTTTTTTGTTTTAGCTTTTGCACATATTTAACATGTGGCAGTCTTAACAATTCATCAAAACAGATAGGTGCCAAGTAATGAAACATATGCCTACTACAGCAGCTAAGTCGTACTTGCGTTCAAAACATTTACAACACACTAAAATCTGATTACAAGTAACAATCGTTAAGTAATTATCAGAAATCACTGGAATTTGTTTCGATTGTTTGTCTCATGACCTTATAAACACCGTGTATAAATTAATATTAACATTCGCAAGATTTCTCAAGTGATCAAGAGCAATAACTCTGGTGGCAATTATCGGAAATTGTTGAAAATTAATAGGCTTTTTCATCTCAAGACCTTAAACATTGTGTGTAAATTTAAAGGCAATCGGATATTAACTTCAGCTTCCAAAGAGCCCAAAAGTGATCATGGGCCATAACTCTGGCATAACCATTTCTGAACTAATATTAGGACGCAAATTTTTAACAACTGGATATATCGAAACGACGTTTACCCCAGTGAAGATGATTCAAAGATATACCAAATAAAGAAAATTGTACTAAGAAGAAAAGAATGCTAGATAGATGTTTGGATTTCTTAAATTTATTTTTGAACCCAAAATATTGAAAAGACCAAAGATCTTTTGGAGATAAAACTATATTTCAAGTTTCATCAAAATCGGATAAGAATTGTGACCTGTAGAGTGTCCACAAACAAATTAAGGATGGAAATCCGGACAGGGGCTATGACATAATACCTCCACACGAAAATGTAGGCGTATAAAAATGCTTAATTAACAAGATTTTTAAAGAAAATGCAGGAAATTATGTGTATTTGCCAAGATTTTATATTAAATTATAAGTTATTCACTTTTATTCTTACTTATTAATTATATTTCTAAATAGAACCAGTAACCAACTTTATAATAAATAAAATATAAGAATTCAATCTCCCATTCATGAAAAGAAAGATATAAATAGGCTATTGAATAGATATTTTCCAGCTCTATATGGTCTAAATAAAAAAGGAAAATAAAAACAGGATCTTTTTTCATTTATCTGTTGATCTGACTTGATATTTTTGCAAAGTCATATTTTTATATTTAGTCAGCCCTACAAAACACATGATAAAACACTATGGCAACAACTGCAGTGGCTGGCAATTTGTCAGGTACAACATGTAGTGTATGGCAATTTATCTGGTACAATATCTTTAGTGACTGGCAATTTGTCAGGTACAACATCTGTAGTGACTGGCAATTGGTTCGGTACAACATTTGTAGTGACTGGCAATTGGTCAGGTACAACATATGTAGTGACTGGCAATTGGTCAGGTACAACATATGTAGTGACTGGCAATTTGTCAGGTACAACATATGTAGTGACTGGCAATTTGTCAGGTGCAACATCTGTAGTAACTGGCAATTTGTCAGGTACAATATCTGTAGTGACTGGCAATTTGTACGGTAGGCCTTCCACAATTGCATGTACTTTTATATGAATTAGCTGATTTCTTATCATATCATTAATCAAATAATTTCTTAATTATCAAGCAGGAGTAGTAGCAGTACTTACCAAAAACCATCTCGTTATTGTTAGTAAAAGATGAATTTGAAAGACAAGATTGTTGGTCGGTCATCTTTCTCTTCTTGTGTATGTTAAAATTATTATCACCATCACTGTCATCACAACTTAATGAATCACACGCTATATTCATTCTTCCTTCCTAATTACTGCAACTAGAATAATAACAACTATATTTATTACATAGCGGGGATTTATATAGATTATATATTTTACAGATCAAGTTAAACAAACGGTCAATCTGATTAAAATACAGATCTATATTTCATTTCGTTCATAACACTTTTGATGGCTTACACTAAATGAAGATCTGACCAGTTGTAGTGGAAGGTCACGTCAGAGGTCATATGAGTGGCTTTTGACCCCATAAACTCTGACATTTGATTAACCAATCAGCGTTGAAGTAAGGGGGGGGGGGGAGTAGGGAGAGGTTAACTGAGTGGTCTGCCATGTGAGCTTCACTGGACATGATTTTAATCCCAATAATATATGTGACAACGGGTATAATCGCCTGCCTAATTGTGTGGTTTTTATTGCGGGACCTGCGTGCAAGCGAATTATTAAAATGAAAATGCACCGTACGTCGATCCCAAATCACCCTATTTCTCTCTCACTAACAAGGAAAAAAACAACACTGGAAAATCTGGTCCCTGGATAATTAATGAGAGAGAGAAATGGATTTTAACATCCACACAAAATAGGACATTTTGGGATGAACATATGGTTCAATTTTATTTCAACAATTCGCTTGCGCATATGAGTCTTTAAGAGTGGGAGGAAACTGGAGGACTCGGAGAAAAGCCAAGAGGTTGGACAGGCGACCCTACACCTTGTCACGTTTAACCAGGGAATCAAAACCACGCCAGTTGACTCAATGACAGACCTTATGATATAGCGTGTGCTAACCATTCGGGAATCCAAACACCCAGATACTTAATGATGTTAGAGAGTAGGCCTACATGTAGTCACAAACTTAACTGTCTAAAACATATGTTTACAATCACAAAAAAAATTATTGACTCTGTTTACGGGACATTTTTACAAATATAAAATCCCTTTCCTTATCTTTCTCCCTCCTAATGACAAATAAAATTGGACTTTGATTAATTCAGTGAGATAGACTAATGTTTTGTTGGGTTCATTGCTAATAATGCAGCTGCACTGTTAATTATAAACATTTAGGCTTAACATAAATAAATAAAAAAACCAATATGATAATGGAATCAATTTAGAGATAACATTTTCAATATTTATACAATACAGTCGTAATCAATTAGTCTAAATCTGATAAAATTACATTTAAATACATGAATTTTATATCATGTGTGTGGGTTGAAGTATATCAGCCACAATCTCTGATGAATTTTAGCTTCTTAGCTTTAATTAGGTGTCATACATGAAGCAGGGTATACATGTACTGACTTAACAGAACACCTTATGACATTTATATATCTTATTACATGTGGAAGCCACGGTGGCTAAGTGGGTAAGACGCTGGCTCGCTAGCCTGGAGGTTGCGCGTTCGATCCCTGCATTCACCGAGAATGTTCATTGGGATTTTCCGACAGGGTTTCCCCATGTCAGTGGTACAGGACGGAGGGCCTGACAAGGACAGTTGTCTAGTCGTTTGGATGGGACGAAAACTGAGGTGCAGTGTACACATTGGTGTGCACTTAAAAGAACCCTTGGCAATTGGAATTTGATACAAGAGTAGGCCATAGTGCCACTGCCCGGGCAAAATTTCCCTCATAGCACACTGTATGGCGTATGCCCATGTTTGTTAGCCCAGTCAGAGCAGTACAGTCCCACGCTAAACCCAATTTCATTTCATTTCTTATTGCATGTGTACGTACATGTTTCATTTATAATCTCTGACCTGCTGTGGCCTCTCAATTGCAAGCTGTGGTAGTTGTCATACATACATAAAGCAGTGTATACATGTACTTATTCTTCCCAGAACACTTTATACCACATCTCTTGTCGCAGTCTTATATAAGTGTATATGTGAACACTGGGTAGCTAGGATTAGGAATTTAAGATGCAGTGGAGGTGTAAAGACACTAATTTTTCTGACATATCTGTTTTGTAAAAATAGAGACATTGAAAAGACACTTACATTGACAAGGCACTTACATGTACATAAACAAAGCATTGACAAAAGACATTATTCAAGAGCTAAATCATAGTCCTGAAGCAATGGCTTGAGAAATCCCTCTCTGGCCGTTGCTGGATTAACTTCTGATACTTGAGCTTTTGAGGGAGTTGGTCTATTCTTCCCGTTCACTCAAATCTATCTCAAGTAGAGCAACATGACAGCCCTTCGTTTAATCTGGGGAGTTCCCTAAAACTTTGGACAGCGATTTAATGTCCATGTATTGTCATTTTCAATCGTAATGTTTTGGTGTCAAAATGTCCCTCAAAATACGATTTTCCAAGCAAGTTTGGAACTTGTAACCAAATCCACCATAATTTAACCCATTATATCGATATTTGATAATATTCTGTTTATGCTTAATTGTCATTTTGAAATTAAAATCATAATTCACCCTCTAAACAATTTGTTTTGATCTTTATACTAATTTCTTTCAAAAAGCCAACAGTGAGGCTGATGTCCCCCGTCGAAATCCCAAATAAATAGATGAATATTAATTAATCACACATTTATTTTTTTTCAAAAGTATCAAGCAATCAAACTGATTTTCAACTATACACTAAGTTACATCACTCTCTATCAGATAGAATCAAAGTTATCTTGTCCCAAAGCATCGACCAATGAAATTGCTTAGCTCTGTTTAGCTTTAGTCGAAATGTTAATTATTGAACTCAGTCAAGACATTCACCTAATGAACAACCAAGTTTAAACATTCTACCTCAATTAAAAGCAGAGTTGTTATGTTCCAGTCTTGACCAATCAAATTGCTTATAGATCCTTAGCCTAAGCAGAAAATTCTCATCATTAAACTTAGTCAAGATAATGATATAATGAATCTATACTCAGAGTTCCATTTTCTCACTTAATTAAAACCAAAGTTATTGGCCCCAAAGCATCAACCAATCAGATTGCTTATCTCTGTTTACCCTAAGCAGAAAATGCTCATCTTTGAACTCCATCAAGGCATTTGCCTAATAAACACCTACACCAAGTTTGAACGTTCTAGCTCAATTAGAAGGAGAGTTATTGTGTTCCAAAGTCTTGACCAATCAAATTGCTTATCACTCTGCTTACCCGAGCAGAAAATGCTCATTATCGAACTTAGTCAAGCTAATGATGTACATGTAATGAACTATACACCAAGTTTCATCACTCTCACTTAATTAAAACTAACGTTATCGTGTCCCAAAGCATGAACCAATCAAATTGCTTATCTCTTCTTACCCTAAGCATACAATGTTCATCTTCGAACTCCATCAAGGCATTGACCTAATAAACACCTACACCAAGTTTGAACATTCTAGCTCAATTAGAAAGAGAGTTATTGTGTCCCAAAAGTGTGACAGACAGACAGACGAACCCATTTTAATAGTCCCCCGCTTTCTTCAAAAGGTGGGGAACAATAACTCAGAAAAATACATACATGGCATGTACATATTAACACCTTCTCACTACCTCAGTTACATGTTGAATCCCCTATATTTCATTTCCCAAGTAATCTAACATATGAAGAGGAAGAATTAGCACTTGGATATGTGAATACTCAATATCCACAGTTGATGTTTCTCATAATACAGTACAGAGCACAATCTGATATATTTAAATGAAATGAAATGAAATGGGTTTTAACATTCTATTTCGACTGGGCTAATGAGAGAGAGAGAGAAATGGGGTTTAACGTCCACTCGACACAACTAGGTCATTTCGGGACTAACATATGGTTTTTAATTTTATTTCAATAATTCGCTTGCGCATAGGGGTCTTTAGCAGTGGGAGGAAACCGGAGGACCCGGAGAAAACCCACGAATTTGGACAGGCGACCCTACTCCTTGTCACGTACAACCGGGGATTCGAAACCACGCCAGTTGACTCAATGACAGACTTTATGATACAGTGCGCGCACGCTAACCATTCAGCCATCAAACCCCCCCTGGGCTAATGAAGACTGGCATATGCCATACAGTGTGCTATGTTGGAAATTTTGCCCGGGCAGTGGCACTATGACCTACTCCAACTGCACACGCCAATGTCTACATGGGACCTCGTTTTTTTTTTTTTGTCCCCATCCGAACGACTAGACAGCTGTCCTTGTCAGCCCCTCCGTCCTGCACCACTGACAATGGGAAACCACGTCTGAAAATCACGATGAACTTTCTCTATTTAAACCAAAATAACTTTCCAAAACAAGATGTCTTTCATGATGGAAATCAATCATACTTTCAGTTCAAGAGGAAGTATCTTGACGACATCATGTTCCTCAGCAAGTATCGAGCATATATTATCAACATTCGGCTTAGTGCATTCTAAACTCAGAAACAGGTTAAGCGTGGAGAAGGCTGGAAAGCTAGTTTTTGTTTACAGAATGACCAATATGAAACTTCAGTTATGTTTTTGTGAGAAATTTTGTGTAGCTTTCAAATTTTGACTTCATTTATTTTCAACAAATAAAACATGTTTTTTTTCAACCCTAAACATCAAAATAATGAAATGGAAACAATTTCTTACCTTTTAATTGACATACATGTATGAATGAACAGGTTGTTTACTGTTAGAGTTCTATAGATCTTGTTATTATTCTGTTTACTACATGTAGTGGATAACTTCACTCAGCCTGTCAAACTCAGGTCAAATCACCTGTCAATAACAAAGAGGGTGTGGCCTAGTGGATTTGGAGCAATCTGATTGGTTAATATCAGCTACATGTAGCCACTAAAAAAAAAGGAAAAGTGGTAGTGTAAACAGTATTACCAATGCAAAACTTATTACAGACCTGAATTGAAAGATTATAAAGTTCAATTTCTTGCTTATCAACATAAACAAAGGAATTCAATGAAGCAATAGTAATTAAGTCCAATCCAGTAAACAATATTGTAAAAACAGTATTAATAGGTTGCAAGCTAGAGTTCTATTAGTAAGTGCAGATCGACCGCACTACACGCAAAAAAAAATATCTGCAAGATAAACCTGCGGACAAGACAGAAAATAGACACTGCACCCAATAAACAAATATCAAACCAAGGGAATCGGGGGCCATTGTAGATAACCACAAAATAACAACTTAACTGAATCAGCCAAAAATTACATGTATCTATAGGCTTCTAATAGCTTTATGTAGATACAGTAGGTATAAAAACAACTTATCAATGATAGGCTACATGTACTTCTACAAAATCAAATTAACTGAATCAGCCATGCGAGAGTATTATTGTCACTAACCTATTTTACAGTGACAAGATGGGGGCCTATTGATAGATCTATCTCATCAGTCACAATTCACAAACTAGGAAGACATAATAGCACTTGAAGCGTCAAAATGAAGGGGTTGGGGTGGGGAGGACAAAATGCAAAACATTGCCTTCAAGCTCCAATACTCTAGAATAAAAAGTTAAATACACAATCAAAGAATTTTAGACCATACTCAATCAAAAGTACATTTTGTCCAGTCTGTCATGAACTATACTTTAAAGATACGTTCCCAGAAAAGTATTTATCAGGTGGTTATTTCCAATAAAAGCATGGCAATTTTGGTATATATGGAAAGTAGAAATATCCAATCTTACTAGAAAAATACTGGATTCCCTGAAAAAAACTCTTCGAGCGCATACAGGACAAAAATGTAAGGGTTTTCCTAATCGACAGCCCGACGATAAGGAGCGCCTGCATGCGTGACGTCAAAGGTTGCACGCGGAGATTGAGGGCTTGATGTACATGTTGATAAACTTTATGAAGAGTTAGGCGTACAACAATTTCTGAGATAACAATCACGGAAAAAGACGCGGGCAGTGAATAATCTGAGAATTTAATTAGGCTTCGATATTTGTAATAAATAGTCAGCGATTAAAGACAACATCGTCTTGTGTATGCAATGAATTCTCTTCCGACTTCGCACCCGTTGCTAGGTACCGAGAGAGGTAAGTCACGTGACACAAACATGACCTCTTTTGATTGATTTTTTATAGCCAGAGTATTCCCTGATAATTGCAATGTTTTGAGAAGGATTTGAAGCAAAATTATATATATATATATGATAAATTAATTAGTTGGAATATGTTTTTAGTCCAAATATATCATCAAATCACCCAGTTTGTACCCGGGAATGTATCTTTAAATACACAGGATTATCAGGCCTGGAAATAATGCTTTTAGATGTACCTGACCAAATGTCAGGCACTAATGAAATAGTACCTGACATTTTCAACTTAGTGCCGGACATGTATTAATAATATTAGCAAAAAAGACATATCAGTGCCGGACAAAATGACAGGCACCTGAGGTTTTGTGCCTGACAAAGCCTGAATCTGTGTCTGACATTGTCAGTGACAGGTGCCTTATTTCCAGGCTTGAGGATTATATTCCATGGTGTACAATTACTGTTTGTTATTCAGCAATTTTTCAACTAGGATTCTCTAGTCATTATCAAACAATGATTCATTCTGCCATTGTTTGTTTTTGTTATTGTATTGTTGTTGGATAATAAAGACTATAGAACCATCATCAAAACTTCATCAGTTGTAAATGGTATTCCATAGAATCATGCCCTGTGTATTTCCAATTGAATTACTAAATGCCATTAAAGCGATTTATACTATAATTGATGAACTACCTTTTAATAGAGAGAGAAAAATGGGATTTTTAATGTCCACTCTACACAATTTAATTACCAAATGCCATTAATGCAATTTATACTATAATTGATGAACTACCTTTTAAAAGAGAGAGAGAAAAATGGGGATTAAAGTCCACTCGACACAAACTAGGTCATTTCGGGACTAACATGTGGTTCAATTTTATTTCAATAATTCGCTAGGGCATAGGGGTCTTGCGCAGTGGGAGGAAACCGGAGCACCTGGAGAAAACCCACTAGGTTGGACAGGCGACCCTACTCCTTGTCACGTAGAAGAAGGGAATCGAAACCAAGCCACTTGACTCAATGACAGACTTTATGATGCAATGCCCACACACTAACCATTTGGCCATCCAACCCCCTCGTAAGGCTAGAAAAGAGAGCTGGAGTGTCTCAGTGCATAGATTTATAAATGTTATTAATCTATAACTACTGTCTGTTCCAGGTGATTCTCCGACTCGAAAATTGCTTGCCATTTCTTCATTTTTTAATTAAAATGGTTAAAACTTTGTGATATACTACATGTACCTGGAAATTTCATCCCTTTGATTTCTTCCCTTAGCCTAAATGACTAGACGGCTGTTTTCAGTACTAAGATGTCAACAAACCAAGATTTTCAAGGGAGAAAAACTATATAGCTTGATCTGAACTTAGATCTCACAAGACAGAAAGCAACGGGATGACCATTCCAGGTATTTCACAAAGTTTTAGCCATGTTAATTAAAAATTGAAGAAATGGCAAGCAATTTTCACGTCGGAATATCACCTGGAACAGACAGTAATTAGCTAATCATAATCAGCCCAGTGTAGTGACAAAACCTTTGTATAACTGCAACAATTAATTATCGGGTAATTTAAATTAATCAAGCCTTGTTTTTCACTGACTTTCGATATTTCATTCATATTAAATATAGTTATGATGTATTAATTATTATTAGATAATACACATGCACCCCACTGTGAATCACTGTGAGAAGCAACTATATATATGTATAATGTATGTACTGTAGACAAGCAGGGTCCAATTTTCTAATACCTATCTTTTGATATGACTATCAATAATCATAATTTCTGTTTCTGAGCTTTCAGTTTGACGCTGAATATGATTATAGTGGGTAACTGGCTTGCTAGTCTGGATGAGGTCGCATGTTCGATCCCTGCATTGGCTGAGAAAGTTCATCAGTATTTTCCGACGTGGTTTCCCCTTGTCAGCAGTGGCGGCGCCAGAAAGTGGTTGGAGGGGCAAAGCTGGGGCAAAGTCCAAGGTTAAGGGGGCAAAGGCACGAGCTTCAACTGCTACGGGTAGGGGGGCCTCCCCCTGAAATTTTAGAAAAACAGGCTGCCGGAAATGCAGCCTGGCAGTTTTTCAGGCACTGATTGTCGAGATAAAGTGTCAAACAACCGAACCTCGACTAAGCCCACTCACGATCGCCAAAGTAGGGAAAAATAGACTGTTGGAAATGCTGTCTGACAGTATTTAGGCACTGATTGTCGAGATAAATAGAGCTGATCAGATACCGTCTGTCGTTTGATCTATCCGACCCCAGAGAGGAAAGTGTCAAATGAACGGACTTGCGAACCTCAACGAAGCCCCCGAAAATTTGAAAAGTAGACTGCCGGAAATGCAGTCTGGCAGTATTTCAGGCACTGATCGTCGAGATAAATAGAGCTTCCCAGATACCGCCTGTCGCCAAATCACTAGTTTATCCGACCAGAGAGGAAAGTGTCAAACGGACGGAGTGAGTGATTCAAAGTGAATGAATATTTTCGCCACGTTATTTTGTGAAATAGTCTGCCGGAAATGCAGCATTTCAGAAATAGAGCTGACCAGATACTGTTCGTCGCCAAATCACCAGCTGATCGGAACAGAGAGGGAAATGTCAAATGAACGGAGTGAGTGCATCAAGTAAATGCATATTCTCGCCAATTTGAACCTATATACCCAAAAACTTTGAGGATCGTAAAAAGCACTTCTCAAGTGGTTCACGTGTTATTGTTTATAGTAGGTTTACAGCAGGATGGGCTTGGTAAGAAATCACTCAGACTCTACAACATGCAAGTCTATGACTGAGTGGGGATGTGGGATTTAATCACCGTAGAAGGTATTAATTACTGAAACGTATCACAAGTAATTTTTTTTATTTTCCAAAATTATTGGGGGGGCAAACAGAGGGCAGACCAGATTTATGGGCCCCCCTTGTCCCCTGCAGGATGGAGACAGGCAGCTGTCTAGTTGTTCTGATGGGATGGAAAACTAGGTCCTGTGTACACATTGGTGTGGATGTAGAAGATCCCTTGGCAGTTGGAATAGCACCATAGAGTACGCCATAGCACCGCTGCCTGGGCAGCACACTGTATCATTTATGCCCATCTCCATTAGCCCAGTAGGAGCAGAAAAAGGTAGGACGTTAAACCCCATTTCATTTCATTTCATTTCAATATGATTACAACTGAATAAGATGAGATGTCTTTGCTCTACTCAATACTTGAGACATACATATAACAAATTAGAAATAACACTAGTCTAATAGATGGTATAATAGCGTTAATTACCTATACAACGCCGATACGCAATCAACCGCCGAAAACAAATTCTTTTGTCTTTATTATGATCACTGGTTCAAAGGTTCAGCATTGAACTTGCCGCCGTTGTATATTGTTGTTGACACACTTCTATTATCCAGACGGTTTGAAACCGCGTGAAAAATACGTCTGGCAATTCAAGATCAATGTTTACGGAAATGACGTAAGGGACACGAAACAGGAAACGGTACAGGTGCGCGAGATTGATTTCCGGTTGAATTTGATGGCTTCAAGAAAATAAATTTTAGGTGTGTAACAGTTTTATAAGCTTTTTAGAATATGCTGTAAACTTAGAGAATTTACGAAAGCGTATAATCAAAAGGCATGCTGACAGTGAGCTAATTTCTTAATGTCTGCTGTCAATTAATTCATCATGTTCGCCTTCGGTCGATGGTGCGTTCACGCTGGTGGTTGTGAAATTCTGTCTGAACTCCTCTTTTAGAAGTTCTTTTACGCCGGGCAGAAATGAAAATGAAATGGGGTTTAACGTCCTACTGTTATACACCGACTGGGCAAATAATGATGGTCATAGGCTAAATTTTGTCCTGATGTGTACACACACAGGAGCATGGTTTTTTTTTGTCCCATCCTAATGGCTAATGACTAGTATACACACATTAAACACTAGCTACGAGAACGTAACTAAAAACGCTAAGATATACTGATGTGCTTGTTTTTAGCTACGATTGGATGCCTTTAGTTCCAAGTGGCAAACTCAATTTCTTTATTAAAGCAGAAATTGCAAATTTTTAAGTTATATTTTTAAAATTTATTAAAATAAAGCCTGAAAATAGATGGTATCCATGAACAGTCCTACCTTGTTAAAGAATAATCCTATTAATCCTATAATTCACTATTGCCAGCTGAGAAATTGGCAAAAATATCATTTTCCTCTTCATTTTCAAACGTTTGAAAAAAGCTACTCCATGGTGGAGAATAGAAAACAAGGGAGGTAATTGTGTTATTATTTCCTGTGTAAATGAATTTTAAGTGTGAGAATGACACCTATGATCGTATAATTGTGAGTTGACAACCTATTGAGCAAAAGACATAGAAATAATTATGTTTTGACTTTCTTAGAAAATTTGCAATTTCCACTTTAATGTATGTACCATCTTGAAAATAAGTTAATTTTATACTATTAGTACTTATTACATATATGCAGTCCAATCTACTGAAACAACATTCATGTATCAGCAAATATTGACAATAAAGTAAATCAAGCGTTGTTTTTATCAAAATTGATTCAGATGTTCATAATTACGCCTTAATACCTACTGCGCAACTCTGATCAGATGGGTACTTTGATTGGCTATTGCACACAAGGCCCTGCCTTTATGTGTGTACAGACGTAAATTTAAAATGTCGGAAAAAGCGATCTACTGTCGCTTTGATTTAAAAAGAGGGGATTTGTACCTGTTTCAGGTAGGATTATATGCTTAATTGTAGTTGGGTGTGACAGAAATATCCTAAATAACAATAACCAATCGTTGTTTTGATTAAAAATATTGTCAATTTTGTTTACAAATGCCGGGTGCGAATCGCTCCCACATGTGCTACATTGAAGGCAATGGCCTCATCTCTTATCTCGAAACACGGAGGGTTGAGAGATTAAGGTTTGTTATCTAATCAAACACTAGGGAACCACAAGTAAAAAATCCTGATGAACTTTCTTGGCCAACGCTGGGATCAAACTTGGAAGCCCTAGGTTAGCGAGCCAACTTCTTACGTACTGAAAACAGACATATGCCATTGAATGTGCTATTATTGGGGAAATTTTGCCGAATTCTGTGATTCTTTTCTTTGACCGGCCTTCCATCCGTCATTAATGCCATGTAGATAAGAAACTTCATCTCTGTGTGTGTCTCGAGGTAGAGATGGTACTACATGTATACATATAGTACTTCAATAAGCAAATCTATCAATTCTTTCTTCAAAACAATGATTGTTTATTGTTATTTATTACATTTCTGCCACATCCAACTTCAATCCCGGATACAAATCATCTCTTTAAAATCGAAGCGTTAAAAGCTGGCTTTGCTAGACATTTTAAAATGAAGGCCAAACTAAGTATATGTCATGTACAAGAGCCAATCAAAATACTCGTCTTAAAACCACAAGTCGAGAACCCGTATGTGTCGTGCATGACCAGGGATTGAAACTAACGCTCACCCGGTCGCCCATGGCGAGTAAAAGTCAGTACAGGCGAATGAAGTTCAAAATCAATTAGCCTGTGTGGCGACCTGATATTTTGGTACATGTAGTTGTAATAATTGATAATTTGTACTTAATGAACATTGTCATGAAACTAACTTCCGAAAATCGTCGCCATCACTATTTACGTGTTTTTAATCGCCATACCGGTATGAAATCTGAGCAAGTGAGCTTGCTGGTTGGTTGAAATTGTATGATAACGAGGGAGGGTACGGAACAGCCTCTGTTTACACCTCGATGAATTATGAAGCGAAAGTCGATATAATTGAATAACTTTTCAGTCATATTTCAGGTTAATTATCATAAATCGCCTAACCTAATCGTTGATATATATACATGAAGTAATTTAGCGAAGAACACAGATGTTAAAAGGTTTTATAACAGCGATATATTACGGCAATGAAGACGCTCGTAAATAAACATGCTCTGCTATAAATAACTTCATCACTCGGTGACAACTTATGATATTAAATTTTAAGGACATTACATCATATTATTTTGCACATCACAACTGAATTTATAAAACATAAATGAAATATAAATACAAATGAGGCCCCTGAAAAAATCTATTGTATTGAAGATTAAACTTCCAAAGGACAAATATGAAATGAAATGTGCCAAATTGAATTTTAATATATATGTCTTCATGACTGATTAATGAATTCATTATTTGATGAAAAAACAGAGGCAACAATGAACAAAGTCTATTTGTTGTATTATTAAATGTGCCAAAATAAATTTAAGTGCATTTATTTTGGTGTTTTTGATTGATTAATGATGAACAAAACAACAGTCTAAATCAGAATTTTTACGCCTGGTGCCAGTTTCTTACTGGGCTAGTAGAATGTTGGCTGGGCTAGTAAGATCTGAAAGCTACTAGCCCAAATGGCTAGTGACCATTTCAGGTTAGTTTTACAAGTTTTACCCCTGATGACTAAAGCACCGTTATTATGAATGGCCAATCTAATTTTGTAACAAACACCGCTTGATTACATGTAACTTTGCTGACAATATTTCAAGATATTAAAACAAAAGTTGTGTCACTGCATTGGGCTGGGTAATTAGTCCTAATAGTATAATATTACCTTAATTTTAGGATGTTACATTCATTAATAAAGAAATTAAGTTTGCCTAGTGAAACTAAAGATGTGTTTTTTCAGGTGGTTTGTTGATCAACTTGTACCAGTGTCATCATGTCAGCGTCAGCTGTTTATATTTGTGATGTCAAGGGAAAGGTAAAAAAACGTTCTCCTTTTTTTCAGATTTATATTATTTAGGAAACTAATAGACTTGTTATGATGCAACCGTCTTTCATGTAGATGTCTAGACAGATCCATGGGTGGTCCATTTTAAAACATAGAACTGATCTCAGTCATGATTTAGGCAATATGTTGAGAAGCAACCACTATAACCAGTGAAGATTAGACAAACTCCGTGGGAGTACTAGTAATAAACAAATTTATTGGTGCAAACGTTTCGGACAAGTGGTGTCTTTACTGAAGAAGGACACCACTTGTCCGAAACGTTTACACCAATAAGGACACCACTTGTCCGAAACATTTACACCAAGGAGTTTGTTTAATCTTCACTGGTTATAGGGGTTGCTTCTCAACAATTTTGTCGTCTTTCATGTAGATGTCTAGACAGGTCCATTGGTGGTCCATTTTAAAACATAAAACTGATCTCAGTCATGATTTAGGCAATATGTTTACACCTGAACCTCTTGTGTATCGCTGAGATCCCAGTTTAGATGTCCTCCTACTAGTCTCCAGCTACATAAGACTGACTTTACAAGAGTTGTCGTCGTCTTCCACTGCTTATTTAGGCAATATGATATTGATTTAACAGTTATCAAATAGTTAATAAAACATACATGTATATTCATATAATCGGAGATAAATCCACACAATATATACAACTCAATTTTGCTAGAGATATGACCATCATTTACCATTATATTGACCGTCTTTTATAACTGGTGGTTCAAGACTACATGTATTATACCCTCAGTCAATCAAACCATTCCTTCTTATTAACTCATTGCAAATATATACAAAACGTTTCTTTTCTATTCAATTATTTTACTATCACTAAGCATGCAAATAAATGTTTGTTTTGTATATGATGAACAATTCAGAGATAATTATATTAAATATATTCTATTTTGTAGGTGCTGATATCCAGGAATTACAGAGGTGACATTGACATGTCAGTGATTGACAAGTTTATGTCATTAGTAATGGACAAAGAAGAGGAAGGAAATGTCACCCCTATAATTCAGCACAATAATGTCACCTTTATTTATATTAAATACAATAATTTATATTGTGTGGCTACATCCAAGAAAAATTCTAATGTCGCACTTGTCTTTTCTTTTCTACATAAAATTGTCCAGGTAAATAACATTTGCTCTTCTGAGCTTCTCTCTCCTCTGCTAATAAATTCCCAGGGGGATCACGTGGCTAAGTGGGTAAAACACTGGCTCACTAGCCTGGAGGTCGGTTGTTCGATCCCTGCATTGGCCGAGAAAGTTCATCCAGATTTTCCCGGCGTGGTTCCCCCTTGTCAGTGATGCAGGATGGAGGGCCTGACAAGGACAGCTGTCTAGTCCTTCGGATGAGACGGAAAACCGAGGTCCCGTGTATACATTGGAATGCACGTAAAAGGTCCCTTGGCAGTTGGAATTCGATATAAAAGAAGGTGATAGTGCCGCTGACCTCGCAAAATTTCCCTCATAGTACACTGTATGGCGTATGCCCGTCTTCATTAGCCCAGTTTAGGAGCAGAACAGTAGGACGTTAAACCCCATTTCATTTCATTTTTCCCAGATCCCTTGTACTGGCTTGTCCATTCAGTGCAAAAATAAGTAGTGATTCATTGTTTTATAATATGCCATTGCTATACTCTGACGCTTGTGGCATTATGAGAGGTCGTTGACATTACTAGTACCCATGGGTTTCACTTGCCCAATTTACATGTCCGAAAACTAGCATACTATTCCTAACACTATTTTGTAACTTGGCTATGATTAACCTCAGCCTCACAACTGTAGAAATCAACTGACTGTACAGGTTAGGGGGATGCATGGTCTAGTAGGTTAACACATGCACATAAAATCACAAGGTCTGTCATTGAGTCTAGTGCAAGGTTTTCTCCATGTCCTCTAGGTATCTCCCGTTTCCCTCTCTTTCTCTTTAAAGATTAGTGCAATCAAGACAGATTTGGAAAATCGTGTAGGACATGTTCAAAATATACGTGTGAAGTAGCATACATACAGTCATTTTTGTATTGTCCACGTATCAAACATGGTGCATATTGTTGAATTATAAAGAATTAATGTAACATGGTTTTTTTTTAGGTCATGTTTATAAATATTTCAAATGATATAATTCTTTTAATTTATAGTATTCTCCCTTATTTTTAGAATGTTTTAATATTTCTTTCAACAGATATTTATAGAGTATTTTAAAGAAATGGAGGAAGAGAGTATTCGAGATAATTTTGTTTGTATTTATGAATTATTAGATGAGGTCATGGACTTTGGTTATCCGCAAACAACTGATACAAAAATATTACAAGAGTAAGTCATTTTGATATTTTGGTGGGACCTCAGTGAGTATTGAGTGGGCTCACTCAATCTGTTTCACAGAGTATTATGAAAGTCTTCTAATATCTCTGTAAAAGATGACTGCCTTCAACACATGACGTTATATCACGCGGCGTCAATCATTGGCTCAATGGCGAGTGCATTGTTTACATAACCCGTTACTGATTCGAGGAGAATGGCGTCTTATTACTCATTTTAATACCCATTTACACTAAAATAGGAAATAATTTTTACCTACAAATACTTCAAACTTCTTAATTTATTTTTCTAATACATAAAAAAATGTTTTAGAATTTAATTTGTCGGAGGAAATAGTTAATATTTGTGGCTCATTAAGTCGCATCGATGTCATCCTTATCAGTGATCGTCGCGGCCTAGTGAATATTCACTGCGGATCAGTGTGGAGCTCACTAATCAGGAGTTCCTGGGTTTGACCCTAGTGTTGACCAATAAAATCATTCAGGAGTCTCCTGTCTGGTTTCTCCTATTCAGTGGTGCATTATAGTAATATTATATGTTTATAGGAATACCGAACCCCTGACATTTGGAAGTCAGAATAATAATAGGCCTTAGAGTCGCTTTCATGGCAAAATTTCCCTCCTAGCTTACTGTATGGTGTTTTCCCATCTTCATTTGTCCAGTTGATGCAGAAAAGTAAGCATTTGATTATGCTATTTTGACTTTAAGCCTTTGTTATGACTACCATTTCGATCAGGGAGCCAGCGCTGGCTGAGTGGGTAAGACGCTGGCTCACTAGCCTGGAGATCGCATGGTCGATCCCTGCATTGACCAAGAAAGTTTCTTGGGATTTTCCGGCGTGGTTTCCCCTTGTCAGTGGTATTGGATGGAGGGCCTGACAAGAACAGCTGTCTAGTTGTTCGGATGGGACAAAAAATCGAGGTTCCGTGTATACATTGTCGTGCATGTAAAAGATCCCCTGGCAATTAGAAATCGATATAAGAGTAGGCCATAGTGCCGCTGACCGGGCAAAATTTTTCTCGTAGCACACTGAATGGCGTATATGCCCATCTTCATTAGCCCAGTTGGAGCAGAACAGAAGGACGTTAAATCCGATTTCATTTTCATTTTGATCATTACTGCATTTTATGTTTACTGACAGGTATATTACACAAGAAGGTCACAAATTAGAGATGGCCCCTCGACCACCGATGGCTGTGACTAACGCAGTTTCCTGGCGATCAGAAGGTGTTAAATATCGTAAAAACGAAGTATTTTTAGATGTTATTGAATCTGTTAATTTATTGGTACGTACATACAGGTCATCAAGATCTTTATTATATGAAAGAATGTAGTTTCTTACACATTGATGATTGTCTTTGATGGAAAAAGATTTGGAAATTTGTGTAGTTAAGCTATCTGCAGACACAGAAATAATGATATAAGCTGTACCTGACAATATGACAGGCACTATTGAACTTGCACCCGACATTTGGAACTTTGTGTTGGCCATGTATTAAAAACAGCAATAAAAGCACTGGTAAATTTCCGGCACCAGAGGGAAACTGCTTGACAAAGCACGATTTGTATACAGCATTGTCGTAACAGATACTTTATGACCAGACTCGGCTATCCCTAAATGATCGTATGTTAATATTAACGTATTGTTGTGTATATACATGTATTTGTACCTGACGTTGTTGTAACAGGTACTTTAACTCCAGACTCGGCTATCTATAAATGATTGTATGTATATATTTCAGGTTAGTGCTAATGGTAATGTGTTACGTAGTGAAATAGTTGGATCTATTAAAATGAGAGTGTTTTTATCTGGTATGCCTGAACTACGACTAGGATTAAATGATAAAGTTCTGTTTGAGAGTACTGGAAGTATGTTATTGTTTAATTTTATTATCTCCACTATAATATTTTATATAGTTAACTTAAAGCCACTGTTCATCACATTTTGGGATTTAGAATCCTTTTCAAACTATAATATTTTATATAGTTAACTTAATAGTTAATCTCCCATAATGTATCTTTAATACAGCCCTGAGGATCAGTGACTCCACATTTATCCTTTAAATATTTATAAGTCTTTTAGTCTAACATAGATTCATGGACAATAAAATTTTGTTATTTCTTTTTGTTTAGCTTGATCTCTATCCATCTCTTGCAAAATGTGGGCGTACCCTGCCTGGGAGCCACTGGTTCCTTTATAGACAAATATTTAAATATTTATAAGTCTTTTAGTCTAACATAGATTCATGGGCAATAATATTTTGTTATTTCTTTTTCCATGAGGAGGAAAGAGTAAGTCTGTAGAACTGGAGGATGTCAAGTTTCATCAGTGTGTCCGATTATCACGATTTGAAAACGATAGAACCATATCATTTATACCCCCTGATGGTGAATTTGAATTAATGTCCTACCGACTAAATACACACGTAAGTAGGAAAAAATAAACAGAAAATTTGCTTTCTTAATAAATGTATAGAGTCTTAATCTTATTTATACCAATTGGGTGGGGGGGGCGAATGGTTAGCACGAGCGCGCTGTAGCATAAGGTATGTCATTGAGTCAAATGGCGTGGTTTTAATTCACAAGGAGTAGGGTCGTCTGTCCAACCACGTGGGTATTATTAGGGTCCTCGGATTTCTTACCACTGCTAAAGACCCCTACGCACAAACAAAATATTGAAATAAAATTGAACCATATGTTTGTCCTGAAAGGACCTAGTTTGTGTCGAGTGGACGTTAAACCCTGTTTCTCTCTCTCTCTCTTTCATGCTAAGATTAAACCTGGAATACAAGTACATTAGAACAGAGCATTGCAAAGGAATATGTTTTTAAGAATGCTCTAATAATGGTTGATTATTTTCTAGGTAAAACCGTTAATATGGGTAGAATCTGTGATAGAAAGACACGCCCACAGTCGAGTTGAATATATGATCAAGGTATGTATTTGAAACAGAGATATTTTTTCCTTGTTGAATCGATCGGGTCATTTCTTTCTCATTACCAATCTGATTGAAATACACATCTATATTTTATACTTTCGATGGCTTACACTACATGTGGAAGGTCGTGTCAGAGATCATATGAGCGGCTTTTGACCCTATGACATCAGACATTTGATTAACCATTCAGTATTGATGTTTCTAGTGGGTTACCCACAGTTTCGTGCACGTCACGCCAAAAACTCGCCGTAACAGACTGTTTCATTGGCTAATCCCCCATATCATCCAGAACGCGGGTTATATAACAACTCATCCAGATCCTAGTATAGTAAAGACAAGTAAAACAAAATTCTGAACTATAAAAAACGAAAGAAATAGGATCTGTGTTTTAATCAGATTGCAAGTTGATATTTTCTCAGATTCATTTAATTAAGAAAACAAAATCAAAATATGATTGCTAGATAAAAACATAACGAAATAGGATGCTGTGTTTTAATCAGAATGGATTGATATGATTTTTTTTCAGGCCAAGAGTCAGTTTAAACGTCGATCAACAGCTAATAATGTAGAGATTATAATACCAGTTCCTACAGATGCTGATTCACCTAAGTTTAAAACAACTGTAGGTAATTGTAGATATACACCAGAGATCAGTAGTGTTGTATGGAGTATTAAATCATTCCCTGTAAGTAATCTCTTCTCTTACTAATATAATATACTACCTGTTTACCTGGTGCTGAATGCTTAGTTCCTGTTGATTCTTCCTTGTAAGAGTTTTGTGAAACCGAAGTAGTATAAATCTGCAATCGAAAGTAGTATATATCTACAACACTAAAAATAGTGTAAATCAGCAATCGAAAGTAGTATAGCTCTGCAACCGAAAGTAGTATTGCTCTGCAACTGAAAGTAATATAAATCTTCCACAGAAAGTAGTATAAATCAACAGCTAAAAGTATAAATCAACAGCTAAAAGTATAAATCAACAGCTAAAAGTAGTATAACTCTGACATGAAAGTAGTACAACTCTGCAACTGAAAGTACCATAACACTGCAACTGAAAGTTATATTGCAACACCTATGTCAATCCCTGGCTCAAGCTGCCCATTTTCCCGAAATTTTAGTCTTATGGCAGTCCTGGGCCCTTATTCACGAAAACTTAAACTAAGTTATAACCGAAATTTTAAGAAATACTGCAACTTCATTGGATATATGCAAATTGATTTTACTGGTCAGCCAATCGAATTGCAGTATTTCTTAAAATTTCGATTGTATCTTAGTTTAAGTTTTCGTGAATAAGGGCCCAGGTGTAGTTACAATCCCTGAACAGACAAACAAACGAACGAGATTCACAAATACATATATTTTTACATTTGATTTAGTAATAATTTAGCCATCTTGCATCTCTGGTACGTCACCCATGGGCTAAAACATGAAGCTGTAGAATTTGGTTCACCAATTCTGTTCTGGAGGACTCGTGTTGTTTTCTTTGTTTTCTCCCATTAGTGACATTGCTAAAGATCTGCCAATTTGTAAATGGCTGACATTGTGGTAGTGCATTCAACATAATCAAATACTCTTTTATCAAAATAATTCAAGGTATTTTGCATTTTTAGGGAGGAAAAGAATACCTAATGAGAGCCCATTTTGGTTTACCAAGTGTAGAAACGGAAGATTCAGAAGGTCGTCCACCTATACAAGTCAAGTTTGAGATTCCATATTTTACCGTTTCTGGCATACAGGTAAGGTATCAATTATATTATGTTTAGTTCCTCTATATGTAGACAGTGTATAAAAAAGACTTGTTAACTTGGAAGGAGGCGGGAGTGTAGACGAGCGAACAAGGTTTTGGACTAGAATGTACCAGGTCCAGTCTCGATGTGGGGTCGAGAAACCCCTTTGAGCCGGCCTTGCTTTCATATTATAGGGTTAGCTCTTGCAGGATTAACAAGGAAAGTATACCTTGTCGTTCAGAAGTAGCGATGAAAAAACCCAGATGCAAGTACATGTACAAGACCTCTGTAGACAGGTACGCTGCAATATGGAAAAGTTATCTTTCCTTGCATTGCACCCGTAACCCATGACATGGTATTGCGTTGATAAGACATAGAGTTCAAATCCATTCTATTTTGTCATTAGGAGTAAACTTTGTTATTATTCATATTTAGAGGGAGTTGGATGAACGAATGGTTAGCACGTGTTGTATCATAATTTCTGTCATTGAGTCAACTGGTGTGGTTTCGATTCCCTGGTTGTCCGTGGCAAGGAGTAAGGTCACCTGTCCAAACTCGTGGGTTTTCTCCATGTCCTCCGGTTTCCTCCCACTGTTAAAGACCACTATTGAAATAAAATTGAACAATGTGTTAGTCCCGAAATGACCTGGTTTGTGTCGAGTGGAAGTTAAACCTCATTTCTCTCTATTCATATTTGATTATTATTATGTTGAGATTCAATATTCCACATGACCCACTATATATACATTAAATTCTATTATACTATTTTTATTAAGGTTCGTTATTTGAAGATTATTGAAAAGAGTGGATATCAAGCTCTACCATGGGTGCGTTATATCACACAGAATGGAGATTATCAATTACGTACAAATTAATCAAATTATCAAATATCGTATTTAACTTACGACATAATTGTCCATTTATTTACAATTCATTTTTGTCCATCTCTTTACACAGTTGCTCATTTTAACTCCTCAACTTTCAGTTAAAATAACAGACATTTTAACTCAGCATCTTATAGTAGCGGTATTGTTATTAATTTTTAAAAACGTCCAGTCTTGGCATGGAGTAGGAGAAATACTATATTATGGTCATCTATAAACTTGTTGAATCTTGTAAACCTTCAAATTTCTCAAAAACAACTCTTAATTCTTAAATTAGGTTGGCTTTCAAAATATTGTTTTGTTTAAGGAGATAAAATATGAACATTATGCAAATATAATGTAAATAACAGAGCTTAAACTGTAGGATTTTCTAAATTGATATACATATTCAACAATGGCGCCATATTATTCTGGCTTGTGGGGGGTTGGTTGGCTGATTGATTAGCGCGTGCATGTTGCATTATAAGGTCTGTCATTTAGTCAACTGGTGTGGTTTCGATTCCGAGATTTTACGTGACAAGAAGTAGAGAAGCCAGTCCAATACCCTGGGTTCTCTCTGGAGTTCTCTGGTCCCCCCTCCCACTGCTAAAGACCCTTATGCGCAAGGAAATAAAGTTGAACCATATGTTAGTGCCGAAATGTTATTGATTGTTTTATTATTCATGTTAAGATTTTCCTGATGTAAGATTATGTGTCCGTTCAATGTTATAATGTTTGGGCAGTATATTATTCTGTTGAATAAGAAAGCTATTTATGTTGTCCGGACTTATTATAGAATTTCCCACAGCAGGATGTAGAATAATACATACTTATAACTCCGTTATCAAGGTTCTGCATATGATATATAGAGAATCTACTACAAGTCTTTTTTTTGGGGTATCAGTAAAGTCGAGTAGAAGATTTTATTTATCTCCCAACCCTTTCCATCCTAAAGCAATATCTCCTTGGAGAAATCGCTCAGTCGGAAAAGTTATCACACAAGCAATGTCTACTGTAGAATGTGTTATTGGATGATAAATGTCTTTTACTCCTAGCGAGAAACTTGAGTGCTCTGGTAATCACAAATTATCTAAGGCCAATTGCACATCATGTAGTTTTCTGTAAATTTAATGTCACAGATTGTCATCTGAGAGATTTTGAATGTTAAATTGTAAATTACGCAGCATTCGTCATCGTTTTCAGATAATGTAAACAAGCCAGTATTACCTGGCATTTTTTCAATCCAATTGAATCCAAGCTTGTAGATTGTCTATCATTGTTATTTGGTTTGATATCTAGTCAAATATCAAATAATAAATCTACATTTTAGCACAGATTAAGGGGGGAGGATATCCGAACATTTTTGTTCTGAAATGTTAAAGCTATTGAATTGAAAATGGCACAAGTAGTTAGTAAATGTAATAGACAAGGGAAATTACTTGTGCCATTTTCAATTCAATGGCTTTAGAATTTCAGAAAACATTTTTCGGGTAGCCTCACCCCTTAAGCTATGAAAAGTTATATATTATCCAACAAATAGAAAGGAGAACTAGTGGTTTTAATGCAGAAACCACATCATGCAGAATATAAAAACTAGGTTTAATATTTGAGTGTCATTTCATGTTTGAGGAACACATTAACAGAACTTAATTTTTATGGGATATCGATAACTGGTTTGAGGATACTTGTCAAAACGTGCTATTAGAATGAAACCAGTAATTTATATCCCATAAAACTTGTATTCTGTTTAACTTGATTAAATATTAATAGTATAAAGAACTTGTATTGTATATTTATGTATGTTATATATTATATGTGTGTATATTGTTTCCATGGTAATGTATATTGTATATATACGTGATGTAATCATAAATTCGCTTTTGTGGCATTTGTGACATTCCTTGATAGGATAATAAATTTATGTAATCAAATCATTCAATAAGGTTCTTTTCTTCTTTAATATAAGGGGGTGGGGTGGATGGCTAGCCGCGCTGTTTCATAAGATCTGTTATCGAGTCAACTGACGTGGTTGTATGTGACAATGAGTAGGGTCGCCTGTCCAACCTTGTGAGCTTTCTCTGGGTCCTCCGGCTTCCTCCCACCACTAAAAACCCCTACACGCAAGCCAATTGAAATAAAATTGAACCATGTAAGGACAATAGCTCTAGAAGTAATAAGCTGAAATTCATGAAACTGTTTTTCACTAGTCTAAACAGGAGCCATGGTGGCTAATTGGGTAAGACGTTGGCTCGCTAGCCTGAGGGTTGCGTGTTTGATCCCTGCATTGGGCGAGAAAGTTCCTGGTTTCCCCTTGTCAGTGGTGCAGGAAGGAGGGCACAGACAAGGACAGCTGTCTAGTCTTGTGTATGGGCGAAAAACTGAGGCCCCATGTACACATTGGCGATCTCTTGGCAGTTGGAATTTGATATAAGAGTAGGCCGTAGTGCTGCTGCCTGGGCAAAATTTCCCTCATAGCACACTGTATGGCATGTATGCCCATATTGATCAGCCCAGTCGAACCAGAACAGTAGGATGTTAAACCCCATTTCATTACTAGTCTAAACAGTCTCCATAAATTTAAAGTAAATGAGATGATAACATTTGTTTACTAGAGGCTACAAACTAAGCAAGGGCATTAACTCTTGAAGTAATGGAAACTGTTGAAATTTTCAATAATGTGAACAATAGTGAAAGTAAAATAACTTTCACTTAATCTCAGGTGGGAGTATGATGCTAATCTTGGGAGGGGGAGGGGATTGGCTGAGGCTATTTACTCGAAAATTTTCTTGATATATGATTTCTTTGATATATGGTCTCATTCTCTGATGTTTGTGTTCGAATAATCGACAGTTCACCGAATCTAGGACACCCCCCTGGAGACACAAAGGCTGCAGCCCCTAAAGCCCAAACCTTAATTCAAATCTAGGTGCATATAATAAAACAGCAGAAAAATTAAAAAACATTTTCGTGATTTATTTATATTTTTATCATAAATTATTCATCATTGATTGTTCATTCAAAATTAAGGATACAAATGTACACTATATACAAGCAATATATTACATTTGATTCAAACAATAGACAACAATAATACAGTTTGATTTTATACCCTAGACTTAAACATACATTATGCAAGAGCTAAATCTGCCTATTGCAGGTCTTTCATTAGACTTGACATGTTATATAAACTATTAGTTAGACATTAATTAACACGAAAAGATCTTAATCAACTCTCGGTACCATCTTATGTGTCGGATTTTCACTGGATTTGAATCCGATCTTCTGCTCAATGCTCATTGTTGATTAAATCCAAAAATGGATAATCGAGACTATGTTTTTTATCGTACCGACTTTAGTAATGATGATCGAGACTAGGCCTAAAATTCAAAAGCTAATATCTAGTTTCAGATTGGAGCAATTTGACTGAAATTTTCAGCATATTCTATTTACGGTATCTATTTTTTTTAAAACTATTATAGTAAGAACTGCCAGCTCTTTATCTAATCTTCCACAATGTATCTTTAACTGAGAGTAACTGAACCCTTATAGACATTGAAAGACTACAGAGCCTTATACAGGCTCGATGTATCATTTAAGGCTATAGGAAGGCCCTATATGAATCCCTTGCAAATTACAATTTTGTGAAACTTTAATCACTAGTAGGATTATCAGTCTGAATGGTTCAATTTATTATAAATATTTACAAAGTTCTGATCAATTTTGATTTCTTAAAGAGCTGACCATTCTTGCTATAATAGCTCAAAAATAGCTAATGTAAAATGAAAAAATTGAAAATTTCACTCATATAACTTCATTCTGAGACAAGTTATCACTGTTTGTAGTTTTGACAAGATGTGTGCATTGTGGTAACCAGGGCACTGGTATATTCGAGACTTAGCCTCGCTTTTCCATTTTTAAATCAAACTTTTAAATGGCAAACCGTTTTAATCCAATTAAAATCTTGAGTGTGCGATACCATCGAGAGTTGATTATGGTCTTGTTTTGTTAATAAATGTCTAATTAATAGTTTATATAACATTTTAGGCTTATAGAAAGACCTGAAATAGGCAGATTTACCTCTTGCATAATGTATGTTTAAATGAATCTAAGTACATATTAACATGTATAAAACTGTGAGAAATTTGATATTTTAGCGAACCTACAAATAACATACTATTACTGAGGTTTTAATACACATGTATGTAGTTATCACACAGAGAATATGACCTGAACTGTGGAGATGATGTCAAAAAGTCCCTGACATCCTGATTGTACTCGAGTTAATGGCTGATAATCTATCGTTTTTACGTCATCAATGTCATTGTGTTTACTGTAAATATTACACACTGTATTCGAATAATTACAACATTCTACTACTGACTTAATAATATAATTACAACATTTCACTTATTTAAAGCGATAGTTGCATATTTTGTAAGAAAATCAAAAATAATTATTCTTATATCTATTGTTTAAAAGGTTGTCAAATCACTACTATATAATCATAGGGGAGAGAGAGAGAAATGGGGCTTAACTCTACTTGACACAAACTAGGTCATTTCAGGACTAACATATGGTTTCTAATTTAATATTTTAATAATTCGCTTGCACTTAGGGGTCTTTAGCAGTGGGAGGAAAATGGAGAACCCGGAGAAAACCCATGAGGTTGGACAGGCAACCCTACTCCTTGTCATGTACAACTGGGGATGCGAAACCACGGCAGTTGACCCAATGACAGGCCTTATGAAACAGCGCGCACATGCTGACCATTCGGCCATGCACACCCCCTCCGCCTAGAATCATAGGAATCATTCTAGCACTTAAAATAATAACTTGGAAATAATAGAAAATCTACCTTGTTTGTTTTCTATATGCTCCATGGCAGTAGTGGATTATAGGATTAAACATATATTATGCAAGAGCTAAATCTGCCTGTTGCAAGTCTTTCTTGAGGCCTGAATATTACATAAAATATTAATTAGACATTTATTATCATGAAACGACCATAATCAACTCTTGATGCCATCTTATGTGTTGGATTTTCACTGGATTTGAATCCGATCTGCTGCTCAACGCCCATTGATGATTTAATCCAAAAATGGATAATCGAGACTGTTTTTTTATTGTACCGACTTTAGTAATGATGATCGAGACTAGGCCTAAAATTCAAACACTAATATCTCAGTTCAGAGTGAAGCAATTTGATTGAAATTTTCAGCATATTCCCTTTATATGATCTAGATTTTAACTATTACAGTAAGAACTGACAGGTCTCTATCTAATCTTCCATAATGCCCCTTTGATAAGATCATTCTTTAACAAAGTAGGGCTGTGTGTGGATTCCATGTGATTCAAGGCTTTATTTTAACATATTTATTTTGAACTTTTAAAAATTGCAACTATCGTTAATCATTCAGTGGCATTTAGTAACTGAGTGGAGTTATAAACTATAAAACACATGCAGGAAAAACGGCTAGTAATAATTTGATAGCATTGAGAGAATACTCTTCAAGACCTTGATCAAATATGTTAGTAGCTGTTTTCCATAAGAATGTGTTATAGTTCATTAAACATACATTATGCAAGAGCCTTAAATGTTATCTAAATTATCAATTAGACAATAATTAACTTATCCAGACCATAATCTTTTGTGATGGATGATTTAACGTCAAAATGGATTATAAAGACTGTTTTTTATCGTACCGGCTTTAGTAATGATGATCGAGGCTTGGCCTAAAATTCAATCTTTAATAACATTTGTCCTGTGACGATTGATGAGACACAGATGCATACTTTCAACAACATGTATAAATAATAACAGACAGCTTTATGGACAACATTCACTAGGTTAATTAACTGCAACATTTCCATGAGGTTACTCTCATGGTTATCAAGCATTGAAATGTTGCAGTTAATAAACTTTGTGAATGCTGTCCATAAAGCAGTCTGTTGTTAAAAAATATTGATTTCATTAAATGCACTCTAAAGATAGTAAACATGTATAAATATTTGAGATTATCTGTCAAACAGTCAATTACATAATCCAAGTAATAATTCTATGGAATACAATTACTGCTTATTACTGAGCGGTAATTGTATTCCATAGAATTGTGACCTGTATATTATTCCAGTTCAATTACTAAATGTCATTAAAACAATTTACATAATCCGAGATGCTCAAATGCAAAAATAACATCATTTTGGTGATTTTAACCATTTAAATACTTGAAGTCCTCATAATCCCACTTGCTTGAGGGAAAGTACATGGCATGGGGCTTTAAACCCAATTTCATTTCATTTCCATTTGAGCATTCTAGAGTCAGTCAAACAATGTGTTTATCTGTGACTTGATGTAATCCTGTTTGAGGCCAGTCCAAAATATACAGTCTTACATGTATATGTTCTCTCAGTAAAGCCTAATGCACTGTTTAAAGAATGACCAAGTGTGTATAGACACTGACCCCCACAAAATACCCTGATATTTATTAGAGTCTTTGTACAGCATTTAGAAATTGGGACAAAATCTAATACAGCACCATTTCCGAATAACAATTACCATAGTTTAATAGACTGTGACATTTCAACAAGACTTCATAAGTTGTTAAACTGTTTTAACGGCATTTAGTAATTGAATTAGAGTATACAGGTCACTATTCTATGGAATACAATAAGTTGTTATCTAGCCAATTTGATTAAAATACAAATCTATATTTCGTTTAGATTTTTTATACTTTCGATGGCTTCTATACTACATGAGGATCTGACCGGTTGTAGTGGAAGGTCGTTTCAGGGGTCGTACGAGTGGCTTTTGACCCTATGACATCAGACATTGATTAATCAGCGTTGACGTTTCTAGAGGTTTACCCACAGACCGTTTCATTGGCTAATCCCTTACATCAACCAAAATGCGGTTTATATAACAACCCTTCTAGATTCTAGTGTAGTAAAGACAAGTAAAACAAAATTTTGAACTATAAAAAACGAAACAAAATAGGGTCTGTGTTTTAATTGGATTATTATTTATCATATAAACTAAAATAAACAAAACAAAATTTTAGCCTTGGGACAACCCTAGTGTAGCCGCCAACCCTGGACAGACAAACAAATGACAGCCGCAAATATTAATACAGATAGATACATGTATGTAGGTAATCCCTATGTAAATATCCACTCAGCATGATACAGATAATGTTAATAACCCAGTAATAGTTATTCCACATACACTGTACTAGAGTCAGTTTGGTAAACTTAAACATACATTATGCAAGAGCGAAATCTGCCTATTGCAGGTCTGTCTTTAGGCCTGAAATGATTTCTAAATTATTAATTAGACATTAATTAACTTATCCAGTCCATAATCAACTCTCGATGCTATTAGATTTCTCCGATATTAAATAGATTAGAACAGTTCAGCCATATTTTGATTTAAGCTAAAAATGGAGGAGTGAGACTTAGCTTTGAACAACCAGTACAGTGGTTGAAATTATTGCACACGTCTTGCCAAACCTTCAAAGGCTAATATCTTCGCTCGTAATAGAGTAATTTGAATGAAATTTTCAAATTATTCATTTTACATTAACTATGTTCGAACTATTATAGCAAGAATGGCTAGCTCTTTATCTAAATCTTACATAATGTATCTTTAATGTATTGATGTTTAATATCGTACAGTACTTTAAAACAAAAGGAGCTTGTAATAATACATCAGATCAATCCAATTTAATCATCTATTTTAATTAAAAAAAACTTAATTGAACTTATTTCAAATTATAGCATAAATTTTAAAGAATTAAGCAGGACTTGTGTCGACTTTGTAATTAGGAGCAATGCCTTCAACTAGTTTTAAGTGTGCTTATGCCGATCAAATAAGCAACTGAATCTGATAAAGGTCTCCGGTCATTCTGGGGCCTAATTCAAGAAAACATAAAACAAAAATATTTTAAGGTCCCAGTCATAATTAATGATATTAATATTCAATCTACTGGGTCAATTTCATCACTATCGTCAATATTACTTTCTGATTCGCTTTCTGTACTTTCTTCAGCTGATACGTCTTCTCTCCATGATGAATCAACAAGAGATGTAGCCTTCTTCTTCCAAAATATTGGAAATTTAGATGCTGGAGTGTCATTAGAGGGCGTCACACTATCAGTATTAGAAAGTTCCGTCGTGTTAATCAATGATTTCGATACATCACAAAACTGAGTGTTGTATGAATTCTTAAAATTATTTGCGGTATTAGTTAAAATATCCGATTCATACGAAGTTGATTCCGATTCATTGGTTAGTACTGATGGATTGAACTCATTTGAATTTGTTTGCAATTGACTTGTAGATGGTTGATCACCATTGTAAGATTGTAATTCACTTGTTTTTTTTATGTCATTAGAATGTAATTCACGTTTTGAAGATTTGTGATCGCTAAATTTTAATTCACTTTGTGTTTTGAAATTACTAGCATTTAGATCACTTGAGTAAAATGCATTTGATGCTGATCTGAAGCTACTACTTATACTTTCATACTGGCTAGTTTGTAATTCACTTCCCATAGATTTGTAATCTCTGGATTGTAATTCACTTGACACAGGTTTGGTTTCACCTAATCGTAAATCATTTGAAAGAAGTTTAATATCACTTGATGAATCACCTGTGCACTTCAGTAATTTACTTGGTGTCACTTTGTCTAACTTTTGTGTTTCTGTGGATATCTTTAAATCACACGAATCAGAAACTCCATTACTGTACACATTGGAATCTTGAAGCTGTTTTGCGAAAGGTTTTAGATTTAAAGATGAGCCAATAAATCCATAATCGTTGGGTTTTTTTACATGATGTAAAGATGATGTAACATTGGGGTATTCTAAATAAATTGGTAACGCTAGGTTACAGTCTTTAAATGCACTTGTTGATGATGGTTTACTATTTGAATTGATAGTTGTTGTTGTTTTTGAATATGTGACATTATTTACAACATTGTTTGTCCTTAAATTGTTGTCAAAGTGATTATAATTGTTCGTTATTCGTTTCATGTTTATTTCTAACATATCTGTATCTGTTTTCACTCCATTTTTTTTCAATACTGGACACTTTGCTAAAAGAATGTCATCTTTTTTGTCCGATATATGAACTTCTGGCGAACTTTGTGCATTAATAGAATTGCAATTTAACATACTTGTCGAAGAACGAATTTCGGGATCTTCGTCCGAAATTTGCTGATCTGAAAGAATATTAACATCGATATCTGACTGTGAATTATCAAGTCTATAAATGTCGGTCTCAGCATCGGAGTCATCATAATCGTTACTTTTTTTGCTTAAGTCCAATTCAATAACATTATCTGTTTCAGACTTGGAGCTGTTGATGGTATCATGAGATGAATGTACCATTTGCTCTGAGTCAGAACTTTGTATTTCAGTTGGGGATAAATCTATGACATTTATTACAGCATCATCAGGTGGACTACCTCGTTTCTCTGCAGTGGAAGATTGTGGGAGATTCCCGGTACCTTCTTTATCAAAACTTACAACATCCAAAACAGGAGACACGATTTCTGTATCTGTTTCTTCATTGCCACTACTTGACAGGGTCAGATCCATATTATTAGGTTTTGTACTATCTGCCTGCTGAACTTGTGTTAGGTCCAGTGGGACAGAGTCACGATCTAAAATTGTATTTGCTAAATTTAAAGGATTTGATTGGGTTGTTGAGGATGGTCGAAGACCAAGATTTAACGGTTTATTATTTGAAAGAGCACTGGTGTAGTGTGGTGGTTGTCTGTACCACGCGTGTGGGTTATAACCAGAAAAGGCACACTGAAAACTCTCCAAAACATTGGAATACAAAACAGATCCTGCACCATGACTAAATAATGGATCACCATGCATCATCACATCAGGCAGAGGTAATGAAAGAGATGTGTTTGTTTCTGAAATCCTTCTTGTATGCGACCTTTTATGACCTGAGGGATGTTTTTTGAAAGACATTGCACCATTTTGTTCTTCCAAAGACTGTAGAGAAAGATTTGTAGCTTCAATGGAACCTGCAGCATCTATTGTGGATACCACATCTAAAATGTCATCATCCAATTCCTCTGGATTGACTGAAGTTAAATCTAGGACTTCATCTGTGGTACTAACTAAACTGCCTTCTATTCCAGTTGTCTTTTTAGCAATACTGGTTGCAATCTCAACTGGTGTCAATGTATCACAGATACCAGACAGAGCATCAGTAAATGATCTGGTAGACAAACTTGCTTCGGATGACGTAGTGGCGCAAGTGGAAGAATTTTGTGAGGATGTTTCTGGTGTTGTTTTTTCACTTCGAATGATGTCAGTAGGTTCTGCCACAACAACAGTACTAGCAACAGTCTTGTTATGGTGCTTGTGGGAACTTTTATGTTTATGCTTGTGCTTTTTGTGTTTCTTTTTGGACTTGTCCTTGTGATGTACACTGATGATTTCTACACTTGGACTTCTGGACTCCTTCCTGCTCTTTTTCTTGTGCTTTTTATTGTTTTCTGGTGATCTGGATCTAGAAGCAGATGAAGATATATTGTGATGAGCTTCACCATCATCTGCTAAGTTAGCAGATTTATGATCATGATGCTTACGTTTTGAGCTTAATGATGAGTGAGGAGAATTAACCAATTCTGATGAATAAGATACTGTTTCTTTTTTACGCCCACTATCTGATATCTCCGGGGATGTTGATCTTCTGTGAAACAGAATGTTAATTCTTTTAGAGTAATGGGAATCCCTATAAGACTTCGATTTATGCTTTGATTTTTTCCTGTGAACATCTGAATTTCCAAGGGAAGTAGAGGGTTCCTCGGAAGGTCTTTCAGACGCATCAGCTGGTGTTTCAACTGGTTTTTCAGTCTGTTGATCTGCAGGAGTATCAGTTGCTGCTACTGATGTTGCCTCAGAAGACTTATCTTTTGTCCTATGTGACTTTTTGGACTTTTGTTTTTTAGATTTGCTTTCTTTTTTCTTTGATGTTTTATTTGCTATTAGTACTTCACTTTCTGAGTCAGTTGAAAGACTTATGGGAGAACGTTCCTCCCAAGGTTTATCATATGCTACAAACACGATGGCACTTCCTGCACTACTAGCAGAGTCACTACTTGAATCAATTTCAGTTTCGGTTAAACCAACAGATCGACCTAAAGCAGGAATAAAATTTCTAACCGGTTGCGGTGGAGGAATTTGTTCAAACTGCCAGGAGGGTCCAGGAGTTGGAGAATGCCAGGAGGATGTTGACAGATAACTTGGACCTCCCCAAAAACTGAAATTAGAACTTCTGACCTGAACTTCAGCACTAATATCGGGTAGGTTTAAAAATTCTCTTGAAGGTACAGATGGGGCTGCCTCTGTTGAAACAATCTGAACATCACTATCCTCATCACTAATAGAATTAACAGTATCAGTATCAGAGGACACAGACTCAGTTTGTTGTTGATATATCGCCTTCTTATCGTGAATAGTCATACAATATGGAGACATGGCAAACATTTGAAATTCATGCACAAAATGTCTGGTGTGTCTTCCAATAAATGGGGAGATGTGTTGGTAAAAGTCTTCGCTGTTAATTTCAAATCTTTTAATGAGACCCATTATTAGCTCTAAAACAAACTGAACGTGTGATTCCTGGTTAAACAGAAGAGCATTAAGTTCCCGATTCAGCCAAGGTACTAGACGATGTGTCAAGGCAGGATTAGCTGTGAAGAAGGCAGGACTTATGTCCCTTACTCGACCATTTGTTCCCCTAACCCCAGATAAGCGCATACCATTGGTATAAATTCGTCTACGAAAGTCCGAAGTTGAAGCTTGGCGTCTTCTATTCCAATCCTGTCTGGCATTAAAGTCTGTCGCACGAAGGACATGGGGAGAAGCTCCAATAGCTTGGAGTTGTAACACAGTTTCTGGATCTGTTACTGGGTTCCCAATAACCCTGCTCCTGAGATTAAGTACCCGATCTTCAGTCAAAGTCGTTCTGTATCTGAAACTTCGACTATATGGATGTTCTGGAGAATGATTACTCCTATACATGGACAAATGATATTGGTCATAGTCTTCATAGGATCTCACATTATGAATAATACTCTTAAACGATTGTTTACAAAGTGGACATTCATTTTTAACTTTGGACCATTCTAATAAACACACAAAACAGAACATGTGAAAACAGCTATCTGTGAAAGATTTGTTCTCTAGTTTACCAAGGCAGATGGCACAATTGGGATCTGGTGAATTGGTGGATCTAGTTGGTGTATCTGCTTTGGGTGGTTCATTTCCTGTTTCTGGAGGTGGAAGGGGAGATAACTCCTTTGTTGGGGTTTCGTTCTTTTTCTTAGATTTGTGAGAAGACTTCTTTTTCTTGGAACGTGTAATGGTACTAGAGTCAGCCATGATGATCAATATCTGAAATAAGACACAAAAAAAACCAACAATTATTAAAGTTTTTTAAAGCAAAGGGCAAGTAACAAAAAACACACCAAGCAAGAGGGTCTTTAGCTGTGGGAAGAAACCGGAGAACCTGGCGAAAACCCATGAGGTACCATTCAAACGACTAGACAGCTGCTCTTGTCAGGCCCTCCGTCCTGCACCACTAAAATGGGGAAACCACGCCAGAAAATCCTGATGAACTTTCTCGGCATCAACCATTAAACTAGTATTATACATGTACCACCAATCAGTTAATGAAACATTATATTTACATTAAACCACCAATCACTATTGTGTTAACGAAACATTATATTAGCATTAGACCACCAATCAGTATTGTGTTAACGAGACAATATATTAGCATTAAACCACCAATCACTATTGTGTTAACCAGACATTATATTAGCATTAGACTACCAATCAGTATTGTGTTAACAAGACATCAGATTAGCATTAGACCACCAATCGTTATTTAAAGGGACTATCCCGATTTGAACAGAGTCTCAAAAATAAAAGTCTGATTACGTATGAAATTTAAGCGCCAAAATATGGAGGAATGGTGATTTATCTTGTCTCAAAATTTCAGCGCAAAATATTGAGTTGTTTGGATGTGAACTTCAAAAATGCTTATCCGGACACGTAACCCTTTTAAGATTTTGGGTGAATTTTTTCTTTGGGTGACCTGATAATCGATTCCCATTCCTTTAGAGGTCTATACAGTGAATGACCCACATGCTGTATTTGCTAACGAAAGGTACATTTCACCTAAACGTTATTTTTCTAAAAAAAAGTCTGATTTTATTCAGACACCATACAATACAGCTTGGGACACCGGTCTCGATTTCCAGATGAAGACTGACGGGTTTACGTTGTTTGAAAATGTATCACAAATATTGAGTCAGCTGCTCGGCCCTTAGGTAGAGGATTTTAAGGGATTTTAACACAAAATTAAGAAGTTTTATTCTCTAAAATATTATTAGGATTGGCCCTTTAAGCAGGTGTTTTCAGACCACAATCAAAAATCATGTGTCAACAAAATATTCAACTTCATACGTAATAAAAAAAAGGTGCACCAGGTTATTTTTCAAATTTAATTCCTGTACGGTATTCAAATTTATGTCAGTAATATTCCTATAAAATTATGCGTTGTCGTAACAGGATAGAATGAAAGCATGCCGACCCGTACCTGTTGCAAATGCCTCCAAAATTATTGTATTTTTCGGGGTATAAGTCGATACATTTTTCAGCAGAAGTCCGGCATTCGTCTTATACTCTGTTTCGACCTACATGTACATACGGAAGTTTAAAAAAAATGACATCCCGAAATTTATTTGGCAGTAACCGTAGACACATATAAAATTAATTTGTATATATTTATTGCAATGTAAGCGTTATTATAGATAAAAATAGAGTATACATGACATGTATATAAATACTAAAATATATTACCATATATACATGCATAAGTGAATGAAAATTGTTTTAGTAGACCAGGTGCATATTCATAAATTGTCTATGTGGCTGGATTTAAAACATGTCAGTATAGCTTTAAATATCGGAAGTTGCTGCCAGGATTTCGATAATGAAAATGGAATGTAATCATTACAGTAATGGCCATGTAATGCATAATGGAAGATTTCAAAAGTAATGAGAAACGGAAATGTAATTAAACATACATTATGCAAGAGCTAAATCTGCCTATTGCAGGTCTTTCTTTAGGTCTAAATGGCATCGGATTTCTCCGATGTTAAATAGATTAGAACAGTTCAGTCACATTTTGATTTAAGCTAAAAATGGAGGAGCGAGACTTAGCTTCAAACAACCAGTACGGTGGTTGAAATTAATGCACACATTTTGTCAAACCTTCAAAGGTTAATATCTTCGCTCGCAATAGAGTAATTGGAATGAAATTTTCAAATTATTAATTTTACATTATCTATTTTCGAACTATTATAGTAAGAATGGCTAGCAATTTATCTAAATCTTACATAATGTATCTTTAATTAGATTCCAAAAATCATTTCAATTACTCTTCAATTAACTTTTCATGGCACATACAAATACATGTATTATTTCCAATATGATAAACCTTAAAGAAGTAAATTAACTATCACACAAAACCATTTCATTGGAATTTTAATAAAAAAAAGATTTAAATCAGGATTAACTGATCATAATAAGAAAGCATTAAACATTTTCTTTAATTACTTTTTATTTACAAGTAGGCCAACAACCCTTTTTCAGACATGTAACCTAAAATGTGGATTTCTGAAAAGAAGTATATTGTAATCTAAGATTAGTGCTAATTTGTAGATAATTATACAGTCAATCAGTTAAGATTAAATGACAATATAATTTTATTATTACACTTAATCTTAATCTCAAGGTGACAAACCAAAAACAATGGCCTTCAAGTATCTCATCCTTTTATGGTTACTTAATACACAACAAATTTATATTTTATGTTTTAAGTGTCATACTAAGTAACTTCCCAGTTATACAACGTTACAGTTGGATTAAGAATTTTATAATATTACTTAAAGAAAATGTAGGATTCATTCCTTACGTCACACAGTTAAAACAACAGTTTTTATCACTGCTCCTCAATTAAAAACTTGCTTTTGCCGTGATGTTATAATTTATAGAACACTTATTAAACATAACAAGTGGTTGCCATGCAAGATACACCCACATTTTGCAAGAGATGGACAGAGAACGAGCTAAAAAATAATAATCCAGGAAGATACGTTCCGATATGCGTGAATATCTAAAGGAACCAAGATCTTTGGGTTATAAACATGTATTTCAAGTTTCATCAAAATCGGAATAAAATTGTGACCTCTAGAGGGTACACAGCCTTATACCATATTGTAGCGTACGAGGGACGGCCATTTTGTCTGGCAGTTTTGGTCTGATTTGAAATCAACCATCACTACGGTGTTATAGTGATATATTCAAACGTTTTTTTAAATCGGATAATATTTGTGACCTCTAGAGGAACCACAAGCTAAAAACGCGATTTTTCGTACAATCAGGGGCCATAATTCAGGAAGTTATGATCTGATATGCGCAAATATCGAAAGGAACCAAGATCGTTGGGTTATTAACATGCATTTCAAGTTTCAATAAAATCAGCTGAAAATTGTGACCTCTCGAGTGTCCACAAGCTAAAAACGTGATTTTTCGTACAATCAGGGACCACAATCCATGAAGTTTCGATCCGATACATGCCAATATCGAAAGAAACCAAGATCTTTTGGACATAAACCTAAATTTCAAGTTTCATCAAAATCGGATAAGAATTGTGACCTGTAGAGTGTCCACAAACAATTGTGGACGGACAGACGGACGGACGGACAGGGGCGACGACAAAATCTACATATATGATGTAGGCTACATGTACATGTATGTGTATATTAGTAGCACAAGGTTAAAATTCTATCACAACACCTATTTAGATTACTTCCTGTTTATTAGGTAAAAGTGTGAAAACTGTAAGATTAGAGAGATTTCGCAACTTAACAGTTACACTTACATTTAGTAAGTGGAAATTGTACATTATGACATTTCGCTAAATACCCACTTACAGTTACACTTAGTAGTTGGCGCACCAACTTGGTCCACGATCTTGATAGGCCTTCATCACGGATAGATTGTTAAAGATGAGATTAGTAAAGCACGCACGTTTTGTCACGGCCTCTTGCAAGAAAATAAATGAAGTACAGGGCATGTTTACATGAAGCAGAAGTCTTCTCTGTGGATTTAGTTCATGACCACCACGACACAATTATGGACTGAATTATATAAATTAAGCAAGGTTTAGCTATGTGTTGTGAACTTACAGTTATAGAGGCTGTTATTTGTCGGCACCCACTTTTATAACGTGCGCTTCACGTCATACGTCACAAAAACTGATGATGTTTAACCGTCTAAGTGTAAATGTAAAGTTGCGAAACCTCTCTAATGTTAAAAAGTTCATTATGCAGTAGAACAATCTGGTAGCTCCCATAAATGACTTTGCAATTTGGGTCCATGTCAAAACCCCCTCTGGTCAAAACCCCCTAGGTCATAACCCCCTTGGTCATAAATTAAAAACGGACAATACCCCCTTTTTATTTATTTATTTTTTTATTAATTTATTTCCTTTATTTATTATTATTTAAAAATAAATATCTGAAAAATAAAATATTATTATTTAAAAAAAAAATATAATGACCAACTAAGACAATTGACCACACAATTAACATAATATAATCTGCTTTTTACTAGGAATAACATAGCCACAGTTATTGTAATCGTTCAAGTGAAAAGCAATTATCTGATCAATCTCAACTGAAGTCATGGTGCTACAATTTAAAATCTCCTATACCCAACCCTATTCCCAGCAGAACTCTGGAACGTTCATCTGACAACACTTGGTGGTGGGTCTCGCACTAACAATCTATGTGAGTCTTGGCGTTCAGTTCCCTGCTGGGAATATCAGACCCCACAATCTGGCGGGCTCTCGAACATCTCCATCTGGATCACAGCAATGTCAAGACTGCACTCCTGCAATACTAACGCGGACAACCACCAAAAAACAACAGGAGATCTACAAGAAAGACTTTACAACTTGTGTGCAAACCATAAAAGGTATTGGGCACACCATCCGATGGAAATAATTTCACCCATATAATTGCAAATAAAATATAAAAATAATCGATTTTGTTGTGTACTTCACTTCACAAACCCAAAAAACATAATTTTGAAATTATTTTTATATTATGTAATATAAAAATGGGGGTTTTTGACCAGAGGGGGTTCTGACTTAGGGGGGTTTTGACCTAGGGGGGAATCTGACCTAGGTCAAAACCCCCTAGGGGGTTCTGACTGGAGGGGGTTTTGACCGTATCCCTTGCAATTTACAGGTAGGTCTACTGGTATGTTACCGGTCCATTTTTCACCCTTGTTAATAGTTAAAACAATTAAAAAAGTATGAAATACATGTAGCTAGGCTACCATTAACGACTAATTAACCATCCAAAAATAGTATAGCCATGAATGAGAGATTTAGAGATGGAATCAAGACCCATGTGTAGGCCTACATGCTAGGGCGCAGTGGTTGGGAAATGCGAATCGAATCGAAGTGAAAGTCAAAATCTGAACGATGGGAACTAACAGCTTTTGCGGTCCTCTTGTACTATTAGGCCAGCTGTATGTGTACATAATTTGTCACTTTCTTCGTAGCCTGCTGTTCTTTACAGAGTACTGCATAACACTCGAGATAATTTTGTTTTACATTACAGTGTCAGTAGGGTGCCCTGTCACTAGGGTTGATGTCGAATCAAATCATTATAACAACAATAATTTTTCACCTTATTTCTTTCAAAAACGAAATAATTGTGATTAATTTCAATGTTACTCCCCAGCTAAATTATTCTTGGGTATTACCTTTATAAAATCATCTTACATAAAAACAGCAATTCGATAGGAAAGACCTAGAATTTTCAAGAACAATATCACTTCTTTCCAACTAATTCAGCTGGCAGCCATATTGGTAATAATGTTGTTAAATGCAACATACATGGGGAGTGGTTAGCCAAAAATAACTGGCCAATGAAAGGGAGTATAACAATGTCTTCATAGCATACGGGATTCGTCGGTGGAAAAGTTCAACTTGATAAGGCGCAATAAAGATGTAGGTTATTTGCACAAATGTGCCCATTTAATGCACGCATTTTCGAATATAAAATGAAAAATAAAGTATTCTAACAATATTGACATACATAGGAAGGGACGCTAATCAAAGGGCGATTCGAAGTTTTGTAGGTTAGATTATAATTACGGCCTAAATATTAAGAGTCCGGAATATTGTAGTGTCCACGAAATCGAAAGTAGAGAAAACAGGATCCCTGTCACAAAAGAATCATACAACTTTTTCTGGCATGTCATAGATTATTATTATAATGTACCGTATGTGTAATATGGTTGGTTAAAATATTTATACAAGATAATTAAAAGAGTAAGATCTCTTTCTTTTCTGCAGGAAAATGAATGATGGGATTTGGAAATGATAAACTGAAAGTAGAAGCCTATAATTGTCTTGGTTGGATGTGCTTGATCATCAACATGCATGTACATTTGCTATAGTTATGAGCTGATGAGAGCCAATATTTCCTAATATCTACGTTGGTAAATAATGACTGATGATATTGTCAGTTTCTCAAGCACTACGGATATAAAAGAAAAAGGTAATGGTTCTGGTTCAGTGACATAGATGTAGGCCTATGATATAGCCTATACCATATAATTTATGTAACTGTCTACATCTAAATTATAAAAAGTAAACATTAAAATGCGCATTGAGCAACATAAGATAAATATTTATTGCATCAAAACATCCATAAAGAACAGCATGCATTGCACATAGGTAGACTTCCTAGTACATAGATAAAATCACGTTTCTGGATGACAAGGGATATGATCAACCACGTAAGTCTGCCTAACTGCAAGGGGCTTCTCTTGGTTTCTTCCTCCTACGGCTGAAGACCTTTGTGCAATAGCAAGTTAGTGAAGTGAAAATATACTCATTATCAATGAACAAAAAACATTACATCAAATTTTATCACATCAGTTTTAAATCACATCAAATTTAATCACATCATGTGAAAACTCTGAATATTATTTTACTACAGTATGGAGTAAAGGTGACGAATGTTGTGTTAAGTGGCCTGGCGATGGGCAGACGTACAATGGTAGAATAAAAAAACTCAGAAGATGTCTGGAGTCTAACAAGATATACGCTTTGGTAACATTTGATGATTTTGGAAAGGAGGATGACGAGGAATTTGATATTAAAGAAATACAAAAACAAGAAAGAGAACCTTCACCCGCTAGAAAAAGTAGGTAAATAAATAGTACATGTGAAACAAGTAGTGGAAAATGACGACAACTCTCGTAAAGTCAGTCTTATGTAGCTGGAGACTAGTAGTAGGAGGACATCTAAACAGGGATCTCAGCGATACATAAGGGGTTCAGGTTATAGGGATTGCTTCTCAACATAAATAGTACATTTATTAACATATAGGTCAGTATTTCCCAATCTTTGGGGTTTTGTGGATTCAAAGGGGCCCCTCACCCTCAGTGTTGGGGGGGGGGGGGAAGAGGGGTATATTAGAAAAAGAAAATGAAAGTACAAGAACAGATTAATTTTACATAAATGATGCACATATAAGGCTTGTTGTTGCTATAGAAGAAACTAACATCAAATAAATTGTACTTACGTTATACACATATAAGGCTTGTGGTTACTATAGATAGAAACTAACACCAAATAAATTGTACCAACGTTAGGGTTTTTTAAATATACCTTATGCAAGAGCTAAATCTGTCTATTCCAGGTCTTTCTGTAGGCCTGAAATGTTATCTAAATTATTCATTAACTCATCCAAACCATAATCAACTCTCGATGTCATCGCTAGCCTGCGATATTTACTAAATTGGAATCTGATCTGCTGCTCAACGCCCATGTGTGCTTTGTTGTAACCAGAGCACTGGTATATTCGGGACTTAACCTCGCTTTCCCATTTTTAAATTAAATTTTTAAATGGTGAACCGTTCTAATCTAGTTAAAATCTTGAGTAGTTGATTATGGTCTTGTTTTGTTATTAAATGTCTAATTAATAGTTTATAAAACATTTCAGGTCTAAAGAAAGACCTGAAATAGGCAGATTTAGCTCTTGCATAATGTATGTTTAATGACTTGTGACTCTGTAATTTGTGCTTTTGACAGCCAATTATTGTTATGTTATTGTAAGTATGTGTATAAAATTTGAAATTATAAATTTGTGAAAATGTTTTAATAATTGACCAAGTAATTAAATTCTGTATATTGTTTTATATGTTGTTTTTGTTTTTTCAGAAAAAACTTGTGAGATAAAGAAAGGGTTGTTTCAACCTCTAACTGGTATAGAAAATAATAAACGTCTAGAGTAAGTCTATCCATTCTTACATAATAGAATATTATTAAATGGAATGGGGGGGGGGGTGATCAAATTGTCTAACACTACTGCTTTAGATCACACGTTCTGTCTTTTAGTCAAGTTGCATGGTTTCAATCCCACTCTTGTCACCTGTTATTCCTCAGGGGGTTTCTCAGGGTCCATTGGTTTCCTCCCACAGCTAAAGATCCCTACATGCAAGCGAATTATTGAAATAGAATGGAGAGAGAGAGAGAAAAATGGGTTTAACGTCCACTCGACACAAACTAGGTCATTTCGTTACTAACATGGTTTAACTTTATTTCAATAATTCACTTGCGCGTATGGGACTTTAGCAGTGGGAGGAAACCAGAGGACCCGGAGAAAACCCACGAGGTTGAACAGGCGACCCTATTCCTTGTCACGTGCAACCGGGATTCTAAACCACGCCAGTTGGAAATAGAATGGAACCATATGTTAGTCCCGAAATAAACTGGTTTGTGCTGAGTGCTTGTTAAACCCCATTTCTCTCTGAATGGAATTATACAGCATGTTATATTGAATATATCTCTACAATGCTTAGGCCACTGAGGTTTAACTTGAACCTCAACACTAACCAGTTGATTTTCCCTACATTATCCTGCAGAATCACTGTAGACTGTCAATATTCCATAATCTAAAAACCATCTTTTTTGATAGAGAGAAGTATGGAGGTCTTGATGATCTGGATGAAGAATTTACAGAAAGATCAACCAGCTATGAAGAGAAGACAACTCCCAGGCCTTTAATTAGAAGAAAACCATCTATAGTAACTGGTGGAAGTTCAAAATCGTCAACATCTAAACAAAAGTGGGTGTGTTTTAGAAAAAAAAGAGAAAAAATATGAACAGAACACAATTTTTATGGGAATCAATCACAAAGTTTCGACAAGTATCGTTTATCGTTATCAGAGAGAGAGAGAAATGGGGTTTAACGTCCACTCGACACAAACTAGGTCATTTTGGGACTAACATATGGTTTAATTTTATTTCAATAATTCGCTAGCCCGTAGGGGTCTTTAGCAGTGTAAGGAAACCGGAGGACCCGAAGAAAACCCACGAGATTGGACAGGCGACCCTACTCCTTGTCACATACATTCGGGGATTCAAAACCACGTCAGTTGACTCAATGACAGACTTTATGATGCAACACGCACATGCTAACCATTCGGCCATCCACCCTCCTCCCCCCTTATCGTTATCAAGCAAATTGATAAGAGGATACTTGTCAAAACGTCGTGCTTTTAGAATAAAACCAGTGATTATTTCCCATAAAACTTGTGTTCTGTTAATGTGTTTCTCAATCGCTAAATGCCACTTAAAGATTATTATAAAAAATATGACCATTTCAAGTTTTGTTTGATTGATAAAACTAGTAAAATGTATCTATCTTCTTTATAAGTTGCAATCTGATTAAGATACAAATCTATATTTCATTCCGGTTTTTTATATTTTCGATGGCCTCTACTACATGAAGATCTGACCAGTTGTAGTGGGAGGTCACGTGAGGGGTCACACGAGCGACTTTTGACTCTATGATGTCAGACATTTGATTAACCAATCAGTGTTGAAGTTTCTAGTGGGTTACCCACAGTTCCATGCACCTCACACCAAAAACTAGCCGTAACAGATCGTTTCATTGGCTAATCCCTCATATCATCAAGAATGCGGGTTATATAACAACTCTTCCAGATCCTAGTGTAGTAAAGACAAGTAAAACGAAATTTGAACTATCAAAAACAAAATGAAATAGAATCTGTGTTTTAATCAGATTGTATAAGTTTAGCAGACCTTGCAAAACACCATTTTTGTATTTATTGTCATATTTTTTTAACCAGAAAACCAAATGCCCCAGAACCAAAGCCATCAACAAGTGGTCGACAAGTAAACAGTGAGGTTAAAAATACGGCAAATAGAAACTCAACAGAACCAAAGCCATCAACAAGTGGTAGACATGTAAACAATCAAGCAACAAATACGAATAGTAAAAACTCAACAGTTGATATAGATAACGACAATGACATTTTAGGTATGTTTATTAAATGTTATAGTTATTTTTTGACATATTTTTTTTTATATCCTCTTGTTGTTGTTGTGAATTTTTGTCTTCCCTGTTTGTCTGTCCAGCTGTCATCCACAATTGTTTATGGATGCTCTAATGCAGACGTTTGGCTTTGTTTTTATATAAAATTAGAAATCTATGAGTGGTGTTTTTATAAAATTGGAAATCTATGAGTGGCGAGTATAAAATAGCCCATGCCGTGCACCCTCCAATCAAATCATTTAGAAGGCTGATATGCAAGTAGAAATGTTACGATACAAATAATTGGGCTTTCCATGACTGATCCTGACTGAGACATAAATCATATGTCACGTTGGATAATGTTTGAACCATTTTAAATCAAAATGGATTCACACTTAAGAACTTTTGCAACGAACGGCTATACAATTTCATAACATTTAGTCCCGAAGGGTCCCCACATTGGGGGGTTGGATGGCCGAATAGTTAGCAAGTGCGCGCTGTATCATAAGGCCTGTCATTGAGTCAACTGGCGTGGTTTCGATTCCCCGGTTGTATGTGACAAGGAGTAGGGTTGCCTGTCCAGCCTCGTGGGTTTTCTCCATTTCCTCCAGTTTCCTCCCACTGCTAAACCCCTATGTGCAAGCAAATTATTGAAATAAAATTAAACCATATGTTAGTCCCAAAATGACCTAGTCTGTGTTGAGTGGACGTTAAACCCCATTTCTCTCTCTCTCTCTCGGTCCCCATATTCTTTATATTTATATCTTTGTTTTTATAATTTCTGGTCCACTTGATGTAAAATGTTAGTTCATGTGGGCCCCTGAATCGAAGTGAGTTTGACACCCCTGCTCTAGAGGCTACAATTATCATACACAGTTCCCAAAATGAAAAGGGGGGTTGGATGGCCGAATGGTTAGCACGCGCTCGCTGTATCATAAAGTCTGTCATTGAGTCAACTGGCGTGGTTTCGATTCCCCGATTGTACATGACAAGGATTAGGGTCGCCTGTCCAACCTCATAGATTTTCTCCCACTGCTAATTAAGACCCCTACGTGCAAGCGAACTATGGAAAAAAAATTGAACCATATGTAATTGCCGAAATGACCTAGTCTGTGTCGAGTGGACGTTAAACCCCCCCCTCTCTCTCTCTCTCTCTCTCTCTCTCTCTCTCTCTCTCTAAAATGAAAAAGCTGTTTGATTTTCAACAGTTGGAGTTTTGGGGAGGCTTCTGTTCAACTTTAAGAACATAAAGCAGACTGAAATTTATTTCTATTTTTAAATTTCTGACTTCAGGATTCACTGAAGATGATTTAGAGAAACCTGTTTTTACCATTAAACCTTCTGCAGCTAAAGTTCCTTTTATTTTATCTGGAAACACGGATAAATCTGTCGTTCAGGTAGGTGAAAATATAAATGGTTTATTTATTGGGGAATTTGTAAAACTTTAAAAGATATGTTTACTTTACAGTCTTTGAAGTTCTGTGCGTCATTTGAGGGATTTTGATTCGATTGCAAACTATAATATTGTTATTAAAGTTGAATTTCTAAATGGAATATCTCGTCCAAAATGGTCCAATTCTATTCAGTACAGTAAACTTTGCATAAGTCAGATCTTCGCTCAATTTGGATAAAATAGTTTAAACCCTTTGATCCTGCACGTTTTTCTTATTAAATTTCTGCGCGTAAGTCAGTTTCGTCCCGATGGTCAAAACGCGATCAGGTATTCCATGCACAGAGCCCCAAAATAATTTCTCCAATTATTTTGACTCAAATCAGCCTATTTGACGCGATGCAATAATAGAATTTTCACGGAAAATTCGAAAATCGCTGTTTAGGACATTTTTTTAAAGATGGCGACAAAACGGAAGTTATCTACTCGCACATACGAACAAAAGCTTGAAATGTGCCTTTGAATCAATTATTGTCCAGCTCTTGCAGTTTATTTCTAATCGAGCTAAGACTGAATTTTTGTCTTCGGCTAACTCGGATCTTCGCTTAACTCGTATAAAATTGGTCAGTCCACTAGATCTGACTTTTGCAAAGTTTACTGTATTTACAACGATGTGATTGATTGATGATTTCATCACTTTTAACCCCCCCTTCAGATGTTATAAAGAAGCCAGTGCCTCCTTTTGTTTTGTAGCTTAATTTTTGAAACCACCGGAAACAGCTCTAGCATGCCTCATATTGCCAGCGTATATGATCCTTATATAGTGCGTAGCTGTTCACGTGACTCCAGCAGATTGATTCATTAGTTTTGGGTGGTGTTATAGGTTTTTTTTAGTTTTTTTTTGTCCCCCGCCTTTCGAAGAAAGCAGGGGACTATTAAAATGGGTTCGTCCGTCTGTCTGTCCGTCTGTCTGTCTGTCTGTCCGTCTGTCCGTCTGTCTGTCTGTCCGTCTGTCTGTCCGTCACACTTTTTGGGACACAATAACTCTCTTCCTAATTGAGCTAGAATGTTCAAACTTGGTGTATGTGTTTATTAGGTCAATGCCTTGATGGAGTTCGAAGATGAGCATTTTCCGCTTAGGGTAAGCAGAGATAAGCAATTTGATTGGTTGATGCTTTGGGACACGATAACTCTCTTCCTAATTGGGCTAGAATGTTCAAACTTGGTGTATGTGTTGATTAGGTCAATGCCTTGATGGAGTTCGAAGATGAGCATTTTCCGCTTAGGGTAAGCAGAGATAAGCAATTTTTTTGGTTGATGCTTTGGGACACGATAACTTTTAATTGAGCTAGAATGTTCAAACTTGGTGTATGTGTTTATTAGGTCAATGCCTTGATGGAGTTCGAAGGTGAGCATTTTCCGCTTAGGGTAAGCAGAGATGAATTTGATTGGTTGATACTTTGGGGCACGATAACTCTCTTCCTAATTGAGCTAGAATGTTCAAACTTGGTGTATGTGTTGATTAGGTCAATGCCTTGATGGAGTTCGAAGATGAGCATTTTCCGCTTAGGGTAAGCAGAGATAAGCAATTTGATTGGTTGATGCTTTGGGACACGATAACTTTAGTTCTAATTAAGTGAGATTGATGAAACTTGGTGTATAGTTTCATTACAGTAATACCTTGACTAAGTTTGATAATGAGCATTTTCTGCTCAGGGTAAGCAGAGCGATACGCAATTTGATTGGTCGAGACTTTGGAAAACAATAACTCTCCTACTTTGATTGTCCCCCGCCTTTCGAAGAAAGCAGGGAACTATTAAAATGGGTTCGTCCGTCTGTCTGTTTGTCTGTCTGTCCGTTCCGCTTATTTGTGATAAATTTATATGTGTCCTCTAATTATTTTCCTATTTCGGCGGGGGACATCAGCCTCACTGTTGGCTTGTACTTTTTCCAAGAGGCAAATCAAACATGATAATAAGATGATGAGAGAAAGAGTAATGATGTCATGAATGATCCGCCTCTTGAGGATAAGCCATAAAAACCTGCTTAAATTAAAACTAGGGTTATCATTGCTTCAACAAAATTAGGTTTTCAGCAAAGTGCAAACAAACTGATTATGAATATTATTTTATTTATTGAAAGGTTCCTGCAACGATCAACCAATATTTACGAGATTATCAGAGAGATGGCATACGATTTTTATACAAACATTATAAAGACAATAAAGGAGCCATATTGGGAGATGATATGGGACTGGGTAAAACAGTTCAGGTAGGCCTACATATTGGGAAATGATATGGGATTGGGTAAAACAGTTCAGGTAGGTCTACATATTGGCAAATGATATGGGATTTTGTTCCATTCTTTCTGTCATTGGCTGAGTTAAAAAAAGATTTATTCCAACTTGTACCAATCCTGTATTTGCCGGCTTGACCTCTTGTGACCTCTCGCGATTGACTACCTTTCCGTAATCTCTTGTTTAGTTTCTGTGTATTGTGTATCTGTAATATTTCAGGTTATTGGCTTCCTGGCTGCTTTATTAAACAAACAAGGAAATCGGGTTGATGTTTTAAAACAGAAACCATCATTTATTAGAAAGGTAAGATTCCTTTTTAATGTCAAATGCTTTTTTATTTGTTCACTTCTGTCATGTTCAAAATTGGAACCTTTATTTTGAAAGCATACACATTAATGAGTCGAATATAAGGGATATTCTTTTGTACCTTTGTTTCTCTCACCTGTAGGGCCACCTGTCAAACCATATGTTAGTCCCAAAATGACCTAGTTTGTGTCGAGCAGACGTTAAACCCCATTTCTCTCTCTCTCTCTCTCTCTCTCTCTCTCTCTCTCTCTCTTATCTCACTCTTGAGTAAGTATGGGGCGGGATTACTAATCTCGTGGTTATGGATTTCATTCTGGTGTTGTCAGAGATTTTCCAACCAGGTTTCCCCTTGTCAGTGGTTCAGGACGGAGGGCTTGGTGATGATGTTCGGATGAGATGAAAAACTGAGGTACTCGTTGGCATGCGCGTAAAAGAACATTTGATAAAGAGTATATGGAAGTTAAAACCACATTTCATTTATCAAGAACATAATAATTTACATATGCCAAGACAACAGGGGGGGGGGGGAAGGAGGAGAAATGAGGTTTTAACGTCCACTTGACACAAACTAGGTCATTTCTGGACTAACATATGGTTCAATTTTATTTCAATAATTCGCTTGTGCGTAGGGGTCTTTAGCAGTGGGAGGAAACTGAGGACCCGGAGAAAATCCATGAGGTGGGAGAGACGTCCCTACTCCTTGTCAGGTACAACCTGGGAAACGAAACCACACCAGTTGACTCAATAACAGGCCTTATGATACAGCGCACATGCTTTAACCATTAGGCCATCCACGCCCCCCCGAACAACAAAAGGATGTCACACTCGTTCATCAAAGATTCTTCATAAAATTTGTCTAAAATCTTATATATTAAAAATTGAAATCGTCATCCCTTTTATTTTATTTAACAGCTTTCAGATACTGAATATATTGATGATAAAAGTTGTACGAGTCCGTTCCTGATTATTGGACCTGGTAGTGTTTTATATAACTGGTTAGATGAACTAGAAACATGGGGATATTTCTCTGTTGGGTAATTTATTTTCTTTATTGTCAACCATATCAAAATATTGAACTTACATACGTGTACCTAATGCTGTACTTGCTTTGGTAATTCTTGGATATGTACCAACTTGAGTAATATAGCGATCTATATTTCGTTTCATTTTTTTATACTTTCGATGGCCTCTACTGCATGCAGATCTGACCAGTTGTAGTGGGAGGTCGCGTCAGGGGTCATATGAGCGTCTTTTAACCCTATGACGACACTAGCTTTGTGTCTTTTCTCAAGCGGTACTTCTGTTACCGGTACTTCTGTATTCTTAATTTTCATATTGTGTAAAATAACTTTGTTTTTGTTGATTAGAAAATACCATGGTGTTGATAAAGAAAGATGTCTTGCGGAAATATTGAAAGGAAAAGTTGAAATTGTTGTCACAACATTTGAAACATTTAGAGAGAATATGGTAAGAATTTATTTTTGTCTTTGAGTAAAGACCCAGGATGACTGTGAATAAGGTGCTGACTCTGTACTGGATGACTGTGACTGAATGAATAAGGTGCTGACTCTGTACTGGATAACTGACTGAATGAATAAGGTGCTGACTCTGTACTGGATGACTGTGACTGAATGAATAAGGTGCTGGATAACTGTGACTGAATGAATAAAATGCTGGGTCTGTTTAGGATGACTGTGACTGAATGAATAAGGTGCTGGCTCTGTACTGGATGACTGAGTAAGGTGCTGACTCAGTACTGGATGACCGTGACTGAATGAGTGACCGGGTTTTATCCCAGTGCTAGCTGTGAAAGTTCATCAGGATCTTCCATCACGGTTTCCCCTGGCAACAAACAGTCTCTAATCATTGTGATTTGATGCAAAACTGAGGTACTGTGTTCACGTTGGTGTGCACGTCAAAGAACTCTTGAAATAAGAATAAACTGTAGGGCCAATGTCTGGGCAAAATGTCCTCATAGAACACTATGTGATGAGAATTTGGATGTTATTAAATCCCATTCATTTCACTCCACAAAATGTTTTGATGTTGGTTTCAGAAAGAAATATGTCGAGTAGTCTGGGAAGCTGTAATTGTTGATGAAGTTCATCGGATCAAGGTTGGTTCTAGTTGTTTTTAATATCTTTTTCTGTGGCAGACATTTCTTTACTTCGAAATACTTTTAAGAAACATGTTTGTGGTCTAAGGGGAGATAATATGAGATTAGGGACATGCATACAGAGTTACTTTTCCTTACTTTATTAAGTTTTTGAGACATTTTCAGCTGTAAATAGAGAGAAATGGGGTAACGTCCACTCGACACAAACTAGGTCATTTCGGGACTAACATATGGTTTAATTTTATTTAAATAATTCGCTTGCGTGTAGGAGTCTTTAGCAGTGGGAGGAAACCGGAGGACCCGGGGAAAACCCACGAGGTTGGACAGTCGAGCCTACTCCTTGTCATGTACAACCGGGGAATCGAAACCATGCCAGTTGACTGAACTGTAAACAGAAATATACAAACTGTATGTATTACAGACATACTCTTACGATAACTGGCAATGGTATGGCAAGGTCGTAAGTAGAACCTTCTTAAAGGGGCATTATGGGAGATTAGATAAAGAGTTGACGTTCGCGCTAAAATAGTTAAAAAATAGACAACGTAAATAGAATATGCTGAAAATTTCAGTCAAATTGCTCCACTCTGAACCAAGATATTACCATTTGAATTTTAGGCTGGCCTCGATCATCATTACTAAAGTTGGTACGATAAAAAACAAAGTCTCTATTATGCATATAGCGATTTAATTATTTTTAAAAAAATGTACACCAATCTGCTAAATATCGAAGACTAGTGATGGCATTGAGAGTATAATATGGTCTGGAAAACTAATTAATAATTAATAATTTAGAAAACATTTCAGGCCTAAAGAAAGATCTGCAATAGGCAGATTTACCGCTTGCATAATCATAATGTATGTTTAATTTGGGACTGTTGGTTTAGGAAATGAATCACACCAATTCCCGTATAAAATGTGTATTCAGATTAATTTTACTCATTGTATTCCTACACTCGGCAAACCTCGGCTGTATGACGGTAAGTGATATGTACCTATGCCTATATAATTGCGATACGGCACCGGTTTACTTGTTAGGGAAACTTGCCGCTTCTAAAACCAAGTTCTCAAAGTTGCGTTGTTCGCAGAGTGTGTAGAATTTTCAGTGCAAAGTTGTCCTTGTTTGAAGACTTTGAAATATTTGTATGATAAAACATTCTTCAAAGGCGTTGTCACGGGCAACGCTGTTGGTAATCTAATGGCGGACTTCGTCATACAGCCGAGGCTAGATGTAGGGTACTGGAATCTGTTGAGGTTCTTCCATAGATCATTCATCAAAATTTCCCTGCAAAGTCTGAAATATCATAAACACAAATACACGTTTTATAATGAAAGAAAGTAGAATGTAGCTTTCTATTGTAGCGTGGTTTCCTCTTGTCAGTGATACAGGACGGAGGGCCTGACAAGTACAGCTGCCTAGTCATTCGGATGGAATGAAAAACTGAGGTCCCGTGTACACATTGTCGTGCACGTAAAAGATCCCTTGACAGTTGTAATTCGATATATAAGAGTAGGCCGTAGTGCCACTGTCTGGGCAAAATTTCCCTCATAGCACATTGTATGGCTTATGCCCGTCTTCATTAGCCCAGTTCAGAGCAGAACAGTAGGACGTTAAACCACATTTCATTTCATTTCATTTTCTCTTGTAGGATGTAAAATCTCTGACAACTAAAGCTTTACGAAAAATACCAACTAAACGGAGATATGGTCTGACTGGAACAGCTTTACAAAATAATATGACAGAATTATGGTCTTTATTAGATTGGTAGGTGTTAATCAATAAGTTCTTCGTGCACTGATTTGGAATTTGTAATGTTGAAATTTATGATATTTTTGAAGTTGGGTTGTGAAGTAAATATATACATCATTAACTTCTGTTTTATATTTTTTTATTGCCATTAATTTTATCAGAAATCTGGGGCCTGTTTCACGAAATTTTAACTAAGATAAAATCCAAATTTTAGTAATTTGATTTGATAATATTGATTTTTAGTGCTTTTCCAATCAAAATTGAAGTATCTACTAAAATTTGGATTTTATCTTTAGTTAAGATTTCGAAAAACAAGGCCCTGAATGTTATAGATTTCACTGTATTTGTTTTGACAATTAATTTCACTGTATTTGTTTTGGCAGGCTATATAAAAATAATAATCTGGTTCTCATGTAATCTGTATGAGCTGTTTTTATTTTAAAAAAAAACAAAAAAAAAACAGTCTCATTTGTTACCGCGCACAAATGTTTTACCCCTTTACAGGAAGCAACTCTGAAAAAAATATTTGAACGAATCCTGAAATGTGGCATAGACTCATTTATAAATGATACTGACAATTATAAATAATACTGGAAAATTGCAAATTCCTGTTAAACAACATGATGAGATAAATGTAGTGCCTTAAGTTGAAATGTGATGTTTATGATAAGTCATTTAGCCCAGGGAGTTGAGGGGGGGTTGTGGATGGCTGAATGGTTAGCATGTGCGCGCTGTGTCATAAGGCCTGTCATTCAGTCAACTGGCGTGGTTTCGAATCCCTGGTTGTACGTGACAAGGAGAAACGTCGCCTGTCCAACCTCTTGGGTTTTCTCCGGGTCCTCTGGTTTCCTCCCACTGCTAAAGACCCCTACACGCAAGTGAATTATTGAAATAAAATTAAACCATATGTAAGTCCTGAAATGACCTAGTTTGTGTCGAGTGGACGTTAAACCCCATTTCTCTCTCTCATTTAGCCCCTTCCCGTCTTCTCCCACATCAGATTTTTGGTAAGGGTTGTCATGAAAACTTTTTTTTTGTTTCTTTATCCTGTGATTTACTAGCAGCTAATGACCTATTTTGTACATAAGACAGAGTGAACTCACTCTAGAACACCTGATACCACATCTAATAGCAAACATGGCTGTATAATAGATCCATTGTTTGTTTCTATGGAAACAAAAGTGTCACTCCATATTTTTCTGTTTCAGGGCTCAGCCGGATGTTTTGGGGTTTGTTTACGAATTTACTGAGAATTTTGTTAAACCTATTGAAAAGGGACAAAGGGTGGATTCTACAAAACGAGAATTAGCGGAAGCTCGTAAATGTAAGTTATGTATGGAAATTTGCTTTATAATATGTAAGGCTACTGTTAACTTATTCTGATGGTTCCTAAAAAACTACAGAAGAAAATGACAGTTGATTATTGGTCTGTTTTATTTTTGATTTCTTGTAACAATCAATGAGCATCAAGATGAGCTTGGTGTTAACATGAATATTCATGACCTTTGTATATATGAATGGTAATGACTTGCCATGGACTTCATGATCATTTGTCATGGCAAAGTGTGCAGTTGTCTTTTGTACATCCAAAGCAATAACATTTAAAGGCATTAATGGGAGGCATTTAAAGTTGTGAATAATTTGATATACATAGTGTGGTCACATTTAACAGTTTGTACCAGTGATGGGTTTCGCCCGGAAATTCCGGACTTGTCCGACGTTATTTTCCAAACGCTCAAAATTGTCCGACAGTGAATATGCCCATAAAATTACAAAGTAATGTGTAAATTCTTCTGTATTTATTGTTGTTGTTATTGCTGTTGTTATTTTATTAAAAAATAATGAAATGGAACGTACCTGAAATAAAAGAAAAGAAAAAAACGTTAGATTGTTGTTTTTTATTACGTACAGGATTTCAATATTTTGTTGACACATGATTTTTAATTGTGGTCTGAACCCACCTGCTTAAATAACGTTATGCCCCTTTATTTTCGGTAAAATGTCCGACTGGGAAAATTTTGAAATCCCATTACTGGTTTGTACTCAACTTTTGTTTTCAAATTGTGAAATAAAAGTATACAATGTTTGTTCTATGATATTTATTATTTCAGTAAAAGAGAAATTTTCTGCGATCAGAAATGCAATGATGATTAGAAGAATGAAGACATTGATAGCTGATCAACTTCCTGAAAAAGGTGATTTTTTAAAAATCTGTTGAATTACAAATACAAGACCACTTGTTATTAATACAAATAGGGTATTATATCATGATATTGATGTGTCTTTCACAAAGTAATTGATATTACACAGGACAGAATTAGAAGGTGTTCTGTTATTGTATCATAGTTGATAATGTGGTGTTCTGTAATTGTATCATAGATGATAATGTGGTATTCGGTAATTGTATTACAAATGATAATGTGGTGTTCTGTAATTGTATTACAGTTGATAATGTGGTGTTCTGTAATTATATTATAGATGATAATGTGGTGTTCTGTAATTATATTATAGATGATAATGTGGTGTTCTGTAATTGTATTACAGTTGATAATGTGGTGTTCTGTAATTATATTGTAGATGATAATGTGGTGTTCTGTAATTATATTATAGATGATAATGTGGTGTTCTATAATTGTATCATAGATGATAATGTGGTATTCGGTAATTGTATTACAAATGATAATGTGGTGTTCTGTAATTGTATTACAGTTGATAATGTGGTGTTCTGTAATTATATTATAGATGATAATGTGGTGTTCTATAATTATATTATAGATGATAATGTGGTGTTCTGTAATTGTATTACAGTTGATTATGTGGTGTTCTGTAATTATATTGTAGATGATAATGTGGTGTTCTGTAAGTTAAGTCATCTCCAGACCAGTGTGTATAAAGCTATATTAAATCATCCTGATCTACAGTTAGTTTTAAAGAGTGAAGATCCGTGTACATGTGGTAGTGATAAATCACGCGGAACATGCTGTTATACGGTAGGTTGTGAAAATATTGTCTCAAAGTTTGTGAGAGATTGTTATATAGATTTATACATATATTTTACTTTACTGATGACTGACTGGACACTAGAAATACCTAAAACTAATGCTGAAGGAACGCATATTTTTAGTAAATTTACCCTGGTGCAGGACAGAGTGCCTGGCGAAGTCAAGTAACCATTTGATCAAGAAATAACAACCAACCCCCTCACTTAAGCTAGCACACAATAAGCTAGCAGACAACAGTCGGGTTGCCAGTTAGTGATACCCTGACAATTTTGCCCAGTACTTGCCCCATGGGCGTTTTTCGGGTAATCCAGTATTTTTCTAGCAAGATTGGGTGTCAATGCTTTCCACATATCCGAAATTTGCCATACTTTTATTGGAAATAACCACCCGATAAATACTTTTCTGGGAATGTATCTTTAAATTGGCGGATATTTGTTTAATTGTATGAGGTTGTTTTAGCATATCTGTCCATCATTTATCTGTAATGTTATCTATGGTAATTTTTGTCATCTGTGATAATGGACTTTTTTATCTTGTTTTAAATTTTCCAAAGAAATCAAGCGACGGAATGATGACTGTTCAAGGCCTTAAACTTTCCTTCATGCATCTACTGATGAAAGTGGCCAATCATGTGGCTTTACTAATACCAGGATCTAACACAAGTAAGAATCAAAATGTCCGAGCTCGTGAAATCTGTGAGACGGCTTTAAAGGGTCATCAAGAATTTATCAATCTAAAAGAAGATGCAACATTCCGAACTCTCTCTGATCCCAAGTACTGTGGAAAAATGAAGGTAGGTGATAGTTTTAATTTTGATATTTATATAATCTGAGTTTTAAGTTCATCAGGATATTTAGCGTAGTCTCCCTATGTTAAGATGGAGGACTGGGCCTTTCAAGGAACAATTGTTGTTGTTCTTAGCGTTTATTGATCGCTTCCACCGAAGGTGATATCGCAGACAAGTAGTCTTATTTCCATTTTTTTTATTATCTTAGCGCACGCGAAGGGGTCTTTGCGGTTTGAGGAAACCGGAGTACCTGGAGTAAACCCACGAGCTTGAGATGCAGCTCCTATCTCCATGTCACATACGCTCACACCAGGGATCGAAACCACAACCACAAGCCCAGAGGTGACCGGCCAGCTAGAGGTCGAAGTTCAACACTCTAGACCACTAGGCCATCCCAACCCCCCTAGTCTTTTCTAGTCATTCCTTGAAGTATTCCTTGCCATGACAGTTGATTAAGAATAGATGGAAACTCTGCTGTCTGGGAAAAGTAGGACATTGAGCCTCATTTCATTTCTTGTTGAGACACAATTTACCCAATACACAGAAAGAAATCAGGTTCAGACATCATTATCTTATCAGCAATGTAGTATTTAAAATGAATTTTCATTTTTGTTTTCAGATTTTGGAAGGACTTTTACAAGTGTTTTATAAAACTCATTGCAGAGTTCTTATATTCTCTCTTTCTACCAAGGTAGGATTCAAATTCGTGGTCTAAGGGGAGATAATATGAGATTAAGGACATTAGTACAGAGTTATGTCCCCTTTTAATGATTCACATTTTTAACAATTTTAATGCCCCATTCTGATATTAAATACTCAATAATAAGTTGATGAAAAGACTAAAGCTCTTTAATTAAGTTTATTCTCCTACAGAACACAGTCCAAATATGACAACCTATAGAACACAGTCCAAATATAGAACACAGTCCAAATATGACAACCTAAAGAATACAGTTCAAAATCTTACAACCTATAGAATACAGTCCAAATATGACAACCTATAGAACACAGTCCAAATATGACAACCTATAGAATATGTTAGTCCCGAAATGACCTAGATTTTTAGATCGAATGGACGTAAAATTCCATTTCTCTCCCTCTAATGATTGATCACATTATTTCAGCTATTAGATATATTAGAACAATATCTAATCAGTTCATGTTATGAGTTCAGAAGAATAGATGGATCTGTTAGTAACAAGAAAAGGATGGAACTTGTTCGGGAATTCAATAAAAGTCCAAATATTTTTATATTTCTCATATCTACCAAGTAAGTAATTAGATAATAGTACTTAATTTGGGGGGTTGGATGGCTGAATGGTTAGGTGTTCAATCATAAGGTCTGTCATTGAGTCAACTGGCGTGGTTTTGATTCCCCGGTTGTATGTGACAAAGAGTACGGTCGGGTGTCCAACATCGTGGGTTTTCTCCAGGTCCTCTGATCTCCTCCCACTGCTAAAGACCCCTACCATCTCTCTCTCTCTCTCTCTCTCTCTCTCTCTCATGGGAGATTTCACATGATTGATACCGGAATCAGGAGGATAACAGTGACCGCTATGATGTAGCCCTCTCGTAACCATAAGGTTGTTATTCATGTTTTCATAAAAATTGATAATTGTATCCTTCAAACTGGGATTTATTGGATTCTAAGAAATTATTTATAAGTCTAGATGTATATTTGGTTATATTTAAGTTATAAGTCTAAATGTGTATTTGGTTATATTTAAGTTATAAGTCTAGATGTGTATTTGGTTATATTTAAGTTATAAGTCTAGATGTGTATTTGGTTATATTTAAGTTATAAGTCTAAATGTTTATTTATATATATTTGTGTATTTTAGAGCAGGAGGATTAGGATTAAATCTAACAGGTGCTAATCGTGTTGTTATCTTTGATCCCAACTGGAATCCAAGTCATGATCTTCAAGCTCAAGACAGGTAACTATAGAGCTGGATTAAGCTTGCATAGAGCCCCTGGATGAACATGTCCCTGGGGTTCTTGCATCTCCAGTGGAAAAGGACGGACGCATATTCTGGTTATTGTCTTTGACACTCACATAAATACAATTTGTATGTCAGCATGGTAGATAGATAGATTTATTTGGCACAAATAAATATAACATTATAAATTATAGGCTTTATATAAAATATTTTTTTATACGCCCACATTTTCATGTGGACGTATTATGCCGTCGCCCTGTCCATCTGTCCACAGTTTGTTTGTGGACACTCTACAGGTCACAATTTTTATCGGATTTCAACGAAACTTGAAATATAGGTTTATCTCCCTAAAATCTCGGTTCCTTTCTATATTGGCATGTATCGGACCGTAACTTCATGGATTATGGCCCCTGATTGTACGTAAATAATCGTGTTTTTAGCTTGTAGACCCTATAGAGGTCACAGTTTTTATCCGATTTTGTTGAAACTTGAAATGTAAGTTTATAACCCAAAGATCTCGGTTCCTTGCGATATATTCGCACATATCGGACCGTAATTTCCTGAATTATGGCCCCTGATTGTACGAAAAATCACGTTTTTAGCTTGTGGACCCTATAGAGGTCATAATTTTTATCCGATTTAAAAAAACGTATTATTATATCACCGTTACACCCTAAGGATGGCTGAGTTCGAATTTTGTAAAAATCGGACCAAACCTGCCAGACAAAATGGCCGCTCCTCAATGCAAATAGTGAAAACATCTGGTATATCAAGGTTGTGGACCCTCTGGAGGTCTCAATTTTGTGCCGATTTTGATGAAACTTGAAATGCATGTTTATAACCCAAAGATCTTGGTTTCTTTCAATATTCATGCATATCAGATCGTAACTTCCTGAATAATGGCCCTGATTGTACGAAAAATCACTACTTTTTTTGAGCTTGTTCTCTGTCCATCTCTTGCAAAATGTGGGCGTATCTTGCATGGCAACCGCTTGTTTAACTTATTTGTGGGCCACAGTAATATTGGGGCCAGCGCTGTCATTTTTATTAATGTTTCATATAAATCTATTTTAGGGCCTATCGTATACGACGGAGATCGATTTTACTATATAAATCTATTTCAGGGCATATCGTATTGGACAGAGACAAGATGTTAAAGTATACAGATTAATATCTGCTGGTACAATAGAAGAAAATGTTTATCTTAGACAAATTTATAAACAGGTACTGTCATCCATTTTTGATCTCTGTCTGTTAATCCCCAAAGAACTATTGTTGCAGGTGGTTGGATGGCCGAATGGTTATCATGTGCGTGCTGTATCATAACGCCTGTCATTGGGCAACTGGCGTGGTTGTGAATCCCCTGTTGTACATGACAAGGAGTAGGGTTGCCTGTCCAACGTCGTGGGTTTTCTCTGGGTCCTCCGGTTTCCTCCCACTGCTTAAGACTCCTAAATGCAAGCAAATTATTGAAATAAAATTAAACCATATGTTAGCCCGAATTGACCTAGTCTGTGTTGAGTGGACGTTAAACCTCATTTCTCTGTCTCTCACTATTGTTGCACTGTGTTTGATTATGATTTTAAATATACAGACACTATCACCATATATTTTGATTTGACTATATATTTATATCAGGCCTGTTTAACTTAAATTATATAGTAATTTGAAAGAAATAATCGTATGAATTTAACTGTGCCATTCTCAGAAGGATTCGGACATCATCTCACATCAGTGGTCCTGCTCAAAGAACCATTAAAATGGAAACAGCATTTAAGATACAAACATTTTAAATTCAAATTTTTGAGTCCTTCAGTTTTTATTCTCATTTCAACAACTTCAGCGATTCATTACTCATGATTTAAATAATTGTTTCAAGTTGACCTCTTTTTGTTTCAGCAATTAGGAAATGTGGCCATCAGTGCTGAAAATGCCAAGAGATTATTCCATGGTGTTCAGGGAAACAAAAATAAACAAGGTGAACTGTTTGGTATTAAAAACATGTTTCAACTACGTACTGGTGAATCTTGTCTAACTATGGATATCTTAGAGGTATTTTCATATTTTGGATTATTTGATATTGAATCACTTGCAAAGGACAGCAGTGGGAAAGTTGAATCGCTAAAGGGAATAGTCTGAAAATTGTTGAATTCCGTTCAGTAATGACAAAGATATTGACGTACAGAGTCCTATGCAGACAAGCCAGTGTCACCTATTTGTGTAGGGTAAAATCTTTTGATGGGCAGGCCCAAAATTGAACTATATGTTAGTCCCGAAATTACCTAGTTTGTGTCGAGTGGACGTTGAACCCCATTTCTCTCTTTCCCTTTAGATGGGCATGTTTTTAATCCAAATCGGGAGATCATATGTCGTCAATGTTTTGGTTTTGTTTTCTTAGTTAAATAAATGTTAACTGACTAGAATTTGAGTAATATTAGCAGGGATTTAGGCATGAAAAACTATTTATTATCTAATCAATGCAATTGATGATCAATAACTTTAGAGTGTATATAAGGTTATCATATTGATCTTAAATACAAACCTAGAAATAAACCACCTCTCACAGACAATCTCAGGTACAAATTAAGACTTTGTCAGGCAAAATTTATTTAGTGGCTGTTATTTTATCAGGCACAGATTGGACGTAAAGTAGTGAACATTTCACTATTACCCGGTAGTAATCTTTTCTACAATCCATTTGTCTTTTTTATGAATTATTATTTGGCTAAGTGGGTAAGACGCTGGCTCGCTAGCCTGGAGGTTGTGTGTTCGATCCCTGCGTTCATCAGAATTTTCAGTTGTGGTTTCCCCTTGTCAGTGGTGCCATCTACTGTGTAGTCATTCAGATGATATGAAAAACCTATGCACGTAAAAGATCCCTTGGCAGTTGGAATTTGATATAAGAGTAGGGTGTAGTACACTGTTTGGCGTATGCCCGTCCTCATTAGCCCAGTAGGAGCAGAACAGTAGGACGTTAAACCCCATTTCATTTCATAAACTTTATTACATAATGTTATGGAATCCATTGGTCTTATTTGCGATTTTATTATACATTATTGTTACAGAGAAATTGTAAAGTAGAAGCAGGATTAAAAGGATATGATATGACTAAATATATTCCATCTGTTTACGAGACTCAAGATTCATCAAATGACATGGAAGAAGATAAGTTAGATCTGAAGAGAGCCGATAGTTCAACAGATTCAGATACATTTCACGATCTCTTTGATTCTAATGGTAAGTTATATTTCTCGATCTCTTTGATTCTAATGGTAGATCACATTCAATGATCGCTTTGATTCTAATGGTAGATCACATTTCACGATCTCTTTGATTCTAATGGTAAGTCACATTCCACGATCTCTTTGATTCTAATGGTAGATCACATTTCACGATCTCTTTGATTCTAATGGTAGATCACATTTCACGATCTCTTTGATTCTAATGGTAGATCACATTTCACGATCTCTTTGATTCTAATGGTAGATCACATTTCACGATCTCTTTGATTCTAATGGTAAGTCACATTTCACAATCTCTTTGATTCTAATGGTAGAGCACATTTCACGATCTCTTTGATTCTAATGGTAAGTTATATTTCACGATCTCTTTGATTCTAATGGTAAGTCACATTTCACGATCTCTTTGATTCTAATGGTAGGTCACATTCAATGATCACTTTGATTCTAATGGTAGGTTATATTTCACGATCTCTTTGATTCTTATGGTAAGTTATATTCCACGATCTCTTTGATTCTAATGGTAGATCACATTCAATGATGTTTTTGATTCTAATGGTAAGTTACGTTTCACGATCTCTTTGATTCTGATGGTAAGTCACGTTCAATGATGTCTTTGACTCCATGGTAAGTCACACTCAATGGTCTCTTTGATTCTAGTGGTAATCACACAAGCCTTGAAATAATTGCTGATTTTTGGCCAGACATTTCAGATTTTCAGCCATGTGTCTTGTGTCTTGTCCGTAGTTTTGTTTTATGTAATTATGTGTGGTGCAGCCCCCCTGCACTTACGATTGTGTAGGCTCTATATTATTATACCAAAAACTGTTGAAATTTACTATGTTTAATCTTTATTATTGTAGCGTATTTTTCGGGGTACAAGTTGATACTTATTTCCGTGGAAGTCGGGCTTTCGACTTATACTCCACATCGACTTATAGATGAAGATAAAAATTACAACCCGAAAAAATAATTATCACACTTGTAGTCGTACAGTAAAGTTAAACTTTTGCTATCGTCCAGAACTACTTGCGGTATCCAATACAAATACTTGTCGAATGTTGGCCGTGAAAGTTCATCGGGATTTTCCGGTATGGTTTCCCCTTTTCAGTGGTTTAGGACAGGGGGCCTGACAAAGACAGCTGACTAGTGAATTGGATGGCGACGAAAAACCAAGGTCCAGTGTATACATTGGCATGACACATAAAAGATCCCTTGGCAGTTGGAATTTGATATAAGAGTAGGCCATAGTGCCGCTGCCCCGGCCCAAATTTCCCTCATGGTGCACTGTATGGCGTATGTCCATCTTTATTAGCCCAATAGGAGCAAAACAGTAGGATGTTAAACCCCATTTCATTTTGATTTCCAATTCTTCAGGATTGTCTTATTTTTCTCTTTAGATGAAAGTGAATTGGTCACGAGAACCACCAAGAAATCTGAGAAGTCTCCTGTAGCTGGTCCAAGTAAAACATCCTATGTTAAAGTGAGAAAAGATGTCACAAGACAGTTAAAGAAGAAGACCAGTGTAACTGATGAACCTTTAAATCAATCTTTTGCTTCTATTAGTGATGTATTAGGTGAGGATATAAGAATTTTAGATTAAAAGTTTAGTTAATTTTGTATTAGATGCTACAGTTCAGTGAAAATCTTACAGATTTTGCTGCTTACTCATCTTTCAGGTATTAAGTAATTTACATCTGAAGTCTGTGGTATTCAAATTTCAAAGTAAAACCATCAGATTCCCTGGTTGTACGTGACAAGGAGTAGGGTCGCCTGTCCATCCTTGGGTCCTGCGGTTTCCACCCACTGCTAAAGACCCCTGTGTGCAAGCGAATTATTGAAATAAAATTGAACCATATATTAGTTTTTGTCGAGTGGACGTTAAACCCCATTTCTCTCTCTCTCTCTTTCTCTTATACACTCTCTGTAAAACCATCATTAAAAAAATCCATCTTCTATGATGTAGTCAAAGGGGAGATAATATTGTGTTTGTGACACTGAAGCAGAGTTATATCCCCTTAGTCTGACTCTTGAGAAAAGCATCATTTTGAGAATACTTTGTTTATTAATGGTATATTTTAGGTCAGAGTCAAGTATTACATATACATGAGAATATAAATATTATTGGTACCAGTAAAGCTGAAGATTATATGACACGCTGTGCTATACAAGAAGTTTATGAATTACATCAAAATTCTCAAGTTCCTGCTGCTCATTGTGATCCTTTATCAGAGGTAGGACTTTCTACAATTTATGGGAGCTGTGGTGGCTTAGTGAGTAAGATGTTGGCTCGTTAACCTGGATGTCCTGTGTTCCATTCCTGTGTTGACCGAGAGAGTTCATTGGGATTTTCTGACATGATTCCCCTATGTCAGTGGTGCAGGACGGAGGCCATGGCAAGTGACTGTATAGTCGTTCGGAATGGTACAAAAAACTGAGGTCGAATGTACACATTAGCGTGCATGTAAAAGAACCCTTGACAGTTGGAATTCAATATAAGATTAGGCTGTAGTGCTGTTGTCTAGGCAAAATTTATCTCCTAGCACACTGTATGGCGTATGCCCGTCTTCATTAGCCTTGTCGATGCAGAACAGTAGGACGTTAAACCCCTATTTCATTTCTACAATTTATGCTGTACATAATCTTCTTTATCACAGGTAGGACTGCTAACATTAATGTTGTAGATGTCATTAGTTAGAAGCATATTTTATGAAATTTGCTTTTCCAGAATGCGAATTCTCTTGCACACTTTTCAAAATAAGCCAATAATAAGGGTTTTTATAGATATAGTTTTTATGCTTTGTTCCAATTAATATTGGGGGGTCCGCAGTATCATAAGGCCTGTCATTGAGTCAACTGGTGTGGTTTCGAATCCCCGGTTGTAGTGACAAGGAGTTGGGTCGCCTGTCCAACCTCGTGGGTTTTCTCCGGGTCCTCCGGTTTCCTCCCACTGCTAAAGACCACTACGCGCAAGCGAATTATTGAAATGAAATTAAACCATATGTTAGTCCCGAAATGACCTAGTCTGTGTCGAGTCGATGTTAAACCCCATTTCTCTCTCTTTCTTTCCCAATTAATATAAATATTAAGAGTGTAAATGTTGTATTTCTTTGAAAAAAATCAATTTTATGACTTAGCAAAGCATTACAAGAAAACCGAAAGTAGCCAGTATAAGCAAACTGAAAGTAGCCATTATTGTTTTAGTTACATGTCTGTTGGAAGCAAGTTAAACAAAATACCAAACCATGAAAATTTTTAATGAAATATGTGGACAAATGTTTATTTTTCAGCCTTCTAGTGACGAAGAACCTTTACCAAAGAAAAGGTTAGGAAGAAAATCTACATCTAAAACTGAACCGGATCATAATACAGCTAGAATATTACATCACGATTCTACTAATATACTACTTGGTCAAACTCCTACAGCTATTAAACGGTATGTATATATCACTGATTAGTTTGCCACATGATATGAATTCATAATTCTAATTAAACGGTACAAGGTGCACCTATTTTTTATTAGGTACAAATTTGAATATTTTGTTGACACATGATTTTTGTGTGTGGTCTAAAACTGCCTGCTTAAAAAACGATAAGAATTATGTCCCTTTATTTTCGGTAAACTACAACCTTTTCAGCCCTACGGCCACAAAGCTGAATTCTGGTGTGTGCGGACACCACTATCTTAAAAGGACGGCTACGCATTATTTTCATTGGAAAAAGGGGTAGCCTTGCAGTGAGGATGGGCCTTGAGTGCTGCATGGGGCAGGTTGGGAGCCCCTGGTAAAGAATATTATCGAAACATTTTACAATATACAGATTCATTATACAAAACCTTGTAGGTATAAAAATATGCAATAAATATCAAAATTCCCATAGAGGAGCCATCCAAGGCCTGCACAGAAATAAATTAATTTACCATTTGATGCACATTTATCAGTAATATTTCTGTTTAAAATCCTGCATATCTTATTTCCAACTTCATCCAGACATTCACTGAACATGGATGAGGATATTGGGAGGGGAAGAGACATTTATTGAGGGGAAAATTATTATCATGTTTATGAATTCATCCAAATGTTTATAACTGATTATTTGGGGTTGGATGGCCGAATAGTTAGCGTGTCATAAGGTCTGTCTTTGAGTTAACTGGCGTGGTTTCGATTCCCCGGTTGTACATGACAAAGAGTAGGATCGCCTGTCGTCCAACCTCGTGGGTTTTCTCCGGGTCCTCCGGTTTCCTCCCATTGCTAAAGACCCCTACGCGTAAGCGAATTATTGAAATAAAATTGAACCATATGTTAGTCCCGAAATGATCTAGTTGTGTGGAGTGGAAGTTAAACCCCATTTCTCTCTCTCTCTCTTTATAATTGATTATAATTTGAATTATTTTCAGTAAACATTTTGAGAAATTGGCTGAGTTTAAAGACGGTAGATCATTATTAGAGTTAGCAGTAGAAATAGTACAAAGCTGTACAGAGGACAGATTAAATTTATTAAAATCATTTTATACTGCTGAACATCCTGAACTCCAGGAGATATTATCAGATGCTATGACTATTCAACCCTCTACTACTGGTACAAGATCTACATCAACGCCATCTAGTGGTAAACAAGGTAAGAAATGGAATGGTGCTTATTTAAAATAGCTAAGTCTCTAACTCAATATCATCCACAGTCTTCGACATTGCAAACACGACTTATTGGTCATTTTAAATCAACATTAATGTTGTTATCTTACGTGAAAAAATGAGCTTCTGATATCCATTAATTAAGACATAATGAAAATTTTAAAATTGGCACTCGAATCGTGTGCCAGAATGCTTTCGAGCGCCATGTGTAATACAGAGACTCGATGAACAAGGGTAAACATGTCCTACAGGAGAATACTATCAGTGTAGACTGGAATAACCAGACACCAAAGACTGCCATCAATTTGCACTCTTGGTGTATTTCGACGAACATAACTGATTAGAAATTACAGTAAAAACAGAAATGATTGAATGTAAATCAGTTTATATACATTCATATTACATTATTAAATGTGCTGCGACGGTTGTATCCATTTCTAGGTGCTGAACAATAACAGTTTGGCTCCTTTAACTCTTTGTCAATGCTTTACCAAAGTAATTTTAAGACCAGCTTACTGTAAATTTAGAACATAATCTTTATGGGAAACAACCCCTAGTTTCATGGTGTACTGTATAAAGTGTAAATTTATTTCTAAGAAAAAGATTCAATGCACAGGGGAAAATTTTTCCCTTGTTTTGGCAGCTGTCTATTGCTTCAAAAAAGGAAGCAAATGTTTTTATGGTAAATAATTTGTAACAATTGGGATATTTCATCTTGATTTTTACAGATAAAGTGAAATTGATAAATAAATCTACAACCAAATCAGTTCGAGGTGGACGAGTTAAACAAGCTACGCCTGGTAGAAAACGGACAATCCCTGGAGTTTCGTTTCTAGATCCGAGTTTATCAGATTCCACATCAGATTCCACAACGCAAGAATCGACCATGCCATCTGATACTAATCCTAGCATTGAAGAAAGTAGTTTGGAAGTCGGCATAAAACCATCTCCATTCAAACAACGGAGAATTCAGCAATCAAAATCTCTAAAACTAAAATCGGCGAAAAGAAAGAATGTGAGACAGACACTAGAGGGCAGTGCTAAACCCAATACATCCGCCATCTTGGATACATGTGAAGGTGACCTAGAAATGGCAGTGTCTGGTACAGAAACAGAGCAGCAATCAACAAACGTTATCGGACCATCATGGTTGTCAACTGAAGGCATTTTATATGACAACATGGTTGTTATAAAACCAAATAAAACTTCTAATTCCTCAGAAAATGTTACAAATTCTTCCAAAAGCGAAAACAAAAGTAAACCAAACATGCTCGCAAAAGTAAAAAGTGAAGTTGCCACAAACGTAAAAAGTGAAGTTGCCACAACGAGTATGGACGACCTGTTAGCAGAAATGGCAGCATCAGATTCGTTAGCTAATAATAAAGACATAGAATTTGTGAATTCAAAGTTCATCAACAAAGTTGGCAAGGCAATTAACACAAACAGTACAAATTCCAAACAAAATCGGAAAAAAGCAACAAACACAAACATGGAAGTTAGAGATCAGAAAAGTGGTGAATCAGAAGGAAAAACTGCTAAAATAATTGTGAAGGATTCACGGAAAGTGTCAAAATGTGATTATAAATCAGTACTTAATGAATTTTTGTTAAATGATTCAAGTGATGGGGATGAACCATCGCAATCTTCCCCTCGGAAAACATCAGATGAAACAAAGAGCTGCAGTGAAAGTTCACCGGATAAAGGATCGCAATTTAAACGTAAAAAGCGATCAACTGACGATTTATTCGCTGACTGGGACAATTTCACTTCTTGTTCAGATGGTATGGGTGACTCGGAAACAAGTATTTTGTTGAATAATTCCACGTTAAAAGACGACGCCATTGACTGTTTTACGGACCCTAGAAAATGGAAAAAAAACCCTAAAGTGAAACTAGGGGTGACTAAAACTGTCGAAAAATTTCTTCAAGAGTCAGATGATGATTATGAGAAATTATTTAAATCTGGAAAGATGCGGAAACGTGTTACTAAACCAGAATCGGTAAATCAAGGTGAAAATGAAGATCTGAATAACTGGAATCCAAATAACACTCCTAGTCTCTTCTCTTAGAATTTTAAGTGCTTTATTTTTTTATTTCTTTTAAAGCAGGTCGGAAAACAATAGACAAAATGTCCGGCACTAATGAATTAGTACCTTATATTTTTTAACTCTGTGATGGACACATATTTTAAAGTTGTTAAAAAAAACCTTGAAAAAAAACCAACAACTAATCTCGACAAAGTGACAGGTGTTAAAGAACTTGTTCATGACAAATCCTGACTATGTTTGATTTCCTGGGTTTTTGGGGTTTATAAGAGGATATGGTATTTCACAAATGGGCCATGTAGATCTAGATATATGTTTAAAGGACAATACTGGTGTCAGTCATTATTAGTTCATAAGTGATAGAACTGGTTAAACACATTCAAGTGATAACAGACACATGCGAATTATTAGTGAAATGAAATTCGACCGTGTGTCTGTTATGGCTCATCACTTCAGTCAGTTATATAGAAGGATAACTCATGTTTGTCATTTTTCGTGTCCTGTTTTTTTTTTTTCAAATGTTCATTACGCATCTATCGTAGCAATGATCTCTGTGTTAAAATTATATTTGGAATTTGTTTAACCAGTTCTATCACATGTGTAGGAATGACTGACACCAATATTGTCCTTTAAGTATACTGTATTCACATCAGTGATAGATGATTTAAACTATCTTGGAATATGTTTATATGATGTTAATTGAAGTTTGAGTTCTTGTTGAATTGACCTCTTATTATAATACGTACTATGATGGACATTCCTACACTTTATAAGTAAGACACAGATATTGATTTTAGCATGTTAATTGTCTGTTTTAACTATAGAAGAATTTTTTATTCATACATTTTTTTATAAACCATTTCATTTTTAAAATCATATTACAGTTTTTATAAACAATGAATTAAGTAAGTTTTATAATCTTGGAAGGAATATAAAATTTTAATAACCATTTCAGATCAGATTTTTTAGAAATGTGCTTGAAAATATATTTTTTTTATGCAGTATAATGGTCTGTTCTGTGCAGTTGTTCCATAGTGTCCTGTCTTAAACCATTATAGAAATATACATGTTACTTAAATATGTAAGATTTAGATAAAGATCTGACAGTTCTTGCTATAAAAGTTAAAAACTACATAATGAAAAGGAAAAATCTTGAAACTTTCGGTCACATTACTTCATTCTGTACTACGTTAGGGCTGTTTGAAGAATGCGTAGTCTTGATTGGCATGGATACTGTTGATACAGTTGTAAACAAAGTCTTGATTATCCATTTATTAATTAAATCATTTACCACCAATCGTGTTTAAATGCGTTGAAAATCTTGAGCAGACGATGATGGTATCGAGATTTGATTATGGTCTTGGTAAGTTAATTAATGTCTAATTAATAATTTATATAACATTTAAGGCCTAAAGAAAGACCTGCAATAGGAAGATTTAGCTCTTGAATAAAGCATCTTTTAAAGCCATTGTTGGTCATTTGAGGAATTTTGCAAACTACACTTTTGTTAAAGCTGAATCTGTAAAATCAATATGCAGTCCAAAAATGGTTCAGTTTAGTATTTATAAATCTTGTATAATAAAATCAAAGATGGATGTCTGTATGTATGTACGCACCTACGGTCCTACGCCCATCAGACATTGTCACCGAGATCCATCCCCACGTGTGGTTTCAAATTAACCAGTTTACCAGCATGACCCTGTGAATGATTTAGGCCTTCAAATTTATGGTCCCGGGTGAAGCCAGGTATCTTGCTTGTATATGATAGATTGAAAATTATATGTCAAATAATCAATTTTGTAAATTTACTCATACTGGGATTAGTCTTGAAAAATGAGATGTTGTCCAAAATGAAATGAAATGACATTCAGCGGCTTTAAGCTTTACTATCACTGTAAGAGCATAACAGGTACATGTACAATTAAGAGCTGCAGTTAAACTGACCTCATCCAGAGCTTCTCCTTTGGATAAAATATACCTTGGGTGCTTACCTGCAAATAAATTGTGTCTCACGCAAAAGCTGGATCAAGCCTATTTTGTGGCTTTCTCTGGGAAGTTTTTTTTTTAGGAAACACTTGTCTATGTTATCATCCTTGGTGAAAGTGGACATAACACTCCACCAACGAACCAAAAACTGACATTGAACAAAAGAATGGTTTGTTAGTGAAAGAAAATATTATATTGTTATTTTGTTATTCTTTAAATATAAAAACTATAAAAAAACACAGTAATGAAAATAAATTGTTTTTATTTGAAATATGTACAGCATGTAATTCATATTATCTACAATCTGGTAAATTGTCTATGACAATGAAAAATTTGATGTCTGGCTCTGGTTTTTTTTTACCCTGTGTTTTGGGGAACTATTGCTTCCTCTATGCTTTCTCTGGTTATTTTCAACTATTCTATTTCAACATATTTCCATAGTGATTTCTGACTAGTTTCCACAAGTCTCTATGCTTTCTATGTTTGGAGCTATTTTATTTTAATGTTTCCATGGCAATATTGTTGACTAGTTTCATCAAGTCTCTATTGTTTTTATGTCTGGAGCTATTTCATTTCATTATTTGCATGGCAATATTGTTGACTAGTATCAACAAGTCTCTATTGTTTCCATGGTGATGTGGACTAATTTATTTCAGCAGTTTTTCATGATGAATTTTGCATATAGTCTGCTTATCATGCAGGTCTATTTGTTTCTGCATGTCTATCTCTGTTATTTCTTGTTTATTTTGAAATGGTTTGGTGATTCTTGGCGGTTTTTGACTGGTTTTGTAGTTTTGGGATCAGACTCTGCATGGGGGTTATTTCTTTCTTGGTGATTTTGGACTGGATTTGGGGGATCTACCTTTAAATGTTTCAATATTACTAACACATGTCTGAAACAAAGGATATTGAAACATACAGCTCAAGAATTAATTTATTAGACATACATGTATATAACTACTGTTTGAATACAAATTTGAAGCTTCAGGATCTGGACAGAAAAAAAGCAAACATGTAGATTAGAGAAAGAGAGAGAAATGGGGTTTAACATCCACTTGACACAAACCAGGTCATTTTGGGACTGACATGGTTAAGTTTTATTTCAATAATTCTCTTGCACGTAGGGGTCTTTAGCAGTGGGAGGAAAACAAATGACCCGGAGAATACCCATGAGGTTGGACAGGCAACCCTACTTCTTGTCACTACAACTGAGGAATCGGAACCACGCCAGTTGACACAATGACAGACCTTATGTTACGGCCATCCAACCCCACATACATGTAGATCAGAGTTAGCAAATTGTAGGGAGATGACAAGTTCCCTTCCGTTTGATCCAACTTTATTTGAAGATGTTATAACTATATTGACTAGTAATGACAGCGAGCAGTTCAAGGAATGAATGAATAAATGAAATGGGGTTTAACGTCCTACTGTTCTGCTCCGACTGGGCTAATGAAGACGGCATACGGCATACAGTGTGCTAAGTTTTAGGGAAATTTTGCCTGGACAGCGGCACTATGGCCTACTCTTATTATATCGAATTCTAACTGCCAAGGGATCTTTTACGTGCATGCCAATGTATAAACGGGTCCTAGACTTTTTGTCCCATCCGAACTACTAGACAGCTGTCCTTTTTAGGACCTCCGGCCTGCACCACTGAAAAGGGGAAACCATGTCGGAAAATCCAGATGAACTTTCTCCGCTAATGCAGGGATCGAACACCCAACCTCCACACTAGCGAGCCAGCATCTTACCCACTTAGCCACGGTGGCTGGATTTACTAATAGGGGGAGAGAAATGGGGTTTAACGTCCACTCGACACAAACTAGGTCATTTGGGACTAACACATGGTTCAATTTTATTTCCATAATTCGCTTGTGCGTAGGGGTGTTTAGCAGTAGGAGGAAACCTGAGGGCCCGGAGAAAACCCACGAGGTTGGACAGGCGACCCTACTCCGTGTCACATACAACCGGGGAATCGAAACCAGGCCAGTTGACTTAATGACAGACTTTATGATACAGTGCACACGTCCTAACCAATCAGCCCCCTCCCCCCCCCCCCCATTTACTAATAGGCATAGACCTAGGAAATGTAGTGTGCCAGGTATAACCTTGTTTCAAGTGCACACTGCTGAGTTTGCCGTATGGCCGACAAGTAGATAAATCGACAATGTAATAGTTAAACATTCAATTAATCAACAACTGTTCTTTTAACTGAACACTAGCTAAGAGGTGTATATTACCATCAGATTTCTACTCATAAAATATGGTTTATCATTTCCATTATTCATATCACAGTCTTCACAAAAACACATAAATAAGGTATCTAGAACAATCTGAAAAATACATAAGATATTGTATGTAGAGCAATCTATAAAAACACATAAATATTGTATCTAGAGCAATCTGAAAACACATATTGTATCTGCAATAATCTGAACAAAGAGAGAGGGGGGGGGGTTAATGTTCACTCGACACAAACCAGGTCATTTCGGGTCTAATGGTTCAATTTTATTTCAATAATTCGTTTGCGCATAGGGGTCTTTAGCAGAGGAAGGAAACCGGAGGACGTAGAGAAAACCCACAAGGTTGGACAGGCGATAATGAATACTGGATTAAAATAAATAAATATATAAACACCAAAACTCACTTCATAAACCAGCATAAAACAATGAGCTATAGCAAAAGCTATAACACCACCAAACGTCAATGGAACATATTTATACGTTAGATCAGGATGAAACTAGAATATAGAAATCACATTATACCATTGAAATACAAATACTAGAATTACTGTTTAAGTATTATTTTATAGGGAACGCATTTTAACTGCCCACTTTTATTTCGAATTTGAACTGTTAAAGGTTCTTTTACGTGCACATGTACACGGGACCTCGGTTTTTCGTACCTTCCGAACGACTAGTCGGCGACTAGTCGCCGTTCCTTGTCAACCTTCGTCCTACACTGACCGTTGACAACCACGCTGGAATATCGCGGAGAACTTTCTCAACCGAAATCATGGTTTGCGATCCAGTGCCATTGTGTCGACTTCATGACAAGGAATGAGACCCAACCAATATTTGAATAAGATATATATATATTACCGGTAGAAGTTCATTTCCAATAATGAGAACCAAAGCTACACAGCCTAGTTTACTGAGAAATAGTAGAAAATCTCCAACAGTATTAATAGCTATAACTCTTAATGCATTGTTTACAATTGTAACTAAAGCTTTTCTTGCTCCATTACAAAAATTATCCCCATGAATAGCTGTAAATATATAAAACATATGTTAATTCACAATCTCATTAAAACACAGATCTTATTTCGTTTCGGTTTTTATTTTTCAAAATTTCGTTTTACTTGTCTTTACTACACCAGGACCCGGAAGAGTTGTTATATATGCTACATTCTGGATAATGTCAGGGATAAGTCAATGAAACGGTCTGTTACGGCAAGTTTTGGGAGTGAGGTGCACGGAACTGTGAGTAAACCACTGGAAACATCAACGTTGATTGGTTAAGCAAATGTCTGACGTCATAAGATCAAAGGTCGCTCGTATGACCTCTGACGTGACCTTCCACTACAACTGGTCAGATCTTCATGTAGTAGAGGCCATCGAAGTATAAAAAAACGAGACGAAATATAGATCTGTATTTTAATCAGGTTGGTTAATTCACAAAGAGCCAATAGAACATTTATAAAAGCTAATAACCGATAACAACCCTTTTTAGTTGACATGTAATTATTTCACTGCAGTCATTATGAAACATCCCTCGAACTGAGTAACACGTTAATTATTCGCGTACCTATGCTATAGGTGTCATCTAAACACTTTTTTAAAAACGGTGGATTTTTCTGCGTAAGACTATTCACTTCGAAATGGGGCGAGTTTAAGTATACAACTGTAGTCGTGAGCCTTGGAGTGGTAATGAACGAAAGACCTACACCAAAGAAGGACATCTTTCAGATACAAGGGTCACGTGAACTCCTTCAATTAATTCCTTGCATTCATGAGAAAGTAGTCTTGTTTTAACATCCGACTGGCTGTCGGGATTAGTGTGCCAGTCAATAAAGGATTAGTGTGCCAGTCAATAAAGGCCTAAAACGGTGGTAAAATTCATGTATTAATAACATGGTTTGTGGACCTACTAAAACAAAACTTCTGGATACGTCACAAGTGGTAAGAAAGCCACAATAACTGGGTTAAAATCCCCAACCCAACATAAATATATAGCAGTTGCGACAGGGGTAAATGTGGCAGCCCTCGTCAGGTCTTCATGGTTTTATACATAAAACAGTACTGTACAAGCTGTATTCAACCAAATTGCCCTGAACGTTCTTACCAATCATTATATACGCATTTCTATTAATAAATTTCAGGAATCGTTCAAAACACCACAAACAACAGGCCAACATTTTCATAATAAATTCAGCAAATTTATTGGTCTTTCCTTTTAATCTGAAATACATGAAGAAACAAAGACAGTCACGTTCAGTTTCTGATGTCGATCGTACTTTATAGTGGCCATTCTTCATTAGCCCAGTCGGAGTAGAACAGTAGGACGTTAAATCCCCATTTTATTTTACCACGGTGGCATATTTACGTAGCTACACAGCGGCGTGTTTATGTAGCTAAACAAGTAGCTCAATGGCTTAGCTATGTAGCTAAAAAGGTAGTTCAGCGGTGTAGCTTTGTACTCTAAATGAGTAAATTAGTGGCGTAGTTGGTAAGCTAAACGAGTAACTTAGTGGCGTAGTTTGGCAGCTAAACGAGTAAGCCAGTGGCATAGTTATGTAGCTCAGGGGCGTATCTATGTAGCTAAAAGAGTAACCCTGTCGCGGAGCTATGTGGCGAACAGAATAACTCAGGGGCGTACATATGTAGCTAAAAAAGTAACTCAGTGACGTAGATGTATAGCTAAAAGCGTAGTTTAGTGGCGTAGTTAAAAGGTACAAGATGTAAATAAAACAAGCCCTGTGACTTCTGAAATGATCACGAAGCCTTCAACCCGTCTCTTGGAGAGAGAGAGATAGAAATGGGGTTTAACGGCCACTCGACACAAACTAGTTCATTTCGGGACTAACATGTGGTTTAATTTTATGTCACTATTTCGCTGGCGCGTAGGGGTCTTTAGCAGTGGGAGCAAACCGGAGGACCCGGAGAAAACCACGAGGTTAAACAACCCGTCTCTGGATACATTTACGACTTTTGGGTAAATTATGACTACAACTTATATTTGAATTTATATGATATGCAGTATTACTTACTTCTTCTGTATAATCATGAGAATAAAACGAACAAATCTAACAAGAGCTATCAGAAATGATCCAAAAGCAACAGATCCAATATGATACCTGAAAAAACAAAAACAACCACGCACACACTAAAAAATATTATATCTAAAGAAAATACACACTAAAAATCTTATATTTAAAGAAATTAAATCTGAAAGGTGGTTATACTAAAATAGAGAAGATAATGGACGACGCCTATGTAGTAGACACATGTGGTGATGCCAGGCCCGTAATTCGACCCCCCCCCCCCTCCCGTGAAGATATTGTCGACCAAACAGATATGCCTTGTCCGTCAATTTTACAGCACCCCTAAGACCCCCCCCCCCCCCCGTTGCTCTATTCGACATTAGGTAAGATTAGATAAAGAGCGGGCAGTTTTCGCTATAATAGTTAAAAATAGATAATGAAGAGAGAATATGCTGAAATTTTCAGTCAAATTACTTCACTCTGAGGTTAAATATCGGCGATACAATTATAGTCTAGCCTCAATTGTCATTACTACCGTTTTTACGATAATAAACAGTCTCGATTATCCAATTTTACGGTAACCGCATCGACCACAAAACGTATATAAATCTAATCATATCGCAGTAATTCACCGGCATCAAGAGTTGATTATGGTCTTGGTAAGTTAATTAATGTCTAATTAATAATTTATATAACATTTTAGGCCCAATAGACAGTTTTAGCTCTTGCATAAAATATGTTTAAGATTACATGCATGGGCTGTCGACCCAGCATCATGACTATAAATTTAATGTAAGGTACTGTATTGTTTGGGCCTACAGGTGAGTCTATCCAATTTAAGTTCTTACCTTATGAGGTTACAGGTTGATCGGCCTATCGGACATCCAAGTTTTGTTTTGTTTCTAGATAAATGAAAATTAATTGTTGTGATAAAATATAACTTATTATCGTTGGATGTCTGTATTTAATAATGAGTGACCACCAAGACAAATTTGTGAGTCAATCAAATTTACTAGTTTGGGGTGAAAGCAACTATTTCAGTATAGTAAATTCACAAAAGTAAGCCAGCCTTTTACCTATTTGCAAAAAGTTAAGGGCAATCAACTTGACGATGTTAGATCCACTAACGTGATTTTTTTCACTTGCTTGACCGAGAAACCCACGCTGATCAGGCCGCTACAATCACTGATAAGGACGACATCGATGCGACTTAATGAGCCCCAAATATTAACTTTTTTCCTCCGACAAATTAAATTCTAAAACATTTTTTTATGTATTAGAAAAATAAATAAAGACGTTTAAGTATTTGTAGGTAAAATATTAATTACTATTTAGTGTAAATGGGTATTAAACATTCTGCCCGGAAGCGGTAACGTTTCATGTAAACAATGCACGCGCCATTGCGCCAATGATTTACGCCGCAGTTATCTTTTACAGAGATAATTAGAATACTTTTCGTAATCCTCTGTGAAACAGATTGCGAGAAACCCTGTAGTCCTATTCCAACTTATACTTTCTCGTAAACATCAAGTTATTCGAATATAATAAAGCAACGGAATCATTAAAATATTAGAAAGAATATGTAGACTCGTATTCACAAGGTATTTTTGAGGCATTTCGGGAAAGACAAAGTCTGTAACTCCGCAAGTAATTGTCAAATGTCGTTGATAAAGACAGGAATATAAAGCTTCATACCGAATTTCATTTAAATTGTATAGAAATTGGAAACTCTATCGCGTTCATAAGGCAACACACCTTGTTTACTCGAATAGGGTGAAAACTGTAGCCTCTCTCGAGTTTTTAGTCCCGAAATGACCTAGTTTGTGTCGAGTGGACGTTAATCTCTCTCTCTCTCTTTCTCTCTCGCTCTCTCGTTTACAAGAATGCGTGTATTAAGAAAATATATAGCCTATACGTCGAGATTAAATGTGAGCAACTTAGATGTGTAATAAATATCGGGGCATAAGTTTGTTACATTCTCATTACTATTACATGTATCAACAATGTATTATATTGTAGAACATACCTAGTGAAATACCATATAGATACAGCTCCTGCTATAACTAAATCTTGACATGCTACGATAAAAGCCGAAATCCAAAATATACCAAATATATGGTACCATCGTAAATACTGAAACATACAAATTTATTAATAAGTGTCTTTAAATTAACGTTTTGAAATGTAAAACTTAACATACAACTCAGTGAGGCCCTGTTATATAGCTTCCTTGAGAATGCCGGTGTATAAACCATCGGTATAGCACGTTAAATATCCCCTGACCGTTGAAAATGGGTATAGTACGTTAAATATCCTCTAGTCTGACCGTTGGGAAACGAAATAAGTTTAGTCCGTTGAGAGGCTGCCAGCACACCGCATGCCCGACTTCATTATCCCGTCAACAACAATTTTTATAAAGGGCTATATTTTAATTAAAATAAGGTGAACAATTTTGAGTAATTTCTTAACTTAAGTCTGAGAATGTTTTGTGAAGTTCTCACAAAAAAATCATACAAGTACTAAATCTGTAGTTTGTTTAGTTTATGTCTATAAATATTTATTTAAATAAATAACAAGCGGTTGTCATGCAAGATAAGTCCACATTTTGCAAGAGATAGACAGACAATAAGCAGGGGTCAAAATTCAGTAAGTTATGATCCGATATCCGAGAATATCAAAAGGAAGTGAAATCCCTGGGATATTAATATATATTTTTAGTTTCATCAAAATTAGATAATAATTCTGACCTCCTGAGTGTCCACAACCTTGGTATTACATACTTTTACACTATTTGCGTACAAGGAGCGGCCATTTTAACGGGCAGTTTCGATCTGATTTTCACGTAATTCGAACTCAACCGCCATTAGGTTACACTGATATATTTAAACTTTTTTTTTAAAATTGTGACCTCTGAGGGTCCGCAAGTTAAAAACTGGATTTTAATTTTTTTAACAATCAGGGGCCATAATTCAGGAAGTTACGATCCGATATGCGTGAATAACGAAAGGAACCGAGATCTTGGGGACATAAACACGTAGTGACCTCTAGTGAGTCCACAACCTTGGTATTAGATATAAGTTTTGATCCGATACATGCCAATATCGAAAGGAACCGAGATCTTTTGGTGATAAACCTATATTTTAAGTTTTGTCAAAATCGGACAAGAATTATTCTGACCTGTAGAGTGTCCACAAACAAATTGTGGATGGATGGACGAATGGACAGGGGCGACGACAATATACGTCCACGTAAAAATGTGGGCGTATAAAAATAAACTGTGGATCTCTAAAATAAAGTAACATCAGTCTAATGGTTCAATTCTGTTCAGCATCTATAAAGATAGGATCAGCTGAAAATTTCACGACATTCAACATCTTCAGCAGTTCATAAAATCGGCTGAATCGAGGCCAGGAGTTACCTATCTTTTATATTTTGGTTATGAAATATTTTAAGATGAACGTACCTTCATGAGTTCTTCTATTTGGTATTTTACGTAACCAGATGGTCGTACAACCGGTACTTCTGTAAGTGATATTCAACACAATGTAATTAATATTTTAAACACTCTTCTGGAAGCTGATATTTGGTTTCTACAAATCTTGGTTCTCTTATAAATCAACCATCAAGATTAAATACTTCTAGATAGACAATCCAGTTTCTTTCTTCAGTATACATTGTAACTACACATTTGTACTTCTTTGGCTGGAGCTACGGTGGCCAAGTGAGTAAGACGTTGATTCGCTAGCCTGGAGGTTGCGTGTTCGATCCCTGAATTAACTGAGAAATTTCATCGAGATTTTTCGGCGTGGTTTAACATTGTCAGTGGTGCAGGACGGAGGGCCTGGCAAGGACAGCTGTCTAGTCGTTCAGATGGTACGAAAAACCGAGGTCCCGTGTATACATGTATATTGGCGTGCACGTAAAAAGATCCCTTGGCAGTTAGAATTCGATATAAAAGTAGGCCATAGAGCCGCTGCCCGACCCGGGCACCCCCCCCCCCTTCAGCATACTGTATGGCGTATGCACGTCTTCTTTAGTCGGAGCAGAACAGAGCAGTAGGACGTTAAACACGATTTCATTTCATTCACTGACTGCATTGAAGGCATACAAACCGAGCACTGCTAATTTCGACGGGTGTCCTCGAGTGGCTTTCATTGCGGCATAAAGGGGAACTTTATTGTTAAGGATTGTTTTTATTACATATGTACAATAATATTACATTAACAGATACATATCATTATTTGTATAATAATATTACATTAACAGATTAATATCATCATTTGTATAATAATATTACATTAATAGATTAATATCATCCAAATAGAACTTACTAGATGTTTCTATATACAGGGCTATTACAAGAAGACCAGCAACTGCCGCCATTAGTATCAGTAATGTCTACAAATAAAAAACAAGTACAAGATGTTCGTAAAAAAATAGACACGTTTCTGTCAAAGAAGGAAGTCTATATGGTGGTCGGCGTTTTCCTTTTTCTAAATTCTTGCTATATTATCAAAAATTCTGAGCTTATTAGGCGAGAGAGAGAGAGAAATTGGGTTTAACGTCCACTCGACACTAACTAGGTCATTTCGGGACTAACACATGGTTCAATTTTATTTCAATAATTCGCTTGCGCGTAGGGGTCTTTAGCAGTGGGAGGAAACCGGTGGACCCGGAGAAAACCCACGAGGTTGGACAGGCGACCCTACTCCTTGTCACGTACAACCGGGGAATCGAAAACCTGCCAGTTGACTCAATGACAGACCGTATGATACAGCACAGCGCGCACGTGCTAACCATTCGGCCATCCAACCCCCCAGCTTATTAGGCAAGCACGTTTAAAAATAAGCACCAAAAACTTGTCTGATTGTTTATTTCACTATAAGAGTGTCTATAGAATATAGAAATTCAGGGTCGTGCCAATTTTAATAGAGCGTTAATTGTCTTTTAAAAGAGAAACCGCCATACTTACCCATATAGGCTGTAAAATTAGAAGGGGTATATGGGTTATAACTCTTCCAGCTTCCTTAAATAACTTCACAACCTGGAAAATTAGATTCTTTGTATCAAACAAAACCCTTTATGGACTACGGACCGAGGCTATGTGGCCTACTTTTATTTCGAATTCGAACTGTCAGGGGTTCATTTACGTGCATCCTAATGTGTACACGGGACCTCGGTTTTTCGTGCCATCCGAACGACTATACGTTGTCCCTTGCCAGGCTCTTTGTCCTGCACCACTGACAAGTTGGTATTACCATTTATCACCCAATAATACATTCTACAGTAGATATCGCTTGTGTGATATATTTCATAATCTCCTTAGGAGATATCGCTTTACATGAATTTGATTGGTCAGTTGAAAGGGAACTACTTTTTTTTATTTTCAAAGAACAGTTCATTTATGATTAAAAGTAACTTTTTTTTTATTAAAAATGAATTATTATTATTCAATTGACATTGATGGAAACACTGGGTCAATATTAAGGACTTTGCAATGGTTGAATTGCTGTCAAAAAATGATGTATCACTACGCCGTAATGTTCAGTAAAAGTGAAATCTACAGCAAAGAATTATATTTATCTATTTGTGCATGTAAGAAGGGATTGGGTGATAAATAAAATCTCCTACTCGTCTTTTTTGATATCAAAAAATATCAACAATTGTTGATAAAGTAAAAAAAAAACTCGGCAAAGCCTCGTTTTTTGTTACTTTATCAACTTGTGTTGATATTTTTTGATATCAAAAAAGACTGGTAGGAGAATCTCTATATATAAATTTTTTTTAACCCTTTATTTCACACAACTACCTACCACTGGAAACAGATTATCATATTACGGGGAGGGGGGGGGGGTATGGCCGAATGATTAGCATATGCGCGCTGTATCCTAAGGTCTGTTATTGAGTGAACTGGCGTGGTTTCGATTCCCCGGTTGTACGAGACAAGCAGTAGGGTCGCCTGTCCAACCTCGTGGGTTTACTCCGAGCCCCCCGCTTTCCTCCCACTGCTAAAAAAAAAAACTCTACGCGCAAGCGAGTTATTGAACTAAAATTGAACCATGTGTTAGTCCCCAAAATGACCTAGTTTGTATCGAGTGGGCGTTAAACACCATCTCTCTCTCTCTCAGATTACCATATGACAAAATTTGGAGGAATACATTTAAATAATTCATATGTTTACTTACCAACTTAATTCTCTTCCTCATAACCAATAAAATCAACACTACCACTAACTATAATGTAAGTAATGATTTAGGTCAGCGGTCGTTATTGCGACGGTATATTTGTGGAATAACAAACCGTTATGCAAAAATGAAATGAAATGGGGTTTAAAGTCCTACTGTTTTGCTCCGCGAACTTGGCTAATGAAGACGGGCATAAGCCATACAGTGCTATGAGGGAAATTTTGCCCGGACAGCGGCACTGCGGCCTACTCTTATATCGAATTCCCACTGTCAAGGGATCTTTTACGTGCATGCCCATGTGTACACGGGACCTCGGTTTTCCGTCCCACCCGAACGACTAGACGGCTGTCCTTGTCAGGCCCCCCGTCCTGTATCACTGACAAGGGGGGAACTTTCTCGGCCAATGCCGGGATCGACCACCGGACCACTAGGCTAGCGAGCCACTTAGCCACCGTGACCCTCCAAAACCGTTATGCTGATCGATGTCGGATTAAAGAATCACTCCGTTTAAGTAAGAAGGATACTAGAACGGACCAGCAACTGACATAGTTAAACACACGTATCCAGTAAACACTAATCACATTATACAAGGACGAACCATGTCCAGTAAACACTAATCTCATGATACAAGGACGACCATATCTAGTAAACACTAATCAAGTGATACAAGGACGACCATATCCGGTAAACACTAATCACTTGATGCAAAGACGAATCGTGTCCAGTAAACAATGACGAGCTATATCCAATAAACCATTGTAAATATTAAAATACAATATCTTACAGCTACAGCAGATGCTATTAAAGAATAAATAAGCCACGTTCTTAGTAGATCTTCTTGTTCAGGTGTACGTTTTGATGGATTCGTTTCTTGATAAGCTTTATCTAATAAATACCATTTATACCTGTAAATACACAATGTCTATTAGTAAATGCAGGAGGACTGCACTACACACAACAAAATCTACAAGATAAACCTGCGAATAAGACAGGATATAGACATTGCAAAAAGTAAACAATCTCATCTTATGCCAGAGTGTACACTGTTTCCGCCTACTCTTGATCGGACTCAAATGTTGTTTTATGTCCACGCCAATCTGTACACTGTACACACGGATGGATCGTGATTAGTTGCCCCATCCTAACGAATATGGGGGGATGGATGGCCGAATGGTTAGCATATGTGCGTTGTATCATAAGGTCTGTCATTGAGTCAGCTGGTGTGGTTTCGATTCCCCGGTTGTACGTGACAAGAGTAAGGTCGCCTGTCCAACCTTGTGGGTTTTCTCCCACTGCTAAAGACTCCTACGCGCAGCCGAATTATTGAAATAAATTTGAACCTTATGTTAGTCCCGAAATGACCTACTTTGTGTCGAGTAGACGTTAAACCCCATCTCTCTCTCTCTCTCTGATCGGACTCACTGGTTGTTTTATGTCCACGCCAGTGTGTACACACGGATGGATCTCATCCTAACGATTAGGCGCTGTGCCATGTCCATCAATACTTGATCGAATCCGAGACTTCCTGGTTCGTGAACGATTTACACATGTATATAGTCACAAAAGCCTTAAAATTCAATTGTATTCACTTGGCCAGACGGGATATCATTTTGATAATTGATTGACAAGAAATCAAAATTAAACCCGTTAGTGAGACTTACGCGTCACATGTGTGTGTTTGGCACTGCAGAAGATCGCAGACTGGCCGTGAAGACTTTTAGTTCTGCAAATACAAAATTTCCACCCGGTTTCTTGGGTCCGGTCTGAGAGCCACCAAACCCTACAGCCCGTTCCTGTCAAAACACGTAGGGTGGGTTGTGAGCTAGGCCTTACGCTGTTCTGCTCCTATTATACTGGACTAATTAAGACGGGCATACACCATACAGTGTGCTATGAGGGAAATTTTGCCCGGACAGCGGCACTAACGCCTAATCTTATATCGAATTCCAACTGTCAAGGGATCTTTTACGTGCATTCCAAAGTATACACGGGACTTCGGTTTTTCGTCTCATCCGACGGACTAGACAGCTGTCCTTGTCAGACCCTCCGTTCTGCACCACTGACAAGGGGGAACCACGCCAGAAAATCCTGATGAACTTTCTCGGCCAATGCAGGGATCGAACACCCGACCGCCAGGCTAGCGAGCCAGCGTCTTAACCACCTAGCCACCGTGGCCCCCCTAGGCCTTACGCGAAGTGGGACATTTTGGTGCAGTGCTAGGCTTCCGCCTACCCTTCCCTCTTCGAATTCCAACTGCCAATGGTTCTTTTACGTATACGCCAATTTGTACTCAGTTGGACATAGTATATTCGTCCAATCCGAATGACTATGTACATTTTCCGTGTCAACCCGTGTGCCTCTCCCTTGAACCAAACGTATCTCTCGTGTAACTCCGGGATTCCCACCTGGGTAATTTTAGTCTAAAGGCCCTACCGCTCGATTATGGCGACCCCCCCCCCCCCACACACACTACATGTTGACTTACCAGCTGTAACCTGCAGCAGCAAGAACTAGAAGTGTTGTTAGAATTACTATCAACCATACAATAACACCAGCAAATAACCGTAACAATATCACTATCAAAAACGATGCCGCTGAATGATAAAAGTACACTTATAATTTAAAACACAGCAGTATAACATGAATAATTGTGTCAATATTTAGGTCCCAAATATTAGCGATTTAGCTCCTTTAATTTGTGCTTCTTATGGCGCACTTCCGATCACCAGCCCAGTTATCTAAGAAAGGATGGCTAACAAGAGCACTTTATATCATAAGTCTCGCCATTTGGAGGAGAGGGCCTAACTTGCGCACTTTAGACCATAAATCCCGCCATTTGGGGGAGCGGGTCTAACGCGCGCACATCATCGATTCAGAGAGAGAGAGAAATGGGGTTTAACGTTCACTCGACACAAACTAGGTCATTTCGGGACTAACATATGGTTTAATTTTATTTCAATAATTCGCTTGCGCGTAGGGGTCTTGAGCAGTGGGAGGAAACCGGAGGACCCGGAGAAAACCCACGAGGTTGGACAGGCGACCCTACTCCCTGCCACGTACAACCGGGGATTGGAAACCACGCCAGTTGACTCAATGACAGACTTTATGATATAGCGCGCGCACGCTAACCATTCAACCATCCAACCCCCCTCATCGATTCAGGTAAAATAGTTTCTATCTCGCGCTTATATTTAACACGTGGTGGGGTCGCCTGTCTAACCGGTTAGTTCTAAATGAGAGAGAGTTTCGATTCCCCGGTTGTACGTGACAAGGAGTAGGGTCGCCTGTCCAACCTCGTGGGTTTTCTCCGGGTCCTCCGGTTTCCTCCCACCGCTGAAGACCCCTGCGCGCAAGCGAATTATTGAAATAAAATTAAAACCATATGTTAGTCCCGAAATGATCTAGTTTGTGTCGAGTGAACGTTAAACCCCATTTCTCTCTCTCTCTCTCTCTCTCTCTCTCTCTCTCTATCTGTCAATAATTTAGCGAAAAAAGTTAATAAAATAACTGTACAATACCAAATGACATTGCAGCCATATACAGGATCTCTCTCCAGCTCAGTACAATATCAGTAGCGATACTCTACAAAACAGAGGAATATTAAACATGTATTATGTAAGAGCTAAATATGTCTATTTCAGGTCTTTCTTTAGGCCGTAAATGTTATCTAAATTGTTAATTAGGCAGTTATAAACAAAACAAGACCATAATTAACGCTCGATGACATGGGATACTTGAGATTTTAACTAGATTATAGAACGGTTCGCCATTTAAAAATTTAATTTAATAATGGGAATGTGATAACTTTTCTCAGAATAGAGTAATTTGACTGAAATTTTCAGGATATTCCCTTTATATCATCTAGTTTTTAACTATTATAGTAAGAATGGCTAGCTCTTTATCTAAATCTTACATAATGTATATTTAAACTCTGATTACCAGTCAACCGTGGGTGTAGCCGTTACATGTACGAAAATATTTAATAATAACACGTCCCGAAAAAATATTCTTTAATATTCTTTTCGATTTTGTGATGCTACGTCATCGAAGTCGTAGAGTGTGTATTAACAGCGCCATTTTAAGACTATGGACCCGAAGTTGGATAATAACCTAAGATTTATATGATTGTATATATATATATAATGTGTAAAATATCAAATAATAATGCGTTCCATTTAAACGGAAGTTCGGCCATTTTGAATTGTGTGGCTGGCGCCATTATCAGGAAAGTTTTTCATTACTGATTTACGATGATAGTAAATACACATCTGCTTGTCTCCGTTCGAATATGTTGTGAATCTTGTGATATGTTTATAAAAAAAATCCCACAAAATTAAATAGTTTACTACATTTTAAATCTTACCTGTGCCACATCACTCGACGCCATGCTACTAAAAGATGATGCTACACTTGTCGCTAATTGAAACATACTACTTGGTATACATCGATTTAACAAACTCAAACTGTGTATAAAACAAATACAATTAATCAACTGACCTCTCAGTGTAATTACCGTACACTGAAATGAAATGAAATGGGGTTTAACGTCCTACTGTTCAGCTCCGAACTGGGCTAAAGAAGACGGGCATCCAGTGTGCTATGAGGACAATTTTGCCCGGGCAGCGGCACTATGATCTACCCTTATATCAAATTCTAAATGCCAAGCCATCTTTTACATGCACGCCAATATATACACGGAATCTCGGTTTTTCGACCCATCGGAACGACTAGACAGCTGTCCTTGCCAGGCCCTCCGTCCTGCACCACTGACAATGCAGGGATCGAACATGCGACCTCCAGACTAGCGAGTCAGCGTGGCTTCGTACACGATATGGTGGGTGTGTGCCAGTGTACTGATATCAGTAATACCGGCTAGGTAGCAAGACGTTAAATTCCAAAGGTAGGACCATGCACAAATCAAAGATGCTTTCATCATAAACAATCTCCTGTTTCAATAATTGTTCAGATTATCATTTCTAGTTTAAAGTAGCTAAATCTCTAACTCAATATCATCCAGATATAAACATTTTACCATTGCTACACCATAATGCGTTTTAGTGCCATTTGTAACAAGGGACTCGAAGAACGAGGCTAGACATATTCCACAAGTCCTATAAAACGGTGACCTCATATTCTTATTTGTTCGTTCGTTTCTAGAATTTTACGTCCAATTCCACCTAAGGTGATATCGTAGACAATTCTTTGAAGAGCATTTTGAGAGCATGCCCAATAAATACTATCGGTATAGCCTGGAATAACCAGACGCTAGAGATTGCCATTCGATTTAGACTTCTGGCGTATGTCTCCGAATATATCTGATTAGACTTCTGGCGTATTTCGCCGAACATAACTGATAATAGAAATAACAGTAAAAACAGAAACGACTGAATATAAATCAGTTTACATGTATGTACATTCATATATATGCGTTTTGACCCATTTGTGTCAATATCTAGGTCCGAAATATTAGCGATTTAGCTCCTTTAAGTTATGGGCATGTAAAGATTGGTCTCTATTGATTTCATAATGCCATCTTTTCTTGTCTTAGACACATATATAATAACAATTCTGTTATCTTATTACAAGCCTTCCAGATCGTCTTTTCACTTATTAGAATAGTGCGCTATGGGTTGTTGTGCGTGCCTTAAAAAGTAAAGTTACTTACTGTGGTGTAACTGGGAGAACAGGACACAGAGTAGAATTTGATATATACGAATTGATGTCATATCGGCATAAATGTGTCCCTGTCTCAGTAGCAAAATTATTAACATCTGCTGGTAAAGGTAGTGATTTGTAAGGACATTTAGCAACACAAACTATGAGAGGATCTGGATCAGGGGTTAGACCTGTACTAGGTAGTGCCGACAAGAAGTACAACTGATTAAAGAAGAAAGCTTTACTGAAATAAATTAACAACATACAAATTCTCTCACACAAGTTCTTTCTCAAGGGCTTTAATTTTTTTAGATATATGGGTGATTTTTAAAAAGTTCTTCTGAAAAATCTACGACCTAAAATAGATATATGGGTGATTTTTATAAAGTTCTTCCAAGCTGAACAATCTACGACCTAAAATACTCTTATACAAATTCTCTGACAAAATTTCATTCTCAAGGGCTTTGATTTTTTTTTTGATATATGGGTGATTTTTATAAAGTTCTTCCAAGCTGAACAATCTACGACCTATTCGCATAGCTGATCACCCGACAGATTTGGGTTAGTTCAAAATGTACGTTCAAAATAAAATACTTCTATACAAATTCTCTGACAAAACTTCGTTCTCAAGGGCCTTAATTTTCAGATATATGGGCGATTTTTTATAAAGTTCTTCCAAGCTAAACCATCTACGGGCTATTCGCATAGGGTTAGTTCAAAGTGTACGTTTAAAATAAAATACTTCTATGCCATACATGCATAAATTATCTATGTTAAGTATTGAAATGATTTTTTACGACGTCAACCGGACAATCATTTAATTATTCTGGCTGGTGACCACGTAAAAACTGGGATGTAATTCAGCTTCTAAAATATATATCAATGACATGCATATAAGCTGTTAGCTTATAAATGATAGAAATAGTTCATGAAAACGATATGAAATGCGGTTTAACGTCCTACTTTTCTGCACCGACTCAGTCTGACTGAGTTAATAAAGACAGGCATACGCCATACACTGTGCTATGAGGGAAATTTTGCTTGGAAAACGACACTACGGTCTACTTTAATTCCAAATGTCAACCTTGGGTTCTTTTACGCGCATGCCAATGTGTACACGTAACATCGGTTTTTCGTCTTATTTGAACAACTATACGTTGTCCCTCACCTTACCAGACCCTCCATCCTGCACAACTGACAAAGGGGAACCACGCCGAAAAGTCCCGAACGTCTTACTCATTGAGCCAACGTGGCTCCCTATAAATCATAAATGATAAAAATAGTTCATAATATCCATGAAACTTACGGTCTGTCGACCATATTTCTTCCAGCAAACTGGGCAGAAATGTTGAGATTTTCATTACTTTGTCCACAAATATTACCCCAGCTATCATAACCATATCTGACTAAGTTAGGATTACCTTTCTCTGTAGCTAGGTAACTAACATAACCCTAAAATAAAATACGGAATAAATCAGAGTCTGAATGCACCAGGAGGCCAATAACCATTTTATACGCCCACTTTTTCTGGGAGTATACTGTCGTCACCCATGTTCGTCGGTCCGTCCGTCAATTCATAATTCTTGTAAACGCTATAGAGTCCATCAGAGTTTCTGACAGATGTTTTCTTACTTGCTTGGCTAGTCATAAAGAACCGTGGAAAAAATCAGAGCTGTACAACCAATTATAAGCGCTCTGTCGTTAAAACTTTTCGAATGTTCAAGTTTGAAACCTTACTGACTTGAGCCAGTCTTTTCGAATGTTCAAGTTTGAAACATTATTGAGCCAGGTAAATCTTGGACGGAGTTATTGCCCCCTGTCTGCCAAACTTAGTAAACGCTGTTCGGTTAGGTGTTTGGGGGATTTTTTTTTAAAAAAACAAAACTTTCTGGAATTGTTAGGCTAATCATAATGAGGGACGGCGTGTACGTATTGTGTACGGCGTTAAGTCGATATTTGTCCCTTATTTTAGTTTTGGAATCAGAATTTGAAATATATCCCTTCAAAGCCATCAGTAGAAACTAAAATAAAACCATTACGAATAAGTACGGACATGCAATTTATTCACCTAATCGCAAGATATAATAACAATGTCTGTTAGAATTATTATGTTAATACTTACCATTCCTGCCAGGAAGCCCAAGAAGAATATCAGAAATATAATATCAGTACAATGTCTGTGTTTTGATGGTCCCTCATCTTCAGGCTACAGGGAGAGAAGATAAAGTAAATGTCGAGAAGTTAAACTTAAAATATTCCTGCCCAGAATTAGTCTTCATCATTCCAGTCGGTGCAGAAAAATAGAACGTTAAACCCCATTTCATTTAATTGTTTCGGGACAGTCAAAGCAAGAGGGGGTGGGGCAAGATTTAGCAACAGCGCACTCGGTTAGTGGGATTTAGTAGCTGCCTCAGCCCCCAGGAAGTGCCAATCCAAGTTTGGCGGGCCTGTGTTTGATGTTACTGTTTGATCCATGTAGCTATCAGTAAAATCATACTCTAGGGATCTATAGGAGGTGGTGGGGGAGGGTGAATGAGGTACATTTAAAGTCCTCCTTTTCTGCCCCAACCGGAAATGAAGACGGGTATACGCCAAGCAGTGTGCTATGCCCAACGAATTCATACGGGCGAGGGATATTTTACGCGCCAACGTGTACTGGATCCCGTTTTGTCACCCCGCCCGAAAGAGTGGACAATTTTGATGCCCATCTAGGAAATCCCGGGAACCAAAGCCTTATTTACCTTACGGTGCCACAATGTTTGTATCAGCGAAGCCCCCTAGAAAATCAAGTACCGGTAACCAAATATTTATCATTCCATAAGATCCTGCGATTTTGAACCGGTTTTGCTGTAACAAATGTGTACAAAACAATTCTATCCAGACCCGGCGAGTAAGGTACGGGCTGGAGGTTTCTATAATTCATTGTAGTCCAAGGGAAATCGGGAGCCACTGTGGTCCAGTGAGTAAGCAATCTCCCAAACAGAGTTGTCTTCCCTTGCAGTCCACACTTACTGGATAGCGAGACTTGTGTGGAGAATGGTGAGTAAGGCCCTGGCTTACTAATTTGGTGATCTCGGGTTCCATACCGATGATTGCCGAGAAGCATTCTCTTTATTGACCATAATCATAGAACGGTGAATATTTGGATCCTTGTGATGTTAAAGCTTTCCAAGAGTCGACAAAGACGGGAATTGTGAGTTGTCAATGGGAATTAGAAAAAAGTTAAACGATTTGGGGTCCCTGCTGGAAAGTAAACATAATAACATTACAAAATGAAATGAAATGAAATGAAATGGGGTTTAACGTCTGTTTTGCTCCGAACTGGGCTAATGAAGACGGGCATACGCCATACAGTGTGCTATGAGGGAAATTTTGCCCGGACAGCGGCACTACGGCCTACTCTTATATCGAATTCCAACTGCCAAGGGATCTTTTACGTGCACGCCAATGTGTACACGGGACCTCGGTTTTTTGTACCATCCGAACGACTAGACAGCTTTCCTTGTCAGCCCCTCCGTCCTGCATCACTGACAAGGGAGAATCACGCCGGAAATTTCAGCTCTATCCGCACTGTCATTCATTGACATATTTTTATTCTCAATTTACTTTCTCTTTTACTTATTAATAAATCTTTTTATATAGGCCTATATAGATCTAGGCTTTTTATTATTAAATCTAATATATTATTTCTTGTCAAGAACGAATTGTGCAAATTTTGGCCATCATCATCATAAAATAGTAAATAGCCTTTGGCTTGCACAGTTTTCTCCACTAGGCCTAATTAATAAGGACATAAAATGCATAGAATTAGAAATTCACACGACCATTGTCCATACACGGCACTAATTTGATTCCCTATTTTTTTATGTTGTCGACTACGGTATGATAATATTAATAAATAAATAAACCCGTGCGTGTTGAAATTGTATGCACGTCAACTAGGCCTACTTACTCCTTGCTGGGGCGACGTAAAATGAGTCGAATGACCCAATAATAAAGCCAACGGCAACAGCACACAGAGTGATAGTGATTACCGTGGCCGGCGTGGGTATGCACAATAGCCGGAATAGTTTCGTCAGACATCAACCCAGAGTACAAGTAGTCAACAAAGTCGCCCTTTTAAATACCAACGCCGGTCAAAAGCTACTGAATAGGCAGCAGAGGCTGAGGGAGATAGACTTAGGCTAACTTACAAAATTGTCATCCGGTTGAACCTCGGTGTTACTGTTAGTAGGCCTACAACAACCCGAAACCATCACAAAGGATTCGTCAGGTTTATTTTGGTATTTATCCGCCAGTCTGCGTGTGCTGCCGGGAACTCCCGTTTATTTGCTTTAAAGATATATTTTGTAATAGGCTATATATAAGGCCCTAACCTAAGAAATAACAAAAAACCCGTTCGAAGAAATAAAATGGCCGCCTGCTTTTCAAGAATGACGTCACATACGTCGTGACGTCAGAAGCTGGCCTCGTTTTAATACGTAATTATTTTTTCTTTGATTTTTTTTTATTTCATTCTTATAGTAATACGCTAGGTAGGGGCGGGGCCGTGGTGAACTCGATCCGTCCTGGTTTTGTTTCTCAAAACCGTTCAAATTAAACAACTTTATGAAATTTTGTACAAAATTTATAGGGTCTAGTCGCCACTTTTTTTTTTTATTTTGAAGTTTTGCTGATGGTTAGGCCTAGGCCTAGGCTAGTCGATTACAGAAAATTCTAGGACTTAGTAGCCTAATTGTTTTCTTTCTTATAAAGACGTCCCTGTTGTAACTAGATATATTGAATTTATCTGTGCCATTCGCTACATCATGATCAGTGATTAAAACTAAGTCCTATATAAATATTTATCCTACCAGTGTGTAAATGATTCCTGATGTGATCCATAGATAACTCTATGGTCTGATCCCGTCAGCGTACCGCACTACACTGGAGTTATCTCCCATTTCCAAGATGTCAGCCCCCGTTTACTGTCAAAACTTGTCAAAATGTATTTTAAATTTTAGTCTAAATAGAACTATATGTAGCAAATTAAAATCTCCCAGTTCGAAATTAAGAAGCATACAATGGCGGCAAGGGCTTGAAAAAACAAACGTGAGATTCTTTAACAATGACATGTCCAAAAACTTGTCGAGTGCAAGACCAAAATATTTAATAACAAAATCTGTTAAAAGTAAACCAATTTCAACTTGTAGCTATTCATTTTATGCGAAACATAAACAATTTCAAAGCTACTGTCCTTTTTCGGCTATTCATATAAATAGATTTTCGACGTCCATTAAAAATTTGAGTGAAGAGAATGAAAAAGGAGGCAAAGAAATCGAAAAACAAGGCAAAGAAGAGGAGAAACAACCAGAAGGAAAAATTATTACTGTGGTTAATCCCTTTAGTCTCTTGCTTTTAAAGTATAATGTATATAGGTTACGACAAATTGATCCTTCATTTAATATGGATGAATTTCTTGTGGGTGTTAAGCAGGTAATATATATGATATACATACAGTAAACTTTGCATAAGTCGGATCTCAGTGGACTGACCAATTTTATCCGAGTTAAGCGAAGATCCTAGTTAAGCGAAGATCCGAATTAGCCGAAGATCGAAATTCAATCTTAGCTCGATTAGAAATAAAGTGCAAGAGCCGGATAATAATTTATTCAAACACACATTTCAAGCTTTTGTTCGTATGTGCCAGTAGATAACTTCTGTTTTGGTGCGAGTATAGATAACTTCCGTTTTGTCGCCATCTTTGAAAAATGTCCTAAATTTTCCCAGAAAGTGTCCCGTACAGATCCGAATTATACGAATCTGACTTATGCGACGTTTACTGTAATACCTTTTCAAGCCTTTTGGCATACATATAATTCCTCATATGTAACCTCTTTTTGTTTTTTTATGCCAGGTAATTATGGTGTAATTTTTACCAGTACTTATCATGATCACAAAGAACTAAAAATTTCATAGGGTTACTATAGTTTTTACTAAGAACATATGGTACACCAGATGAGAAATCTCGACATTATCTGGGAGCCGCGGTAGCAAGATACTGGCTTGCTAACCAGCAGGTCTCGGATTCGCTCCAAGATGAGAAGTCTCAGTAGCTCTTGTTAGCTGAGAAAGTTCCTTGAGATTTCCGGCGGGTTTTCCCTTTGTTAGTGTTGCTTGATCGAGGGCCTGACAAGGACAGTATAGTGGCTAGCTGTTAGGATGAGACAGAAAACCAAGGTCCTGTGTACACATTAGCATGCACGTAAAAGATCCCTTGAGAGCTGGAATTCGAAATAAGAGTAAGTCATATACCGCTGCTGTTTGGGCAAAATATCCTTTATAGCACACTGTAAAGCGTAAGCCTGTCTTTGTTAACCCTGTCTGTGCAGAAAAGTAGGACATTAAACCCCATTTCATTTTATTTGTTTCAGTAGCAGGCATGAGGTATAGCAGCTAGCTGTATGCCTTCTTTTTTTTATGAAGCTTATATAGATTAAATTTTTAATGTTTTTTGTTTTAACAGGCAGTGACATTAGTTAGTCAGTATATATCACGTAAAGATTATAGTAGTTTAGAAGGATTAGTACGACCACAGGTGTGTATTATTTTATACCTATCTTATTCCTACTGTTTTCTTCAGATTCCAGATGTCAATTGTTTGTAAATATAATCCATGTTCCTGACATTAAAGTCCTGATGTGCCATTTTAGCACTATAGGAATCACTTGCTAACTAACAATATTCTGAAAGATATAATCCTTGAGTGGCATTTAGTGATTGAGCACATTAAAAAACACAAAACAATTTATATGGAATGCAATCACTGGTTTATACACATAAAGCACGACGTTTCGACAAGTATTCTCTTATCGAGATCACTTGCTAACTAACAATATTCTGAAACATTGATCTCTAATAGGAATATCAAAATGGTTCAATTCCATTCAGTATTTCATCAATCTATGCTGCTCTGCAGCGTAATACGCATGTTGCCATTTTGTTTTCCATGAAAATTGTTTAACTTTGATAGAATCCAAGGTTATCCATACTCCTCGCAGTGTTTTGTTTGATTAGAGCTGATCCCACTTAACACTGCTGTAGTGGAAGCAAATTTCTGTTCCGAATTATGACTGGTCAATAGTCCGATTAACAACCAATAGCCAACTGTGTAACAATATAATTATGCTTTAAACAGAGCTCCAAATTGGACCAAATATATGTTTACATAACATTACGTCATGACTCACGATTTTGTTACTCCAACCAGTGGATAGCAGAATATTGCAGAAAAACTAATTGCGTGACAAACGAGGCTATCAAAACGAATACAATGTAAACAACACTGTTTGGAGATGAGCAATTTCACCGTTTCTAATACCTTAAATCACTGTCCAAAGTTTTAGGGAAGACCCCAGATTAAACAAAGGGCTGTCATGTTGCTGTACTTGGGATAAATTTAATTGAACGGGAAGAATAGACACACTCCCTCAAAAGCTCAAGTATCAGAAGCCAATCCAGCAATGGCCAGAGAGGGATTTCTCGGCCATTGCTTCAGGAATATGAAGGTTATCTAGCGTTAGTGTTTGGATTTTGTTATTTTATTAAATATTCAATCTGAATACATATTACATGTAGTTTGGATAAAGCAGTGAGAAATTTGGTATATCCATCAAAAGATTTTACCCAAAACTTCAAGATGGCACTAGTATAGAATTTTATTTGAAAGTTTTTATGACTCTCAAAAGAAAAGCCAATGAAGAGCCATATATTAAGATTAAGTGAGTCTGGCCAAATATTGAATAACAAAATGGATTTTTGTCTACTCTTACTTCTATGCAATTACTGATTCTTATACAGTTCCTGCTTTTTATGGGGATCTGGTGGCTAAAGTGGGTAAGACGCTGGCTCGCTAGCCTGGAGGTCGGGTGTCCGATCCCTGCATTGGCCGAGAAAGTTCATTCAGATTTTCCATCATGGTTCTCCCTTGTCAGTGATGCAGGACGCAGGGGCTGACAAGGAAAGCTGTCTAGTCGTGCGGATGGGACGAAAAACCGAGGTCCCATGTACACATTGGCGTGCACGTAAAAGATCCCTTGGCAGTTGGAATTCGATATAAGAGTAGGCCGTAGTGCCGCTGTCCGGGCAAAATTTCCCTCATAGCACACTGTATGGCGTATGTCCGTCTTCATTAGCCCAGTTTGGAGCAAAACAGTAGGACGTTAAACCTCATTTCATTTCATTTCATTTCCTGCTTTTTATGCAGAACAACCAGTTCATTTTCACATTATTTTACATTTCTTCGAGGTATGCTGATCTGTTAAACTTACAGAGAGAGAGAAAAATGGGGTTTAATGACCACTTGACACAAACTAGGCCATTTCGGGACTAACACATGGTTCAATTTTATTTCAATAATTTGCTTGCACATAGCACTGGGAGGAAACCGGAGGACCCAGAGAAAACCACGAGGTTGGACAGGCGACCCTACTCCTTGTCACGTACAACCGGGGAATCGAAACTCTCTTTCTCTCTCTCTCTTGTTCTTATTTTCATGTTGGTTAATGAAATAATATAAATTACAGGTTATTAAATGGTTACAGAGGGAATGTAGTGAATGGACTGATGAACAGTATAATGACATAGAACTAGAAACTAAAAATATCCAGTTTCTTCAGTCTAATGGAATGACAATTGAAGAAGGAAAAAAAGGTATGATTAGGGGAAATTCTAAAACTATTAACGGAGGGTCAGGCAAGGAACAGTGTCTAGTCGTTTGGATGGGACGATAAATCATGGTAATGTGTACACGTTGAAGTGCACTTAAAAGAACCCTTGACAGTTGGAATTCGATGAAGAGTAGGCATAATTGCTGTTGTCCAGTTAAAGTTTCCCCTCATAGCACACTGTATGGCTTATGCCTGAATTTTCCAGCGTGGTTTCCCTTTGTTAGTGGTGCCGTGCGGAAGACCTTGCAAGGAACATTGTCTAGTCATTTGGAAAGTACAAAAAAATAGGTCCTGTGTAAACCTTTATATGCATGTTGGAATTTGAAATCAGAATAGGTGGAATTGCCGCTGTTCAAGCCCTGAGTTCACAAAACCTTCTCAGACTTACCGATAAGTTAAGAATTTACTCAGAATTGTTCGCCTAATTTTAACTAAAGTATAGCCCTTTGTAAAACCTTTGTTGTTTTACTCTATCAAATACATCAATAAGAAACTATTAACAAAGTTTTGTGTTTCTGGAACAAAGATATTTCTCATAAATTGTGATTGAAAGTTGAGTAAATTCTTAACTTAAGTCTGAGAATGCTTTGTGAACTGGGGGCCATGTAAAATTTCCCTCCTAGCCTAGCACATTGTATTACAGCTTATGCCCATCTTTATTAGCTTGGTTGGTGAAGAAAAGTAGGATGTTACGAATCATTTTATTATATATCTAATACTATTCTTATCTTAGGTGGGGATCACGATGGCTAAGTGGGTAAGACGCTGGCTCGATCCCTGCATTGGCACAGAAAGTTCATCCCGATTTTCCGGCGGGGGACCCTGGTTCACTAGCCTGGAGGTCGCGTGTTCGATCCCTGAATTGACTGAGAAATTTCACTGAGATTTTTCGACGTGGTTCCCCCTCATAGCACACTGTATGGCGTATGCCTGTCTTCATTAGCCGAGTTCGGAGCAGAACAGTAGGACATTAAACCCCATTTCATTTCATTTCATTTCTTATCTTAGGTGTGTTATTTCCCAAGATTTAATATCAAGTTATCATTATGCCAAGGGCCATATTTCTCAAAAAATTTAATTTTAGATTTTTCTTATCCCAAGGGGAATGTTTCTCACAAAATTCAATTTTAAATTTTTCTTATCTCAAGTAGCATATTTCTAAAAAAATTATATTTTAAAATATGCTAATACTAAGGCGTATATTTCTAGAAAAATCAATATGAAATTAATATTATTCTAGGAAAAAAAAATTCTACTATTATTTCTGGAAAACTCTTTGTATAATTTTTCAGGAAACTTTCTGGTAACCATAAAAACATGTACAATAGGTGTAAAAATGTCTAACAAATTGCTATGTGTTGTGGAGATTGCATCCAAGTAAGTAGGTTATTAAAGTTAATTAAATTTTAAAATGGACTTACCCTAAAAGATGCTTATATATTAGTACAGCAGGCAACTTAAAACATGGGGTTGGATGGCTGAATGGTTAGCTTCTGCGTGTTGTATCATAAGGTCTGTCATTGAGTCAACTGGAGTAGTTTTGACTGGGTTGTTCATGACAAGGAGTAGGGTCGTCTGTCCAACCTCATGGGTTTTCTCCTGTCCTCCGGATTGACCGGCGTACGCCGTTTGCAAACCGGCTCGCCTATCGGCGGAGAAATCAAGCAGACCCATGGTCACATACAAGGGCCAATAACTCTGGAAATACTTTTGCAAAAATACTCCAATAGATCTTGACTTGAAAAAAAATCCACCCAGAACTTATCTCTGTGAATTCAATATCATCTTTACCCTAATAAAAACTATCTCAAATCTTATAATTTATAAGATTTATATTTCATGCACGCCAACATGTACAGAAGATCTCAGTTTTTTGTTCGATCCAAACAACTAGAAACTGTCCCTTGCCAGGGCATCAGTTCACTGCTGGTATTGTCTGGACACTATCATAATGAGTAAACGTTTTGGAAAAGGCGGGGGAAAATATCACATGGTTTACACGTGATTGGAATGAAAGGGGGTATATCCCTTTGATGTCACGTGATTGCTGTCAGACATTCCGACTTCTAGAGTAGATGCCGATAAAAATTTAGAAATAATTTAGTGATTTGTTTTGTTATGCTAGGCTAATGTAGATAATTTGTATCAATAAATGATAACTTATAATATAGATCACACTACCAACAAATGGGTTTCCATTAGATGGTCCTATTTTTAACTATAGTTCTAGAAATGGCGGGAGAATGTCACGTGATTGCCACTGTTGACAGACAGGCCGGGAAGCTATCGCTTTGATGTTTCATTCATTACCGCATGAACCTTTCCGACATCTATTATTGACATACATGTGCCGATCTTTCTAGGGCATTATATCGTAATCAACACTTAAAATATGACGATCTCGACTTTATTCATTAATGATACAGCAAATAATTAAGTTCGTAATAGATGGACTGTATTTGTGATTGCGTAGGAAGCGTGACCTAATTTTATTAGTTCAAAAACACGGCGTTCGTGTTTGATTCCCGAGGTAAAATAGTACCATACTTTTCCCGACTGACAATGACATATATCTACATAGATTATCATGCCATTCGAGGCATTTTAATGTGTAAAAGTTTTATATCCACCACTATCGTTAATTGTATCAGTATCGATCGATATATTTCGCAGTCAATATCTGATATCGGTAAAACCGATAGGTGCCATATCGGACCATCACTACTTAGGCCCTATAATACAGCTGACACTGTTGATGTCGGGCAATATTCCATCTTGGCACACTGCATAACGTATATTCTAGCAAAATAATAATAATAATTGATTTTTATATAACGTTCTACAGATTCGTTTCAGAAACGCTTTACAAGAGTTAAAAGATAAGTAATAGAAATAATCACAATTAAAATATAATGCATACAGACATATAAGATACCCATATAAATGATAAAAAAATAAAATCAGATACAAGTTAAAACATTAAATAAAAATGATGAAAAATAAAATGAGATATAAGTTAAAACATTAATTATAAAAACCCTACAGTTGTTTTAAGGTACACCGTAGAAGATTTAGGGTAAAAGTAATTACCCGCTGAATAAATAGGTTTTAAGACCACGCTTAAATGAACTTAATTCCTTTTTCTGACGAAGATGTTGTGGGAGGTTGTTCCATAGTGATAACGCTATAGTTGGAAAGGCTCTCTGTCCGTAATTTTTAGGGGATCACGTGGCTAAGTGGGTAAGACGCTAGCTCGCTAGCCTGGAGTTCGGCTGTTCGATCCCTGCATTGGCCGAGAAAGTTCATCCAGATTTTCCGGCGTGGTTCTCCCTTGTCAGTGATGCAGGACGGAGGGGCTGACAAGGAAAGCTGTCTAGTCGTTCGGATGGGACGAAAAACCGAGGTCCCGTGTACACATTGGCGTGCACGTAAAAGATCCCTTGGCAGTTGGAATTCGATATAAGAGCAGGCCGTAGTGCCGCTGTCCCGCTGTCCGGGCAAAATTTCCCTCATAGCACACTGTATGGCGTATGCCCGTCTTCATTAGCCCAGGTTAGGAGCAGAACAGTAGGACGTTAAACTCCATTTCATTTCATTTTCATTTCCGTAATTTTTATTGGTATGTTTAGTACAGAAAACTCAGAAGCTAAACCCCATTTCCTTTCATTTACTCCAGAATTCAACTGGTATTGAGATACTTGTTTAGAAATTACTATTGATATTTTTTTTTCTCTTTTCTCAGTTTTTGTAGGAATTACAAGGATGATCAAGCTGGAGACTGGATATTAGATAAAATAACAGGCATCAAAATTAAAAAAGCCAAAGACGATAAACCAGTACCTTTTTAAAAAATGGCTGAAATGGATACGGAAACATGGACTGCCAGTGTCTAATGCCATTTCAAAAACAAGAATCACTGTCTTCGATTAAAAACATATATACAGATAATGTAACCAAAGATTATCATGTATTAGTTGTACACGTGTGCTTTAAGAGATTAAGTATAGTGCGAAACTGTGTGAACCCTGTACCAGTTTAAGAACTAACTCTAGATTAGTAATTGTCAACCAGTGAGCCGCGGCACACAGGTGTGTTGCGAGATCTTCCTATGAGTGCCGCGAAATTTTCAACGGCCCACTAAGAAAATTTCTCACTTAAAAAGTCAGCTTTTTGACTGATGAAATTCGAAACAATGCAATAGCTGTGTTTTTCTTTATTTAGTTCGAGTCATTATATGTGTCTATGACTAGTCTTTGTCTACGATTGTATGTCGTCTATGACTCGTCATGTTTTGCAAAATACAAATATTTTTCATATACATTTAGCCAGGTGTGCCGCTATTTTTTCATGTGTTCCAAGATGCGCCGGTGTCAAAAAAAAAAGAAGGTTGAGACCATTACATTTTATAGTAAAGATTAAAGTAATACATTTGAATGTAAATCCCGGATTAACATTTAACTATTAAAGTAAAGTATTAATGTTGAATGAGATTTATTGAATTTTTGTTGTTTGTTGTTTTGTTTTTCATTCCCTAAGCCACCTGGGAGCCGCCGTGGCGCAATGATTAAGATACCGGTTCGATAACCAGGAGGTCTCAGTGTCGTTTCCTTTGTTGGCCGATAAAGTTCCTTGTCAGTGGTGTAGGACGGACGACCTGGCAAGGAACAGTGTCTAGTCATTCAGATGGTACAAAAAACGAGGTCCCGTGTTAATATTAGCGTGCACGTTAAAAACCCCTCGACAGTTGTAATTCAAAATAAAAGTAGGTCGGAGAGCCGTTGTTCCGATATTTTCCCCCCATAGCACACTGTATGACGCATGCCTGTCTTCATTATCCCATTCGGTGCAGAAAGGTAGGCTGTTGACCCTATCTCATTTCCATTTCTTTAACCATTTCTCAGAGAATAATTTCCATGCAAGAGACCATGTGGGGAGATCGATGAAACGCATTACAGATCAATTTTCTCTAACACGAATTCGACTGAATGGGAATGTTGATAATCACGATTTCATTGAAATGAAATGGGGTTTAACGTCCTACTGTTCTGCTCCTACTGGGCTAATGAAGTCGGGCATACGCCATACAGTGTGCTATGAGGGCCAACTCTTACATCGAATTCAAACTGCCAAAGGATTCTTTACGTGCACGCCAATATGTACACGTGACCTCGCTTTTTCGTCCCATCCGAACGACTAGACAGCTGTCCTTGTCAGACCGTCCGTCCTGCATCACTGACAAGGGGAAACCACGCCGGAAAATCTGGATGAACTTTCTCAGCGATTTCATTGAGCCTCAATAATAATTAAAGATACATTGTTTGATAAAGAGCTGGTAGTTCTCAGTATAAAAGTTAAAAACAAGATAATGCAAAGAGAATTTTCTGAAAATTTCAGTCAAATTGATCCTCTATGAACCGAGAATTAAGGGATTGAAATTTCAGCCTAGCCTCGGTCACCATTACTAAGGTCTGTACGATAAAAAACATAGTCTCCATCATCCACTTCATGATTAAATTATGAATGGAAGTCGAGCAGCAAATGGGATCATAATCCAGTAAATATCACAGGCTAGCGATGCCATCGAGAGTTGATAAGTTAATGTCTAATTAATAATTTAGATAAAATTTTGGCCTAAAGAAAGACCTGCAATTGGCAGATTTAGCTCTTGCATAATGTATGTTTAAATAAGGTATGTGCCGTCGCCCGAAGGTTTATATGCCTTCCTATTATCATCCAACAGGCTGGGTTCACTGCCACGCCTAACAACGTCTTGACAAGTCCAGCAAATTATCTGGTAGCGTCAACTGTCTTCATCAGTACAGACATAATCCTCCGTCGGTAACTACGCTTTTCTGATTTTGACAAAACTTATCCGAGCAAGTTCCAGAAATAAAATAATACCATGATTGAAAAGATTAAGCGGAAATTGGCCTATTGACAAACGCAGACTTTATCGGCCAGTCTAAAATATCTCCATAAAAGACAAGACTATCATTACACTAAACTAATCAACAGTGTGAAATGTTGGACCCAAATCAAAGAATGGAATATCATGGCCTTTAACGTCTAACAATGTAAATTTTATTTCAATAGTTGCAATCTGAGAAGGGGCATTCGTGCGGTCACCAGCGTCTCCGTCTTCTTTTCTTCGAACTCCAACTGCTAAGAGTTCTTTGAGAGAGAGAGAGAGAGAGATTAGTCCATAACGCGGCAAAATATCCCCCATGGCACACTACATTCCCAGTCCGTGCAAAAAAGTAAAACGTCAAACACGGTTTCATTTTATTTATACATAAAGATTGGAGGACCCTTGTTAAATAGTTACACCAGACAGTCACAGAAAAAAAGTCACATAAAATTACATAAATGTATGCATAAGATACTAAGCTGTAGTTTGTCTAACTACAACGGCCTATTTAAATAAATAATAAAAATAAACTGTAGATCTCTAAACGTAACATCAGTCTAATGTTTCATTAATATTCTGTTCAGCGAGAGAGATAGGAAGAAATGGGGTTTAACGTCCACTCGACACAAACTAGGTCATTTCTGGACTAATATATGGTTCAGTTTTATTTCAATAATTCGCTCTCGCGTAGGGGTCTTCTTCAGTGGGGGTGAACTAGAGGACCCGGAGAAAACCCACGAGGTTAGACAGGTGACCCTACTCCTTGTTATCTACATCCAGGGAATCGAAACCACGCCAGTTGACTTAATGACAGACCTTATGATACAACGCGCACACGCTAACCATTCGGCCATCCACCCCCTCCACCGCCCCCATTATTTTGCAACGATATGTGATTTCATTAGTCAACTAGATGATAGAGGCCTTGAAAATATTACAATGGCTATCAACAACACTGATAGGTTATAAAACTCATTAGGGCATTAATAAACCGAAATTACTACTCCATTCAGAGAATGGTCGGAGTATTATACTGAACGTACTGATGACTTGATGGAAAATTAATGAGGCCTAAAAAATTACATTAAATCGACATTATCACCTTGATAGTTATAATAACAGTTCTATTTATAGTCGTTGATAGCTTTTATTCCCAATTAGTCATTCCTATATTCGCCCTTCAAACGCATGCGGGATGGATGCCCGGGCAGGGATAACGCCTAGTTGTTCGGATTGTAGCCAAAGCCTAGGTCCCGTGTATACGTACAAAAAACCCTTCCCTTATAATGCACTGTAAAGCGTATGTCCGTCTTGATTAGCTCTGTTGGAGCAGACAGGTAGAACGGTAAATATCATTCATTGGTCTTTCAAACGCTGATAATTGATACGCTGTAGATATTACCTTGTAAAATCTATTTGTTAAGGCTAGCTCAAGTTTTGTCAAGGTCGTTGATGAGATTGTTGGTGAGATTGCCGGTTATGTTTAGGGTAAGCATTTTGGGCCTAGGTCCAGGCTTAGGGTTAGGGTTGGGATTTAGTGCTAGCCCTGGTTACTTACATCTGGTGACCTATGACGAAAAATTGAGCTGGCCTTACCATTTAGCACTTACCATATTACCTAGTAAAATCAGTGATTGTTGTTATACTATGGTTGTAGGGAGGAAGTGGGTGGGAATTGTTGTTATGATACACCAGGGAGGAGGTGGGTGGTGAATTGCTGTTATACTAGTCTGTAGAGAGCAGGTGGGTGGTGAATTGTTGTTATACCAGGCTATAGGGAGGACGTGGGTGGGGAATTGTTGTTATACCAGGCTGTAGGGAGGAAGTGGGAGGGGATTGTTATAATACATAGGGAAGAAGTGGGTGGGGAATTGTTATAATAGGTTGTAGAGAGGAAGTGGGTGGGCAGTTGTTGTTATAATAGTCTGTAGGGGGGAAGTGGGTGGGAATTGTTGTTATAATAAGCTGTAGGGAGGACGTGGGTGGGCAATTGTTGTGCAAGACTGAGTTTGTAGATTGCGGTTACTATCTGAAAACAAGGAAGGGACCATAGTTGTGGTATCCCCTGCCCTAGTTTAATATCCGTATTATACATTGGAATGGTTTCATTTTGGGCTAACATAGGTCCTTTGTTCCGTATTGTGACGCTTCTAGTATCAACAAAAGGACACTTTATGAAAGGGGGAGCTATAGTCTCTTTGCTGGGAAAGGGGGAGGGGGGTGCAATTTAGCCAATAACTGATTGGCATTAAAAAAAGTACTATTTATATGGTAGTTATTACCAATAAAATTATGGTAAATTTGGTATTTATGGAAAGTAGACATATCCAATCTTACTACAAAAATACTGGATTTGTTGTGAGAACTTCGTTTATGATGATCGAATGGCTAGCTTTTGTGAGAAATGAACTGAAATGGGGTTTAACGTCCTACTTTTCTGCACCGACTGAGCGTTTGTGAGAACAGCCAGATACGTATACGTTCAATATACTCTGCGATTAAACGGCGGTCATAGTCGTGGGCTGGTGATAATCCATGGTTAACGGATAGCGAGTAACGGCAGTTACAAGTTGGTACACGTGAGGGCATTTTTTTAGGCATTAGATGCTATTGTTCTTTGCGTGTTTCTGTTTTTCGTCGACAAACTCTGAGAAGAACAAGAAGCGTATAAAATCAACTCATTATGTGGCTTAATAATGTTAGATAAATGTTTACTTCAACTCCTTCATTTTATGTGTCTACTTTGTAAATTATAGGGCTTCTGTTGAATTCCTTGTGTAAACGTCATTTTCTCAACATCGGCGGTTTTTGTGATAAAACAGATACCGTATGACGTACATCGCAGGTCATGAATCAAGTAATTATTATCAACATTATATGAAATGAAATGGGGTAGTACGTTTCTGTATCAACCGGGCTAATGTAGACAAGTATAGCCCATGCAGTATGCTGTGGGGGGACAATTTTGCCCGGGCTGTGGCGTTTCGCGTACTCTTCATCAAATTCCAGCTGTGGCGCGTTTTTCGTGCTACCAGACACCGTTCCTTGCCAGACCCTCTGCTAGGCACCACTGACAAAAAATAGACTATTCAGTATGCTAGGGGGGATAATTTTGCCCGGGCCGCTGCGTTTCGCGTACTCTTTATCGAATTCAAACTTTGACGCGGTTTTCGTATCCTCTGACACCCTTCATGGCCAGACCCTCTGCTACCATTACGGTGGTTACGATCAATGCACACAACTTGTCCAAACTACAATCATTGATAACTTCGCTCAAAATAAAGTAATTTGAATGAAATTTTGAATATATTCATTTGGCATTAACTATTATTGAAATATTATAGCGAGAACGGTCAGCTCTGTATCTACTCTAAAGGGGCATTATGGACGATTAGATATTAGCGATTTAGTTTTAGGCCCACCTTCGATCATCATTACTAAAATCGGTACGTTAAAAAACATACTCTCGATTATCCATTTTTGGATTTAATCATCAATGAACCTTGAGCAGCAGATCGGGTTCAAATC